GGGTCCAAGTTGAAGATCCCAGACGTCTCCTAGGGTCATTGATATCTGTGAGAATCGCTTGCCTGGCTTAAGAGCCTTGAAGATCTTTTGCCAATGACGCTCCCTGACAGCCTCGGATTTCATGTCTGCAAGCAAGGGGTTGACTTTTAAGAAGCCACGAAGAACATTTTGTATATGCTCAAAAGCAGCATACTGGCGCATTCGACTTGGCATTTCCTTCGTCATTTTGATCAATCCATCCAGGGACTGGCGAAGTTTTCGTGGTTGGATGCTATTCCAGAGCGTATCGCGCAATTCATTCAAGCTCTTCCAGATTGTAGACAAGGCAGCCCATACAGCCATAAAATCTTGTACTTCCTCAAGAATAGCAGCGAGTGTGGTTTCAGGGCTGCTAGGAAGATCGAGAGCTTCCTTTGCCTTTGACACCATTTCAGATTCAGACTGTAGCTTCTCGAGACGTGATTGGAAATAGCTAAGTGTGGCAGAAGCCTCTTCAGGAGGAGTTGATCCTGAAACAGGCTTTTCTTCATTCCACTGGTTGACGGCTTCTGCAATCTTCTCGTTAATGACTCTGTCTTCCGCAGATATTTTGGCTCTAAGAGCATCTGTCTGATCTTGCACAGTTTTACTTCTGCGCTCCAAGATCTCATTGAGAGCATCCCACTCTCCAGAAACTCGATCAGCAGGAAGCCAGTCGCTAGGTGCCTGATATCTTTGTCGGATAAGTGTTGCTTGACCTTGCAAGAACAAGTCAATCTCAGGCTCCCACAGTTTTGCTTTTCTCTTGCATTGCTGAACAATTGTAATAAATGAAACAGCTTGGGCGGTGGATGAGGCCTCGAGTGACTGTCCTTCCAGGTCCCGTCGTGCCGCTTCAAGTTCAGCATGAACATCTCGCATACGGGCTCCTAGTTTTCCTGCAAACTTAAGCAGAATCTCCCGTTGCCATTGGTCGTACTTTGCGTTGACTTTGGTCTGAACTTGCTCATAATCGATGCGAACATTTCCAAATGAGCGGCGAACCTCGGATGTGTCAAATGTACCACGGCTTTTGCGAATTTCATGCAGTAACTGAAGCCATTGAGATAGGTCCTCTCCGAGTATATCGTAAACATGGGATGATTGCAGGTCCCATAGCGATTGGAACTGAAGCCATTTGTCCACATACTCCGAGATTTCCTCCAATCGAGCTTCTATAAGCGAGTACACTTCGCTCAATTCTTCAGAGCAGTATTGAGGGATGTCGGAGAAGTGGGTTTCAGAATAAGAACCATTATCTGCATGGATTGACATTTTATATCTCGAAGACTTAATCTTCTCCAAGTTACAAAGGACGCCGACCCATTCATCAAAATGAGCAAACCACGAAGCTCTAGCGTACTCCAGCGGTGGATCGAGATGCATGACCTGGTTTTTCATGGAAATTTCGTGGAGAGACTTTGGGAACTGAATATATGATGTGTCTTGTTCCTCTTTGTTGCCGCTCGCCTCAATAGTGTGGCCCGTTCCAGATTGTTCATCTCCGGCATGTTGAAAGGATGCAATCCAGCGTCTAATAGCACCCCGAAGTCGATCTTGAAGAATGGTTTCGATTTTGGTATTGAGGTTTGCAACCCAGTACCCAAGATTAGCATAGTTCTCGAGGTTGAGTTTATCGATCGCAATCTGAATCTGATCAATGCGGTTACGGAATACAGTCACGTCGTAAGGGCAGGTTTTCAAAGCAAGAATTGCCTTCTGAATGTTATCATCCATGGTGGCCAGAGTCGCCGTCTTCGATTGCAATACAGATGTGGAAATTGCAAATTCACGGACAAATTGAACATGCTTGCTCTCACCACGGCCGGAACTGACAGAAGGATCTGCAGATCCATTCGCAAGACCTTGTTTGACATGGATCTCATAAGAATGTATGAAAGACTCCCATCGCAAAGGGAGGCCCTTTACTATTAGCGCTTGGACATCGTTCTGATACCCATTGAGTAAGATGGCAGACTGTGACATGGATGCAATCGCCCTGATGGTTTGATGTAGAGTGCGAACACTCTCCATCAAGCTAATCGCAAACGGATAGACGCGTTTCGCTTCCTTCGAAACGCTAGTAATAGCGTGTGGGATTTGGAAGTTCAGCCAAACTAGATTCCGCACTTCCTTAAAAAGAGCAATGATTTGGGCATCAAAGTTGACGGCTAATTCAAGAGAGTTTCCAGCAGCGCGATTTCGAGTAATAACGAACAAGCGGCCAGAGATGGCAATATTCCGTCGTTTGACATCCTGTACCCAAGCTTGGAATACAGGTCGAGTATCTAATTTCTTGCGGAACATATTGCTCTCGGCCTGTAGCTTTTGGCCATCCGCATGAAGATCCCAGTCTTCACCAAGAACATCTTCGACTTTTCGCATATAACCATCTAATTGACGTTCTATTTGTTGAGCCCAGATAATAGCACCCGAGACAGGGGGTAGATCTCGGAGTTGTGCCATTGCATGGGCTTCTGAGTGTCCATACTGCTGCTTAAACCGTTCATGCAAAGCCGCAATATCTTGCTTTACATTATCAATAAGCTTGGTCTGGTACTCGCCAATAGCACTCCTAATCTTTGGTCGAACCAGCAACGCATTGAACTTTGAAAAGACTCGGAATTTCTCATTGGCATTCTGTGCTGTGGCAAGCTTATCACGGAGCCGAGCAATCATCAGATTTTCAACACGAGAAGTACGCTCGTTGTAGGCAGACTCAGCTTGGATCCATGCCTGTGTTCCTTCAGGACTGACGTCAAGAACATCCACATCCTTTAGAGCATTATATGCCTGGGTAACTTGCTCTACAGCATCAACATCACCAAATTCTTCTAAGGCAGTCGAGTTATCCGCTCCGGCAGACAGGGATGCGCCCCCCTGGTTAGATTTCGTGCCGAGAACATTGATGATAGTTCGCTGAAGCTGCTCATGGTTCGTGCGGAAGGTGTTAATGAATTTAAGTCGGTCCTGGGTTTCCGCGTGTTTTGGTTTAACCTTGATCGGGATGAATTTCTCGTTGCGTCTCCTCATAGCATCTCGCGCGACGTTGGTAAATTCTTTGATATTCTCGTCCCAGGTTCGCCAGACGATCTGGGCAGCACGCATAAGTGAGTGGAACTCGGTGTAGTCGTAATGCATGATACTCCGTCCCGGTATCAGCTTATGAATAGTCAAGTCCAGGTCTCCAGAAATTGCTGCAACGAGAGATAGGGCACGTTTTATTGGGTATGGGCAAATACGCAGTTTCTTGTTCAAATGCGAGAATATCAGATTCAGGGCTTCTTGGACCTTCTGAAGGGAGGTTGCAGACTCCAGTTCATCGAGAGGGAAATCACGGAGTAGTTGGTTATACTTCTGCACTGTTTCCATCGCTTCCTTCAATCCAGTATCGGCAGAGAAGCTGAGAGTGGTGGAAAAGCGCTTTGCATGTCGAAGAACGTCCATAGTAAGTTGCACTCCAGCATCTCGTAACGCAGTCTCAATGCCTTCGAGTGCAGTCTCCATGGATAGCCAGAAATTGATCTCTTGAACCGCGGATCCATTATCAGGGTCTCGAGACATTTTCGTAATCGCTTGAATCGACTTTATCCATCCATTCACATTATTCTGTATACTGTTTATAACTGCATGGTTGTCCAAGACTGCTGCGGGCACCAGCTCGACCGACGGTTCGATACCCCGGCTTTGAGCTTCATCCAAAGCTGCCTGCACAATTTCATGCAACGGAAGGCTAAGCGCAGGTATCTCGATGTTCTGCTGCAAATGTGATAGAGCAAGTTCAAGCTCTGCAAACTTCTGCTTCGCACGAACTTCTCCGGTCTTAGGGTCGGTGTCATTCCTCCCCTTGGATCCTTGAGCACCATCATGCCCACGCGTGCACGCTTCGTAGTACGGTGATAGACCATGATGGACAAAGGAGTATATGATCTCATACGGCGAAATCGGCGGGCCCTGTGGGGTGGTTGAATTATTTAATGAAGCAAATCCAGGCAGTGTGAGGACCTGTATCTGTGAATAGAGAGGAACAGCGGGGTCGATGGGTTGTCCTGGCTTGAAGACTGCCATAGCCGCCGTGGTGGTAGGGGATATGGATAGCTCTGAGCTGAGTGTGTAGACATAGTTACTATGCTCCGCTGCAGTACTGTTAGCCAGCCGAACCGACATCTAAATCCTTCCTCGGACGTCTGTGACACCTACTGTCATCGTCTGATCCATTGGTTTGCTCTGGCACAACGGTATCTTTATGCGCATACAGGGCTATCTGCGACTCAGAGGCAAAGCGTCCGCAACGCTGGAGTGTCTCGGAGTACTTTGCTTGTGAAAGTAAACTTCCACTGCTCTCAAGGTCTCTCCTTAAAGCTCCAAGCGTCCCCTGGATGACTTCAGCTAGATAGTGAAGCACGACTTCAGGGTCGACAGTCATCGAGACCGTCGGTGATGGGACGCCATTCGCCGCCCCTGGAGAGATGACCTCCATGCTCGCAGACTTAGAGTACGCGACCCGTTGCTGTCATCGAGAGTTATGGTAAGAGGAAGAAGGCAAGACTCGTGGGAAGCATCGACCTAATATGCGGTGGCCGTGACGTGTCGTGTATTAAGGGAAAATAAGATAATTACTATGAGCTTGACACCCTTGGGCTCTCGGGTCTTTATCTCGTCCGCCTTCAACTTGATTTTGGGCTCCAAAATATCCAGCTTCACCTTTTTTTTTTCTGGCCTGCAACGCGGCGATGTTTACACGTGTCACATGACTAAGTACAGGGGCCGGGGTCGGGATCAGGGGTAAGATGACTAAGCACAGGCCTTTAATTTTAACATCAGATTCAAGCGTAGGCTTTCTTTCTAGCTTTGTTCCTGGTTTCTAGCTATGCATGGGGGGGGGGGGGGTAGACATAGATGAATAGGGAAGAGAGTGCAGGAAGAAGTAGTGCATCCACGTTGAATGCCGTGTAGGTGGCTTGGCCGTTCACGTCGGATCTTCACTCTTCCGCTGTCTCTGGCTCCTCTTCCTCGTGCTCCTCCTGTCTCTCGCGGCAGTCGCACTTGTACTTTGCTCGGAAGTCCGCCGCACTCATCTCCTCCAGGATCTGAAGGGCATTCTGGCTCGCCTTCAACTTGGCATGGCGAGGAGATGAGGCGACCCCTTCGGCCACGATGTCGTCGTGGACGCAAACAGCCGCGAGGGCACGCACCGTGGTGCCGTCTACACATGGTATTTCATCTGCTTTCAAGGCGTAGAACGTGCAGCCGAAATCTACGGCGAGTCGAGTGTGAAGGAAGGTGATAGGGTGCTTGTTAGCGAACGTATCGTACACACTCATGTCCTCGAAATAGTGCTGGATGAACTTTCGGAAGAAATCATCCACAACGTCAAAATTGAAATTCGAGTCCACGAATATAGCTCCGAGGTATGCTTCAACAATGTCCGGTAAACACTAAGCAGACGCATAAGAATATCTCCTCATATGGTTAATTTGCAGGAGGGTTTACTCACCTTTGGTGGTTCGTTTGTGTACGTCCAGGCCTCAAGGTTTCCTTCCATTTTGATTTTCATAGCCTGCAGTTCTTCAGTGTAGCTAGTTATTTGGCCTTGGAGAGTGTTGCTGATATGGATAAGATGGACATGGAGGTTGAGGCTGACTGCAAGCGAACCAAGGAACTTGTTGGATACCATTGCCATCTAATCACGTCAGTACTGTATAGCTTAGTTAGGGGAGGAAGAGGTGTATTTACTTTGTGCTCCGTGAGCCATTGGGGGTCTTTGTCGGGGTATCTTTCAAAAAGATGATTGACGCAAACCATATCAAGTAAAGAATCACCAAGGAATTCCAGACGTTGGTAACAAGGGACATTTGCCCACTGAGATGGATACGATGGGTGCATGAAAGCCGACCGAAGGAGCTTAGGGTACTTGAAACAATAGCCGAGTTTTGACTGGATTTGGTTGGCGACGTCAATCTCAGATGCACTGGCTGATGCTGTTTGGTAGTTTGGCAAAGAGTACAGTCTTGAGTAGTCTGCCCATTTTTCCACGCGATGGTCATCACTATTGACAAAAACTGTGACTGCCTTTGTAGCCATGTCAAATTTGTGATCAGGACCTCCAGCCAGTAGAGATGCTCCAATTAGAGCCTCGCATACATCAGCAATAGTTTTGTCAGCAAGTGCATGCTCAGGACCGTTTGGACCTTCTTTCTTATCTTTGCCTTTAAGCAGTGTTAAACCCTCAGGATACCATGCTCGTCTAGGGTATAAAAGTTAGTGAGATGTCAAAACCAACAGGGAGTCAATCCCATAGTTAGCGTACCTTGAGAATGATCTGCTGCGGATGAACTTGAAAATCTCCAGAATTATTGCATTGTTGAACAAATTCTGGTTGCAGATGAGTAGCATACGTTTGACATGGTAGTCGTATTCATCATTATCTGGATTCATGGCAAAGAGAGATATGGATGTTGCCATCTTCAAGAAGCAGTCACCAAGGAACTCAAGTCGTTCATAATTCTTGCCCATTCCGCTTTGGAATCGAATTTGTTCCATGCCGTGCTCCTCTGTGTTCTCCGAGTCTTTAGTTAATGCCTCAAGCGCTAGTTCTGGAGGAATCTTCAGCTGAAGCTTTTCACAGGCCTCCAAAGCAATGAGATAAGATTCCATTCTCCAGATCATTGCTGGGAAAACGAATATCTGTGTGGCCAAGGGAACAGAGATCTAGAAGATAGTCAGCGCAGTCTTTTCAACATATCTAGAGAGAGTCCATACTGCAGAAATTTTTAATGCCTCCGCGCAGACATAGTAGTCCACAGGAGGACTTTTCTGGTTCTCATCTATATCCAGGAAGTTTCGGCGAAGCTGTATGAGTTCCGAGCGTAATACTGGCTGGTCCCAGTTGCACCTTTTCATGAATCTAGCTCGCGAGTTTTTGAACAAGCTGAGACAATAGTTCATAATGTTGTCCATGTATCGGCGTCGGGCCACGTTCTCTGGAACTGGGTCCTGAGGCCGCCGAGTTGGATCAACTTTGATTGAAAAATAACGATATCTCCCATCCCACTTGTCTACAAGGAACCTGTTCTCGAGGAATTCGTTAGGCATATCAGGCGACCAGAGAAGTTCCTCATTTTCTTGAATATATTGTAGCATCTGCCAATCGATCAGTTCGACTGGGTTTGACTTTTTGATATCTGTAACACCGTCAAGTTTTGCGGGTGCAATCAAGTAAGACACCAGCGATGAATTTTCTTCATAAATTTTGTGAAAGACATCCTCGAAGACCCTGAAGGTGAATTTGGTCAAAAGCTCCAATTCAGGTGGTATGACTTTGAGTCCTTCCTCAACTCTTATGCTGCAGCTACTGCATTTCTTATTGTGTTCCAGGTATAAGGGGAAAGCGGGGAAGTCAGGCATTGGAACTCTTGTCAACAACACAATTGGGTGGTAAGACTTTTGCAGCTTCTCGCAGTCCGAGAGTGAGAGAACAGTGGCATATAGAACCGTTGGTGACTCTCCCCTAGAGAGTTCCCACGCTGCAGGTTTGGATATCATGCTATATTTGTTGCTTTTCTTCGATGTGATGGCGAGTCGAGCATTTCTCATTACCGGGAGTCGTTTGTGGTAGGTCGAAATGAAATATTCATCGAGTAACCTGTTCTTGCGCAGCAGCAGGCACGTCTCAAAGGCTGCGGATTGCTTTGCAAGGAGCTTCCGCGAGGCCGACTTTCCCATGCATCCTCGTATTGGTGATTTCTCAGGGAGTATGGTCTCACAGATGAAAGCACCATCTTTCGGATGGATGATATAACTGACCTGAGTTGACAGTTCTTTTTCATATTGCTATGTTCGATTAGCATCAATGATTGAACCCAAGGATATAACTCTTACCAAAGTGCTTGCGTAGTGTGCAAGAACAGCTAATGAAGAAGGGTAGGTGAGCTTTGCACCCGTGCTTTTGATAGTGTAAGATTTTTGCTGCCTGTCTTTTTCTATCATCATATCAATGTCACCAGTCCCCTTTAATAATCTGTCTTCTGGAAGGGATTTGCAGAAGCGAGTGAGAACTTCCTATAAATAACGCCATTGAGTTAAATTCATTGTTCTGCAAACTCTTTGCTAGGAGAAGTTACTGTTACTACCTCCGAGCGGCGAACTTCCTCGACCGCAGTCTCATGCATTAGGTTATTGCGTTCCACCATGTGTGCAAACTGAGTAAAGATGTTAGTTTGGACTAGAGAAACTTCCAGGTACGTAATGCATACCGTGGACTCCATATGTCGAGCTCTGCCTCTGCTCTGGATATATTGAATGAGTGTAGAGTAAAGATCGAATCTGAGATTGAAGTCAGTTCCAAGGCCCGGTATTAAATACTCGTTGGATTCATTCACTGTTACCTAACAATGAGATTGCAGTCTTGAATATCTAGCCCCTCCTCGGCTACGGACGTAGCAAACTAGCAACACTAGTTAGCTATTGATGAATAAAGAAAAGAAGGGAAGAGCCTATACCAAGCAATTGATCTCACCCTTCCTGAAAGCTATCACATTCAGGAACTGTTCTCTGAAAGAGATGTCTAGTCCAATTTTATCACCACCAGACCGAACACCAACCAGTAGGTTTGGCCGAATATATTGAGATCCGATTTTCTTGAAAAGATCTCTAAGAATTCTTGCTGTATGGCGTTGTGCAGTGAAGACGATGCATCGAGTATCTGGATTTTCTTTGAACCGCCGTAGGAGCTGGTCTCTCAGCAGTAGCACCTTACGGCTGAGAAGCTCCGGGTTAGCAACCGGGTCACCAAACTCATGCTCCTTGATGATGGCTCCCGCCTCCCTGATCCTTTCAGCTTCCGTATCACAAGAGGACTGGTCGGGTATACTTTTCATCAAGGGCCGGTTTGACCTAGCTTCTAGCTTAGGCAGGGTTTCCTCACTCAAACAGTAGCTCCATATCCAGTCAGAGCACCAGCTTCCTAGACTTGAGGATGTCTCACGTGAGAATTTAAATATCTTTTCCAGGACCTTGATATCACCAAACTTCTGTCGAAGCTTGCTATAAAGTGGTGTCTCAAAAGGCAATTCAAGCCTATCATATTCCCAAATTTCTTCTGTTGGCCGAGTCACGCTCTGCCGTAGAAGAGCAGGATTTGATGCCGTGGTTATCTGGCTGTCGAGCATGGCTTCAAGAGTTCTATGTTAAAATTGATTAGCCCAGATGGTTTTCCATATAGGTACAAAGTACATACTTTGCTGCCCCTACAACCTCAACCTTAGCATCCACTGGTGATGCAGTCATGCCAAATATTTTTGGCTTCCTCTCAGGCTCTTTTAGATAAAAGTCCTTGATGATTCTATACAGAGTATTTTAGCTCAATGCACTTAACATTAAAAACATCACAATATCTTACTTACCTTGCATATGGATGCTCCTTTTTAGCATGGTGAGCCTCATCAAAGATCAACAGGTTTATTTGGTCGATCTGAATAAAGGAATGAAGCAGACATTGATGAAGCACTTCTGCAGTACAGACAATAACCATATTTCTCTTGAAGTGGCCTTCCCAGGTTTCCTTGTTCCAGAGATCTGTCTGCATTGCACCACAAAATTTGTCTATCTTCTGAGGTATATTGTTCTGTAGTACAGCTGCTTGTTGATAAACAAGTGTAACACTATCAACCTACCGAAGATTTAGTATATTAGCGTATAGAGGTATTGGGCGAAGTAACCAACCAGGAAGAATGAGATACGAGGCGGCAGTCCAAGGCTACGGTCTGTCAATTCCTGTTCAATGACATGCTTGAGAAGAAGGACAGCAATAAGTGTTTTTCCAGAGCCTATATTACAATTAGTATTAGGTTAATGATGCATATCAAGATTGAATTCATACCAGTCTCGAGTACAGCAATGATATTCTTCTCCTTTGCTTTCTCAAAAAGCTCAAGCTGATATTCACGAGGGTCATGGATAATCGAGGTATAGTCCTGTTTGGCAATTATATTTGTCATTGATAGCTGAGTATCATCAGTTGCCTTGATAACGGCCTTGACATCATCCTCTGTGATGGCTTCAGCCCGCCGTGACAGCCTAGTGTATAGGATAGATTAGGAGCAAGTAAGATGGTTTATGTTAAGGATTAATATCACGTACAAATCCTTGAATTTACAGTTGAGTGCCCGCCGTTTCTCGCTTGGGTTGGCCGGGTTTGGTTTTTCATCTTCTGTCTCAGACTCAGTAGGAGTCCCTGATCGAGTCTCGGGGGTTGAATCAGCAGCCGGGACATTGGTGTTCTCCTCTTTCAATGTCTGAGGCACATTTGTAGTAGCCTTGTCGATGTCAGAGTTATCCTCCATATTGGTATTTTCTGACTTCAGAAGGTCGGAGTTGTTAGTTGTAGAAACGCAGATTGACCAGGAAGAAGTCTGAGAAGATATAAATAGTGTACTCCGTACCCCGACGCAGCAAATTAGTGAAGGGGCCAGTTCACTTATATACTAAAAGCTGCAGAAGTGAAAGGAAATATCACAATCCACGCCAATACCTGCGTTTGATGTCTAGTTGGTGAATGGCTAGCGAGGTTGTAGACTGATGTTTGCCTTAGCTGAAACAAGACCCATTTCTAACCCGATGGATAAGTTACCAGTTAAAGTGAATGTATATAAAGAATCTGCATAGCTCGTTTCATTCATTGTTATATCAGCCCCTTGATACGATTTTCTTCGCACCAGCCATGAAAGGGCATCAACCAAACTGCATACAACATAGTTGTTGCTTGAGGGGAAACTTGACAGGGAAAAAAGGAAGGGCTGTGTAGTTAACTAGTTGTTTGATACTACCAGTATATGACCCTAAATTAGTGCTCTTCAGCTACTCCAGACCAGGCCAGCAAGTCTGAGCCACCAATAGATACCGCCAGAGAGCCATGAAGGGAGCAGAGGGAGCAGACAGGCTTAAAAAGAAGAATCCTGTCAATATTTGATATTTGATGTTTAGAAGCTTCGTATCAAACATTCAAGTTAGAGTTCAGCGAGCGTAGTGACAGTCACGTGGAACAGGCTCGAGGCAGTCTAACTAACTAGTTAGTTAGTTAAACAACCACTCAACTAGTTAAACTGACTTTAACTAGCTGGCTGGATGATGGAGCCGGGCAGGTCAACAGGCACAAAGTCGCGGAGTCATTTAGAGCAAAGGCCCTCAAGGAGCAGCTATCAGTAAATTGACGTCAAGAGGCGCTCGAGTTGTCAGTGACTTACCATGAGTAGCTCGTCCCCAAGCCTGCAATCCTGCCTCGCTTCTGCAAAGGCAAAAAAACAAGAGCTCGAGACGGCGGCAGATACAAACAGCCCCGCGTTCCAAGAAGATCTCAGCAAAGCTATATCTGCCTTTGAGCAGTGCCAGAGGCTCATACAGCAGCTATCGTTGTTCAGTCCCAATGAATCAGCGGAGGACATAACTACCGGAGATTTACAGTATGCAATATAGCCCCGAGGAAGTTACCAGATGGGAGCTAATGCCAGCTCGACGTGTAACTTTAGATTTTTGACAGTCTCATACCTACTCGCCGAACTGCTCCAACGGTCTTACGGTACGGATCGCCTTAAAACACTCCAGCAGACGCGAGACGAATATGAAAAGTTTCTTGAAGCACTAGACCAGTATGAGCTTCTCTCGCCTTCAAATAAGAAGCTCTACGAACAGTACCTTGAACAGCCAGAGTCGTTCAGCCTGACTCCTACCAATGATGCATCAGCTCGCAGACAAGTGAAAATAGCGAGATTCAAGGAAGAGAAGGAGCTTAAGCAGAAATTGGAGGTTGGTTTGTTCTCAGCTATCTGTGTATTATTCAAGGAACACGACAGGCGGTTTGTTGCTAACGGAGGGAAACTGTAGTACCTTTCGCAAAACAGGGATTCGAGTCACAACGACGATGACATAGTACGGCAGGTGTACCTTGCGGAAATCAATTTTTACACGCACCAAACTTTCCAATCCCTGGATATGCTTGCGCAAGAACTATCCATGCTTAAAGCGGCTCAATCACTTCCCGCAGTTCAGAGAACAGACGAACGTAAACCAGGGCTCTCAGACAGGAAGGATACCGGATATTCCGACCGTCTTGACACGGTTGGTTCGCAGATGGGCCGTGGTCGGTATAGCGGGGTGCTGCTGAGCCCAGACGGTAAACCACTGCAGCCGTTTACCTTGACGAGTCGGAGAACCGATATTCAAAGGGGTGTATTCCGACCAGGACATAATCTCCCTACGATGAGCATCGATGAGTACTTGGAAGAGGAGAGGAGACGGGGTGGTATTATTGAAGGCGGCGGTGAAAAGTCGGGTATCCCAAAGGAGATTGACGAGGATGATTTTGAAAAGGCTGATGAGGAGACTCTTAAGGCGAGGGCCTGGGATGAGTTTACAGAGGCTAATCCCAGGGGTTCTGGAAATACTTTGAATCGGGGCTAGGCCATGTCTTATTTATGATCTTTGCTGAGGGAATGTGCCTCAATCCTGGACGCAATGCCATGTTAGCTGTGCTTTCTACCGGCACTGGCAATTGACACAGGCGTACCCGGCGGGGAAAATTTTCCCTTTTCAGCTCTGGCCACTTTGTCAGAGCTAGATCGAGCAACTCACGACCAAGAATTTCATATGCCTGAATGCTGAATTAGTCTTTTTTTTTTTTTTTGTTGTTGGAAGGGAGGAGAAAGAAAAGAGAGCTGAAACAAAAAGGTATCCTGACCTTGTCTCCAAAGTGGAGTCCATCTGTAAAGTACCCCTTATCAAAGGGCTTTGCACCCGGCATGCCTGAACCCGGAAGCATCTCATCGATGTCAAGATGATAGAATGCATCGTCCTGGGTTGTCCCTTCGATCCTACAGACAGACTTTGTGAGGGAATACCAAAGGTCTAAGACAGCCACTCTGCTGGTCTGGGCTTCATACTCCTTACCAATTTCAACTATTTTCTTTGCATATGTCCGTTTCGACTCCCATGTTCTGTGGCCACGGCTCTGCGATGCCACACTGCGCAGTATAATGGCGGCATCTGGGTTATCCAGGAGAGGCTCCCCTACCGGAACTGGGACATTCACTGGGGGTGGTGAAATGAGGATCACTTTGGTCTCCTGCGTGGCAGGGTCGTCAAGTATGGTATTCAGGTAATGGCGGATATGCTCTTCATACTCCTCAAGGGGGACCATGGCTCCACTCAGCGATAGACATGCATCGTTGGCTCCCAGGAATATGGTGATGAAGAGCGGTGCTGGTGGTCCTCTTGACTTGATAGCTCCCATTAGGTATTCATTAAACTGTCTCCGCAACGACCTTGACGTTTGTCTGATCCAATAAGTCCAATGTTCGTAGACTTGCCACCGAGTGGGAAACGGATACTTAAACATACCCAGAGTAACCTATTCTTCTAGTCAATCTGCGATTCTCCAGTATAGCCGCTCTCATAGCAAGCAATTTAAAATAAAAAGCCGGAAGAAGTATGAAAAAATATTCAAGATGAACTGCCTACCTTCGTTCACGACCTCCACTCTATCTGCGTAGTACTTCTGTAGCTGCCAGCCAAAGCCGACGTCTTGCGGGAAGAAACCCCTTTCGGTCAGGGAGTCGCCAAAGAGGTATATCCGTGGATAGTCGTTAGGCGTGACCTTGTCCAGCCTGCTGTCCCGCCGGAAGTATCGATAGGACATGGCTAGTCAGTTAACTAGGAAATTAGTTGAACTAGCCTGTGGGGATATAATTTAAGGTCGAGAGAGTAGGGCGACTATTCTGTCTGGAAAAGAGAGAGACAGCGGACCGTCGACGGCCTCTTCCTGGCTATATGACATGCGCGGGGCAAAGGAAAGCAGAAGAAGACGAGAGAGCTACGGGAAGATGGAAAACGGATGCGAAGGCACGCATCCCGGGGTTGGGATGCTCTTGTTCTAGGCCGGGCTCTGCGGATGCAGCGCCTGCAGGAGCCGTCTAGTTCGTTAGACATACATATAACTACGCATTGGGTTGGCGAGCAGCCTTGGTTGGGCCGACTAGTCACAGCCTCCATGCCGCCGCCCAGTGGGACAAGGGGCGGGAGCAGTTCTGATATAACTCGATAGACACTTGGACTCTTTTTTAGAGCTACGATTTCACTGCCTAGATAGACTAACAGCGCGAACTAGTCAATATCGGGCGCCATCCCCTGAGGCTAACTATGGATCATTATGGACCATGTTGTGCCTAGATCCTGGAGAAAGCAAAGAGACAGGGGCACTTAGTTTAACTATGTAGTACGACTCTCAGACTGAACCAGCCCTCCTAGCAGTCTGACTGGTTGACTATTCCACGGGATGAGGGCGGAAAGAAGGGATGAACGCGAGGTGGTTGGCGTTTACCATGCTTTCTTCTTCTGCTGGATGACTTCGAGGATCTTGCCCGCCCCTTTCTCAACCATTTCGTCTGCAACAGCCTTGCCAAACTCTTCAGCTTGCTCTGGCGCCTGGACATGGCAGTCCTTCTCGATTTCCACGGCCTCCTTGCCGTCTATACTAGTGACGATGCATCGAAGCCTCAGCATCTCACCATTCCCACTCGCATTTGGAACCCATTCAGTCTCAACGCCGAGGGGAGCACTACATCCACCTTCCAGTGTCCGCAGCAAATTTCTCTCGGCCAAACAAGCGAATGTCGTTTTCTGATCTCCAATCTCCCGCAGCATCTCAGCCATTTTCTCGTCGTCAGCCCGAATTTCAACCCCAAGCGCCCCCTGGCCCACAGCATGGAGCATCTTCCCATTTTTGGAGTCGAGATACTGCGCAATGCGATCTCCGTGTCCCGATCTCAGCAGGCCAGCGGCTGCAAGTATGATACACGTAAACGGGCCGTCTTCCGCATCCAGCTTGGCTAAACGTGTGTCGATGTTACCTCGTACATCAATGACCTTGAGATGTGGATAATGGCGGCCGAGCTGTGCTGTACGACGGACGGAGGACGTTCCAACCACCGAGCCTGCCGGCAGTTCTGCAAGTGTCATCTTTGGCTGGCCCTTCTTGACCACCAGCGCATCTCTTGGATCCTCACGTTTCATGATGGCGCTCAGTGTGCAGGCCTCGGGGATTTGCGTGGGGACATCTAGTCAGGTTAGTAACTGATTTCCCATCCGTATTGTTATCTTATAAAACGACCATACTTCAGCAGGCAAGAGGAGAGCATATCACACCTTTCAAAGAGTGCACTACGAGGTCAAGCTGCTTTGCCAGCAGCATCTCCTCGAGCTCCTCTGTCCACAGATTCTTCGACGTGAACTCCCGAAGCGGGGTAACTTTGTTCAGATCACCAGCAGCATCGCGAGTGTGAACATTGAATTCGCAGTCTGGCCATCTCGCTACCAGGGCATCCCGTACGATCTCCGTCTGTAGCACGGCCAGGTTCGATTTGCGCGTTCCGATGGTGAACGTCTTGCGCGGGGCGTCCATCTTATCTGATCGTGGCCCGTGGGGTTCCAAATGTTTAGCAAAAATCGGGTGTGTGAGAGATGCGATGCAGAGTAATCAGGCAATCGTAAAAAATTAAGCTGCGAGTTATAAAACGAATGAATCTGCCGACGGAGGTATGATACTGCTATTCCAGACGAGAAAGCTGTAGAGATTGGTCCTTGCCGTACTCCGTAGCTCTGGATAGACTGGAGCACTAGGAGATTTTTTTTTGGCTTGGTTTCCCCAAAATTAGTTATGGCTCCATGCAAGCCTCCCAGGGCATAGTTTCTCAACCACAGGCCATCACTCCAACATTATTGAGCCATGTCACTTTTGTATGTAAGTAGGTAAGGGCAAAAAAGGACCCTGACTAGCTCTGCAACACGGCCACCAAACTAGATAATTACTCCGTACAATCAATAACAACCGATCGACCGTCGCTTTCCAAAGCGACCTCGAGCTTCAGGACGCAAACTTATGGTGGGCCGCCGCTGACATGTGACATCCAAACTGACTAAGCAATCAACATCACGTGAAGCTGGCGGAACTCTAAGGGCGCTTTCGGCTTGGCAGTAACCTCGGCATCTCGACGAAAGCGCCGCAGGGCGAAGAAGGAGAGACGAGAAGAAGAAGCGAGAAGTCGACAAGACGAGAAGAAAACACTGCTGAAGGCGACGGCGGCGACGACACTGCCGAGGGCCGGCTTAGACTCCCCGGACATAAACAGCCTGCGTTGGCCTCACCCACCGGCTTTGACTGCACACCTCAATTATATCCTCCTTCTCACGTCGACAACTGCACCCGGACGACGGAATAACTTGGTGGCGACAGAGCAAACCCCCGGGACTGCCGTTTGACGTGCGGCGCTGTTATAATACCGGGAGATCGAAGATGGCCTCCAGCAGCGGTAAGAGGGCCATGAAGGTCCCGCTGATACCTCTTGCCAGAGACCTGGTCCTTCTCCCAAGCGTCAACCTGCGAATCCCGCTCGCAGACCGCCCCGATATCCCGACGCTCCTCACCTCGCTCTTTAGCAGACATGCAAAGCAACGACAGAACAACACTCCGATACTGGTGGGATGCATCCCACTGAACTCGCCCTTTTTGTCCAAGGACGGCCAGTTGCTGCTTACTGATGGGGACAAGGCGAGGGCTCGGTCGATAGACGAAGAGCCCGTCAACCCTGCGGCAGCCGGAGTTAACGACCTCTTCCAGTATGGAACGATCGCTAAAGTGGTCGGAGTCCAGGGAAGAGCAAATGCGGAGCCCTTCCTACTGGTCGAGGGAGCGAAGCGGTTCTCAGTGCAGAAGATCTTGAAGGAGAAACCGTTCTTTGAAGCAGAGGTGCTGGTCTATGACGAGCCAGGTAGGATAGCTTATATTCCGCTAGGGACAATGTACTCTGCTAACAATGTGATTTTTTTTTTTCTCTACAGTCCCCCACTCTATCGATCCTGAAATCCCGGAATTGTTCCAACAGCTCAAACAGCTATCTCGCGAACTCCTCACTGTTCTACGACTCGCCTCTGTTTTCTCGGCTTCGTCCAGCATGTCTCCTCTGATTGCCCGGCGGTTCGAACTTTTCATCGCGAAACGGGACATATCTCAAGCTGGTGCCTTGGCGGATGTCATTGCTGATCTGATCGATGCCGGCTTCGAGGAGAAACTCCGAGTCCTAGCCTCCGTCGAGTTGAAGGACAGGCTGGAACGTGTCATTGAAATGCTGACCAAGGAGGTCCAGGGTATGAGAAATAACATTAAGGTGACAACATTCACCACAACAATACCTTCCAACATGGGAGTTGATATCAAACAGCTCGACCCTCGACAGCGGGAGCTCTACCTTAAGCGCGGTATGCAGATGAATATGCCTGGTATGCGAGGCAACGGAAACGGAGACGACGGAGAAGACAAAGAGCCAAACGAGATAGACGAACTTCAGCAAAAGCTCCAGGAAGCGCAGCTGAGCCCTGAAGCGCAGAAGGTTGCCGACAGGGAGATTAAGAGACTTCGCAAGATGAACCCTGCGAATGCCGAATATGGAGTTTGCCGCAACTACCTGGAAAATATTGCGGAGATTCCCTGGTCCAAAGCCACCGAAGACCAGTTAGGCCCAGAAACACTAACTCGGGCTAGACAACAGTTAGACAATGACCACTATGGACTCGAGAAGATCAAGAAGCGTCTTTTGGAATACCTCGCCGTCCTGAAGCTGAAGCAATCTTTGAACAATGATGTTGAGTCACAGATCACTGAGCTCTCTAACGACCTCACAGCAAAGGAAAACGCCACTGAAGACGATGACTCTTCTTCCATCGCTGAACGGGATGCCATTGAGACAAAACTACAGCTGCTCAAGTCGAAGCGTGTAGTTGATAAATCACCAATTCTCCTTCTGGTTGGCCCTCCAGGTACTGGCAAGACTAGTTTGGCCAAATCCATTGCTACATCACTCGGTCGCAAATTCCACCGCATTTCTCTCGGTGGTGTCAGGGATGAGGCCGAAATTCGCGGCCACCGCAGAACCTATGTCGCAGCCATGCCCGGACTTATTGTCAACGGTCTTAAAAAAGTCGGAGTTTCAAACCCAGTTATGCTCCTTGATGAAATTGACAAGGTTGGCGGCGCAAACTTCCACGGTGATCCATCAGCTGCCATGCTCGAAGTCCTTGATCCTGAGCAGAACCATACCTTCTCCGACCACTATATCAATATCCCCATTGATCTGAGTAAGGTACTATTCATTGCTACTGCAAACTCTCTGGAAACCATTCCTCCACCACTGCTGGATCGTATGGAGACTATTTACTTATCCGGATACACCACTGTGGAAAAGAGGCATATCGCGAAGCAGCACCTCCTCCCGAAGCAAATTCGAACAAATGGTCTATCTGAAGGCCAGGTTATAATTACGGACGAGGTTATGGACAAGATTATAACCTCTTATACCCGTGAGTCGGGTGTACGGAATCTTGAACGCGAAATTGGCGCCGTATGCCGATTTAAAGCAGTTCAATATGCAGACGCCAAAGACTCTTCGCAACTTGACCAGTACAACCCTAACGTATCCGTCGATGACCTTGATGAGATACTAGGCATTGAGCGGTTTGACGAAGAAATCGCTGAGAAGCTGGCCAGGCCAGGTATTGTCACAGGCCTTGTCGCATACTCCTCTGGCGGCCAGGGCAGTATTCTCTTTATAGAAGTGGCTGATATGCCTGGAAGCGGAAGTGTTCAACTCACTGGTACCCTCGGTGATGTTCTCAAGGAGTCTGTCGAGGTGGCCCTTACCTGGGTCAAGGCTCACTCGTATGAACTTGGCTTAACACAAGATCCTAATGAGGATATCATGAAACACCGCAGCTTGCATGTCCACTGTCCTTCTGGGGCGATCCCTAAAGATGGTCCATCTGCCGGACTCGCCCATACCATTGCCTTGATTTCTCTTTTTGCCGGCAAGGCTGTTCCACCTGAGGTTGCCATGACCGGCGAAGTATCTCTACGTGGACGGGTAATGCCCGTTGGAGGAATCAAGGAGAAACTGATCGGTGCTCATCGAGCTGGTGTCAAAACTGTTCTTTTACCCCAGCAAAACGTCAAGGATGTTCGAGATGTCCCGAAGGAAGTCCAGGAAGGACTTAATATTGTCTACGTTACGTATGTGTCAACTTATTATACTGCAATTGAAACCAGCTGCTAACCATATCCCCAATTTATAGGCACATCTGGGACGCTATCAAACAGATCTGGCCCGATGGCCATTGGCCTGGAGAGCAACGTCACCCAGTATTTGAGAGCCGGTTGTAGTAGTACTCGCTCAACTGGGAGTTTTCCCGTGTGATACGAGTATAATGGAACGTATAATGGAACATGAAACGGTTGTTCATGGACGGAGTTATCACATACGTCAAGGAGTTCAGCAATGAATATTGCATATTTCGGTTGTCTTTTGCTTTCTCCCTCGTTACAGCGTCTAATTAAATTAACTCTATACTTCATTCATTTGTATATTTAGCAATGCATTTTGGAATTAACTGCATGACTTATTAATGCCTATCTCTAATATGCAACTTCTTGTCAGAGATGGAAATCTTCCAATTAACACAGTAACCGGGGAAATATAATAATATAATCTGATAATACATAGCAGTAAAAATATTCTAATGTACAACCAACAACCCATCCACGCTATAGCTGGTCAAACAGTGAAACATAACCCTCCAATAATATATTCGAGGAAATATCCCGGAGGCACGCTCTTGTCATAGTAGAGGTCCTCCATTCCTGTCTTCAGATGAAAATTTTTATATCCAACAACTGCACGCGCCTTGCGCCGGATTGACTTCCGCAGTTTTAGCTTTCTGGTGACTGAACTGGTTCCTGTGTCTATGATGCTTCCTTTGGCTCGCGTTCTTCCTTGTTGAATAATGGTCTCTGAGAGCTCAGGCCCAGTGCTTGCCAGGTTGGCTGCCACTGCTCTTCACCTTTTAGAACCTGCTTTGCTTGTTCGGCTAGCAGTTGTCGTTTTCGTGTGGGAGCCTTCATTGGCGCGTCGTGAGCGTGCGCCGCCTGGAAGTCCTCTTGCATCTTCTTGGCTTCGAAGAATGTGTCTCGTTCCCATCTAAATAGCAGTTAGGAAATTATCCAAAGCGATCCCGTTGTCTAAGTTTAAACTTACGGCTCAAAGTCTTTTGGTTCTTCAGGCCACACGAAGGGTTCGGTCATCTCAATCGTCATTTTCTTCTTCGGCATCGGGCGCCGCATTGGGCCAACACCCTGTCTTCCTCGTGGAAGCTCACGCGTAACCTTCTGCTGTTCAACATAGCTTCGTACTTTGATAACGTCGACATTGTATACTCTCTTCATATAGTCTTTCATGTCAAGTTTGTTGAAGGTAAGAGGGACCCAAAAGGAGGCATATCGAGGCGGTAGGAACGGAGTCCTTATGAGCGTGAGCACGAAATCTGGTCTGCATAAGGAATTAACACAAAGTTAGCAATCTGGCAGCGTAATCAAACCGAATTGAGGCGTCAAAGATTCAGTAAGTGATCCGGAAAGCTGGTCAGGACTGTTATTCATGGACTGACAGATATATCTGCTTCCGCTGGTCAAGCGGAAGTGGTTTCGGCAGGTTTTTAGGTATCGCCTTGGATATTGTAGATGCCATTGCAATATTTGTCCTCTCGATAAGGATTAGGGAGTTCAAGTGAGGACCTGAAGAGGCGGTAAGTAGTGGAATGTTTAATCGACAGAGAATGGCTGTTGGCTTAGTCCTTGAAGGCACTTTTTTTGAACATTTGAGATTGAAAAAGTCACGGTTGGTCTCTCCCGCGCACCGTACTCGAACTTTATCTGGAAACCTTAATCATCACCAAGAGTTGACAAAGGTTGATTGATGTAAAGAGTCAGAAGGACTTATACAGCCAGTCTAATAATTAGAAATATCGTGGTCTCATATACCGATCCTAGTCTAATTACATGAAATTTTTTAGCATTTGTTTTTCTTAATAATTATGAAGGCCCAGATATGGTGAGCTTTTCCATCTTGATCTTAGCATCGGGTTCAGGTATCTGCGGTTTCTGCTCAAGTTGTTCGTCTGCATCTGAATTTTCGAAGCCATTATTTTCCTCTCCTTGACCTAAGTTGTCATCTTCATTTTCTTCGGTCTCATCGACGTCTAACTCGTTATCGATGTCTTCGTGACCATCTTCAATGCCCTGAGCATCACCATCAACACCAACTTCTTTCATATATGCCTCCAGCTCTTTAGCCATCTTCTTCGAAAAGCCCGATGCCTCGACAGCCACATCCAATCTAGGAGTTCCGTCTGTCCCCACCAGTTTTCGGGCCTCAGAAAAGAAGGGTCCTGGTTCATCACTGACAAACCCAAAACGCCGTTGGAAATAACGTTTGATGCAGTTAACATCTCTGTCAAAGTACATCTCAGCGTTCGCATGATCCACTGAGACCATCTGAGGAAAATCAATCACAACCGGAGTGAGCTTGATATTATCTTCTTTCTTGTCTTTATTTTCTTCGTTAGTTTTCACAGGTATTTCCTCTTCTTTTATTAGAATGTTAAATTCGTTATAATCGCCGTGTATCAAGCCAAATTTGGCCAATTCCATGATAGTGTCGATTAATTCTGCATATAAAGCAGCAGGGTTGGGAACAGACGATATTTGCCGAAGGGGGAATGCATCAATCATACTCATAACGATGGTATGTCGATTTTGTGAAATAGGCTCAGGGACAGAAAACCCATGGTCCCTTAGAGCCTTCATGAATGCAAATTCTTTAATCGCAGCAAGTCTGGACATGTACATCCATGATGCAGAGCTTCGGTGTCGGAGATAGTCTCTGTTATTCTTGATCGAACGGAAAGATATCCGCCCTAATCGATGTATCTTCAAGATTCGTTGCGTTCCAGATGCCTCTGCCACGGCTATAATATCTGATTCTTTCCCGACACCTATTTGGTTTCCCACAGAGTAAACCACTTGCTGCTTTTGGTACGTATTGAGAGCAAGATAGTCAAGCCCTCCGTATGTAAGCCGATAACCATCATCTAATAAAACATCCCGCATCAGTATCTCTAATAGCCGCTGACATTGCTCTCAAATAGCGTATGCGTACATTTGGCATTTTTCACCCGAGCAATTAAATTCAGTTTCGCAAGATTTGATATAGACTTATGAACAGCACTTCCTCCTCGTAGGCCGGAAAGTCGAACGATTAGTGGGGTTGGAACGACCTCATGGTTTCTGCTTCCCGTCTCAACCTGTAGGCACAATTAGCGAGAGATGGAAATTCACAAAGTCGATTTACTTTACCCCAGTGAGTACTCGAAAGTCTTCCCCGGTCAAGTATCTTAAGGCCTTCGCATCCAACTTCATGGTTACAACTATGCTCAAGCTCAAGTGTGTCTTGTCTATACTCAGAGAAAGTCCATTTTTACTATTTCACATTTGGTGGATGATAAAAAAAAAGTAGCGCGGGCGAGCTTATCATCACGTGATTATTACACGCGGCTGCACTAGCGCTTGATCTATGCAAAAGGGTAGCCATCTAAAAATAGTAGAACAAATCCGCAGCAATATGACGAAATCTAGGTAAGGTAGCTAACGGCCAATTCAGGCTTTATTACTGAACGTACTGCCTTATAGAGACAGGACAAAGGCTCCAACTTATACTCTGTCGAATTCGAATTCCATATTTCAGGTTGCCTGGGTTGCGACTCTTATATAATCCAGATTAAGCGCTAGTACTAAAATAGGAAAAAGTAAACGCCCAACCTCACTTTTCCATTTTTGGCCAGACCGTGCCAGACGTTGGTCTCACCCCAATATCAAGCATCGACATCTGGTCTTTGCCAGCTCTGTGTCCACACATCGCGACTACGCATGGCTTTTTGACCTTTTCGCTCGTTTTTTGGTCACACTGCTACTGGTCACGGATATTTACTCTCCCCTCTTGCTTCAGCTGCACTCTTGGATTGCCGATTGGGACCCCCTTTTCAACTTCGACAGTTCAGCGCCCCGCTGCACGCCTTGCTCGTCCGATAGCCGCATTCCCAACTGGTGTGCCAGGCCTGGACGCCATGGGGTTTGGAGATTTTGATGCGATATGCCGGAAGGCGGCGTTGCCGCTATGCTCTCTCGTTGGACCGAAGACGGGATTCGCAGGGACGAGAGGAATACTACCGAACTGTTATGCGAGAAGCATCGAGGTTGCCAATACAATTATTTTCCAGGGCGCGGCAGGAATAATACATATCATGGCTTTGGGAATGGCAGTGGTTATGATCATTCATATCCGATCGAAGTTTACTGCAGTCGGTAAGGATATCTTGCGCGAAAACTCTTTCTCCAAGCCCAGGTGATGGCGACTAATGCGTTCATTCGCTTTTTATAGGCCGAAAGGAAATCATAACGTCCTTCTACCTTTATATGGCTCTCACCGTCTGCTCGCTTGTACTTGATACGGGGGTAACTCCTCCAGGCAGTGCAGCTATGCCTTACTTTGCTGCGGTACAAAATGGTCTGACGTCCGCGATGTGTACGAGTCTTTTGATCAACGGCTTTGTTGGATTCCAGTTATATGAAGATGGCACTGCCCTTTCGGTATGGTTGTTGCGGTTCTCCTCCCTGGGAATGGGCTTAGTGTCTGGAGCGATATCTCTCTTGACCTTCCAAGGATGGGCAGGTCTTTCCCCGACGAATACTGTTGCCATGTTCGTGGTTCTGTATGTGTTGAACGCCTTGTGTTTGGCCATATACGTGATTATGCAGATTATTCTCGTCGTCAATACTCTCCAAGATCGCTGGCCTTTGGGACACATTACGTTTGGTGTCTTCTTCTTCGTTGCTGGACAAGTCATTTTATACGTGTTTAGCGACACGGTCTGCGAGGGTGTTCAACATTACCTAGATGGATTGTTCTTCGTTACTTTCTGCAATCTGCTCTCTGTCATGATGATCTATAAGGTAAGATTTCTGAAATACCCCCCTCCTACACAGTCAATACTAATCAACATCCACTAGTACTGGGACTCCATCACCAAGGAAGATCTCGAGTTCTCTGTTGGTCTCAAACAGAACAACTGGGAAGTGAAAGAGCTTTTACCCGAAGAAGAACGCCGGGCTACCTTTTATGTTGACACCAACTCGGAGTATGCTGGCAGCATGTACCACAACCGAAGCTCGGCACATGGTGGCCATTCAGCTTATTAGACCGTATTCGATTCTTTTGACTGCCACTCACCTTTATAATTCATCTTACTTTTCAAACAGTTTCCCCCCTTTTGGAGTTCTATATACCATATAATTGATGATTACCGCTCCTTGTACCAGCCTATCTTGTCTCCATGTCCCTTGCGGTGGTTATTACTTCACGCCTTTTTTTTTTTTCCCTGACGAGCTCTTCCGTATTTGGCGTTTCTATTTCTGACCCTTGTGTGCGCTGTAGCATATATATGCATGCCTTTGACCTATTGATGTATCATTTCCATTTCCCCCCTGTTATACCTGCTGATACTAGAGCATTACATACCAACCAATACAATTTTGTTCATTACCAATTGCATTAATCTACAACTCATGTTCTGCATATACGTACGTTAGATGCGAAATTAGTCTTGATCGTCCTGCAGGGAAACGCCCATAGAGTGCCCATGTACGTCACTCGAGGATGGTCACTCTTCTCACCAATTAACCCCTCAGCTTTTTCACATCTCAAAAGAACCCAGAAAGGAGCAATTGGAGCATGCCATGCCAGGAACAATGACTGAATAACACGAGACAGCTCGGAGATCGGCAAAAGGCCTGCGTCACTCACGGCCAGAGGGAGATGAAATATCAGGCATCAACACGGGATGCGGGATAGCATGACATCCTTCAAGAGAACATGCCACCTCCAAGCGGGAAATCAAAATCCCTGTTGCATTATTGTCAGCCACCATCAAGATGAAAAGGCTGCGAGGGTGAGCCGATATGGAGGGAGCATGCAGGTATGGTGTGGTGTTGATGGAGGGATACTGATAAGCAGCTTCTGCACAGTGTCAGCGCGCCAACCGGGTTTCAGAAATAGCCTTCGGAAGAAGCCGGATGCAATCCGGGCCCCTTTCAGTATCCATCATACGTTATGGCTGTTAGTTAGTTGTTCATGCTGTAGCACTCATCTTCTCCGACCCCAATATTGGTGATTTATCGGGAGGAAGAGGCCGGGTTTGTTTTGTTGCGTATTGCATGCTTCGTGTGCCTCTTGCTCAATATGTAACTCTGTAGACAGGCACACAAAGCCATTTGGTTGGTCCAATATTGCATCACGTGATATGGCTTTCTCAAGCAAAAAATCTTTACCAAAGAGCTTTTTGCAGTTTGACGACGATGTGAAAAGCGACGAAGCAGCGAATAATTCAAGCGACCACGATGCCTCCACGACTGCCGCTGCGGCTTCTGTCGCAATCCGTCTCGTCGATTTCATCCTCCATTCAGTCACATGTCTCACCGTCGTTCCTTTTCCTATTACCGTCCATCCATACCCAGACCCGAGCGGCTTCAATTCTAGCCTCGCTCTCCGACAACCCAGGAGCATACAGCAAGAAGATCCGCCGTGGTCTTGGTCCTGCCTCAGGCAAGGGAAAGACGGCCGGTCGTGGTCACAAGGGTCAGGGCCAGAGGGGAAGCAAGAAGGCATTCTTCAATGGAGGACAGACGCCGGACGAAGTTGTGCACGGCGAGAGGGGCTTTGACAACATGTGAGTTGAAAAAATAACCTTCAATTGGAGACTATTTCACTCATCTGCATTAAACATGCTAATACGGTGTGTGAATTGAACTATAGATTCGCGTTGAAAATATCTCCCGTCAACCTTGATCGCATCCAAGATTGGATTGACCAAGGCCGCCTCGATCCTTCACAGCCCATAACACTCCGAGAACTGGTGAAGTCTAGATGTATACACGGCATAAAGGATGGAGTTAAATTGCTCTCACGCGGAGGAGAAGGGGCCCTTAAACAACCCATCACGATCATTGTCTCACGCGCCTCTGCCAGTGCAATCCAGGCCGTCGAGGCAGCTGGTGGCTCCATCACGACTCGATACTACACCAGACACGCCATCAAGAGGATTTTGAGCGGCAAGACTGACCCTTATGTCTCTCTTGCATGGAAGGATACTTCGGAGAAACTTGCTGAGGCGGCCGCCAAGGGCGAGGACGTTTCCCACATCGATACCGAGCTGATGCAGAAGATTGGCATGGGCATCGATAAACCGTTGACGAAGGGCAATGGGTTCCAGTACCGTCTTCCTGACCCGACCAGCCGAAGGGATATTGAGTACTACCGAGACCCAGCCCACCGAGGGTACCTGAGCTACCTGGTCAAGGAGGGAGACAGCCCCAGCTTGTTCTTCACACCGCCATCCGCAGAGCAGAAGGCGAAGAAGGCCGTCAAGAAGTCGGCAGAGAACAGAGTCTGGTAGTGTTCTTGATCTTCTTGCCGGCTAATAATTCCCTTGACCGTGACTGTCGGTTTTCTGTGGCCTCTTTTCTTTTTTTTTTTTTTTTTTTCCCTACTAATCTGCCTGCTGTCTTTGTGAAACGGGAATGTATGCTTTTGGATTTTTGGGGATTAGCTCATGTAAGATGTACCAACTGTATATTATAGATAACTTCAAACAATTAAAAGGAAGGGAACATAATCATCTCCATCCTTCCAGCTCCATCGTCTTATCCGTGTGCCCGGTACGTCTCAGGCAAACAATATCTCGGAAGCCCGCCAAAGAGTAACACCACGCTAGTCAGATCTGACACCAAGACCAGCAGCCATGCCAGGTTATCAAATATCATTCCTAATGGAAACTCCTATCAGTTTTAAATACAACCAGTCAAGCCACCGCCGAGCAGACTTGTCCTGTTTCCTTTGCTTATTTTATTTCGAGCCCTGGTCACGGTCTGCATGCTACTAGTGAACTGATATGAGTGTACAACCACCGTATGCCGTCTACCGTCCAGCCAGCGTCGTCCTCTCTGCGCGCGCGCTCGCAGTCGAGGCAGCCTGGGATGCAGGAAGTCTAACCTGCAGGCAGCAGAGCCAGGCAAGTCAGAAGATAACACATGCACACATGCGAGCAACGGGGTTATACAGCAAGCCAGGGAAGAATGGAGGATTGTGCTCCGCAATCCACAGACGCAAGTTGCTGCGTTTCTCCGTCAAACCTGCAGCCCGTAATATGGGGTAGATAAGAGGCCTTCCAATGAACGACGCCGAGTTACGCTTTAGTTCGCGAAGTGTCAACCGAGCCCTCGCCCAAACGCCGTCCGTCCGTCCGCTTCCCCCCCACGTCGAGCAACGCTCGAGTAACAAGAGAGGAGTGAAGTACTTTACTTTCGGCGGCCTTCTTTGCAGACCCACTAATAACTCATAGCTTTATGTGGTGGTGCCCGCAGAGAGGAGGAGAGGACGGCGACAGTCCTGGTGATGGTGGTGAGGGGCGGGACGGGGCATAAACAAGTTCGCTGCGAGATCGCCGGCGCGAATATCAGGATTTCACCTACACCTTTCCACCTCCTCCTCCCTCCTCATCTTTGCCACAAAAGTAAGTAAGGGAAGACAGCACACACACACTCGCCCATGCCGTTTCGGTCAGCGGTAGGGATCATTGTCTCTCGGAATTAGGAATATAAAGGGACAGACGTGGGATATGCTTTCTTCTCCTGGCTCGGAGGTAGGGACAGCTGGGCAGGGAGACTAAGCGACCAGGACAAGGGAGGGCCCTGTCCTTGCACCAGAGGTGGACATACATTAAGACGGTCGGACAGGGACAGGAGAGCTAGCTTGCTCTGCCGACCAGATTGACTCTGGTGGACAGGAGTGAGATGGGAGTTACTATACGTGTGTGTGAAGTATATATGCAGCATACGAGTGCATGCACAGGGGTTAGGAGCAGATGCAGCCTTCGTCTCCACAGCAGTCGAGTGTAAACAGAGTGCTCTGTACACAGATAGTACATGGAGTCCAGGCCAATGAGATGGATGCCCGTCTCCTGGGAGAGCAAGGGGGGGCCATCTAAGATTAACAGCAGTGTGGAGTCTTGGTCAAGTTAGCTGTCGTTACTCTTACGATAGGAGACGTGGAGAAGAGGCGAATATAGGTAGGATTAGAGGACTATTACTTATGTGGGGGAGGAGTAATTGAGGAGGCCCGAAACCGCTTTGAGATGCCAGGTAGGAGAAAGGGAGGGAAGGGGAGGGAGGGAGATGAAGAGAGGAGCGGACCATGCAGGTTGATAGCTAGGTACACACATTATTGCAACACACCACACCACAAACACACACCACTTCTCATACCACGCCATCCGCCACGCCGTATCATGCCATGCCATGCCATGCCCATATGTCCGTTCATCATAAGAAGCCAGAGCGAAGAGACATTAACAAACAAGTAGGAGAAGAGACGTGAGACACCGTTAACACCAGTAGCTGAGCAGAGCAGAGAACGCAACACATGAGACCCATGATATCCGACGCAGATGAGGAACGAGTCAAAGAGGAAAAAGAAGATGAGCCAGCCATATCAAGATGTTTCCCGCCAACGAGTACATGAACGAACAAGAAGGAATAAGAAACAAAGCGAGGGATAACTAGCCGAGAAAAATGGAATGGATGCGAATAGGACGGAAGAGGGTACAGGGTATCAGTCATGAGAGCGTAACAAAAAAAAAAAAGACACGAGCAATAATGATAATAGAGACAGGAACATGCATAAGACATGAGGCAGCCATCCCAGCAAACAATCAACAGGCATGAAAGTAGATGATGTTAACAAGAGGTAAGAGGAACAAGAAAAGAAAAGAAAAAAAAATAAAAGGAGCAGAAGAAGAAAAGAAGAAGCTAAAACGCTTAACTTTCAAAACGTGGAGAAGTGGAATCAAAGCGAACATCAAATGAATGCCTCCAGATGCTAGTTGGTGATGGTATTGGTAGATGTGATTGTTTTTCCCCATTCACACCTTTCAAGAGGAGAACCCCCATCGATTGAGGCGAGTGGCGAGCTCCGCAGTATCCGCGCAGCTTTGAAACCATCGGCAAGCAAGGACGTCGGAGATCGTCCATCGTTTCATGGGGTCCATCTCAAGACACCCCTCAATCATCTCCAATGCGTCTTCACGGTCTTGCTTCTCGGATTCGTCCGAGGTAGCCAAGACAGCGCTGCGGTCCCATTTGCCAGCCAGAATGTTGCTCGGGATACGTGGCTGGAAAGAACTCTGGAAAGGTCTGGAACCGACGATAAGGGAGTAGGCAACGACGCCAAACGCCCAGACGTCGACAACGGGATCGAGGACCCCGACGTTGGCCATCAGGAGCTCCGGGGAGGCATACTCCAGGCTGCCGGCCACGCTGGTGCTTGTGTCCGACGGTCCGATAGTTCTGGGTGGAGGTCGATCAGCGGCGTTGTCGTAAGGGTCTGGCGAGCTGCATGTGTCGGTGGTCATCCATTCGGCCATGCCAAAGTCACAGAGGATCAAGCGGGGGATATCTCCAGAATCCTCCTGGGGTTGCAGTAGGCAGTTCTCCAGCTTGATATCACGGTGGACAACACGGGCGTCCTCGTGTAGGTATCGAAGAGCACAGGCCAACTGGTAGGAGTACTGCTTTGCGTGGGAGAGTGGGATTTCATGGCGCTTCTTCTTGACCAGGTCGAATAGCGAGCCCCCTTCGGTAAGTTTTGTGAAGCAGAATGTAGCGTAGTCAGTTTCGTAGACCGCATCAAGCGGCAGGATATGTGGATGGTTAAGGTACCTCCAGATGCGAACCTCGTGGTCAAATTCGGCCTGGGCTTGGTCGTTTTCTCTCTCACTTTTGCCCGAGAGGTACTTTTTCACAATCTTGACAGCATGACGGATCGTCTGGCCTTCGTCAGTGACTTTGAACGCTTCCTTGACGGTGCTGAAGCCTCCAAACCCGATCTGCTTGCCGATAACGTAGTCCTGCCCGATGACCTGGCCCTCGTCGTCAGGCTTGGGAGCAGGAGCCTCTTCACGGTTCATGGTAGAGAGAAAAGCGCTGGCGGGTGATTTGCCGCTCATGTTGGGCGATTTGCGAGAGTAAGAACGCATGGATTGTCGTAGACTGTTTGTACGTCGACCAAAGGAGTAGCTTTCGGTGAGGCTGCCGTAGAGATGACGGGAGAGACTCGGCCACGAGTCTCCTTCACTGTCGATCGAACCATGGCGGCGGAGGTTTGGTGAAGATAAAAAGGGTGAGGTGAGGCTGCCCTGGCGTGAATCTGGCGGCGTTCTCAGTTCATCAGAGAGGGGAGAAGCCGTCGAAAGTGAGGTCAAAGACGTAGGCCGAGGAAGATCATCATCGGCGGAGAAAACCTCTGATAAGGGGGAAGCCCGTGGAGAGTGACACTGAGAAAAGTCATCTCCCGAGCTATCATTATGACGAGGGCCTTGGTGGTGGTTATGATGAGGATGATGATGATCGTGGTTATGGCGATGGTTGTGGTGGTTATCATGGTGGGAATTGTATCCGTCCCTGTCATTGTTGCTGGCTGCTGCCGTCTGAGCGAGACGCTCAGGAGCGGCATTGGCGTAGAGCTGCTTGAGCTCTGACGATCCAGGACCGGAAGCAGGCCTGACGCCAATCTGGCTTCTCCTTCCAAGACTGCCGATGGGCTGCTCCAGGGCGATTTGGTCACCGGTTTCTAGCGTGACCTGGGGATTGAAGCTGATGGAGGGCCTCCGGGTCCTGCCAAAGTGGTGATCCAGGGGTGACGGGTCCTGGTACCGGTTGGGGTCATATTCGCAGACCTCATCAACGCCGGGAGAGCCATGAAGCTTGTCCTCGGGGTAAGGCACGCTGATGGGCGGCGTTGGTACGTGAGGCGTCCATGACTGCTCCGTCTCCTCCTTTCTGGCAGCCGTATGGGCAGCACCAGCATCAGTACCGGCACCGGCAGAGGCAGAGGGAGAGGCAGAGGGAGACAGGGGCGGAGAGGGAGAGTGGCCGCTGGGGGAAAGGCGACGGTTCAGGCCATTGCTTCCGCCGCGTTGATACATCGGTCCATGCTCTTCGTGGTCTAGCACGGGAGACGAGGTGGTGCAGTCAGCGTCGATGTTCAGTTCTGTAAATGCGAGCGCCTGAGCATGGGCCATACCCTCGGCGAAGGGTATGAGGCGAAGGCGAATAGATCACAGCAGACGGGCAACGTTCTTCCAAACTGCTGCTGCTTCTGGCTTACGGGCGCTCCTGAGTGTGCAGTCTCTTGGTTGAGGTTGGTTGTCCTGGCGAGCCGACGCAAGGGCACATACGCAGGACGCAGCACGTCTTTTTTTTGCGCGAGTCGTGTTTCTTGCTACGCAAGGTAGTTATTAGGTCGGTCGGCTTGTCAAGAGTGGGTATGAAGTCTGGAGCAAGAGGCGGGCAGTCAAAAAGCAGTCGAGACAGCAGCAGACTTGGGTGGTGATATATGGGCAGAGGAAGAAGAGGAAGACGAGGAAGAAGAAAAGAAGACGTCGAGGTTGAGATGAGGAATAGGACGCAGGAGAGTGGCCCAGTTAGGCAAGCCTGGGCGTTCGCGCAGCCAGCGCAAAAAACGAAAAAAGAAGGGCGAAAAAGAAGGCCCCGGAAGAACCCGGGAGGTCGGACCAGCTACGATAATACCCCTTTGGGCCTAGGGTAGGGCAGAGATAACGCGCAGGCGCTTATCAGTAGCGCCAAGCCCTTTGCTTTTTTGTGCGTTGTGACTTACGCTTTTCTATAACGAGATTGAAGTTCCAGAGTGGGTGCTTGCGGCGACGGCGCCTTGCCGCATGCGGACTGGGGGCTTGGGGGGGGCGGATCGCTGTTGGTGCTGGTGGTGAGGTGACGTCAGTGTCATGTGAGTTCATGTGACAGCTGAGTCAGCGAAGACGGGGATATGTCGGGCCGACAGTCCCGTGACAGCGGCGTCAGGACAGCTTATGTCATCGTCTAGGTAAGTAAGTGGCTTCCTTCCCTTTTGGGGCCGCTGGGATGTCTGCGCTCCCATTGGCTGCAGCGCGTTTAAACTCATTTCAATTCTGCATGCTGATTGGCTGGCGCTCCCTTGCCCGTCCGCCTCCTCCTTTTTTCCACTTTTTGCTCTTTCGTCGCTTTCCAGCTGCCTGACGATGCGATGGCTTGTTTGAGATCTTCTTCCTGAACTGCGCGACGGTTGGCCTTCCTCGCTCTCTCTCTTCCTCTTCTTCTTCTTCTTCTTCTTCTTCTTCGTTTTGCTTTCTGGTCTCGTTCTTGTTCTCCTTCACTTCCCTCGTTTTTGTCGTGTTTTCCCTTGCCAACGGGCCTTCTCTCTCGATCGCTGCTCTGTTCGCGGTAAACGCCTTCGTCAAACGGCCATCTTCTTCAATTTTGCATTGGTCAAGACCTGGATGGGTGGTATATTGGACGGATGTTTCAGCCAGTTCGCACGCTTAATACATCGCGCAGACGGAGTACTTGATTCATAGTGCTACACGGAGGACTGTTTGGTTGGGAGGGTTTTATATTGCCTTTGGATACGGAGTACTTTTAATACATTCCATTCCATGAATGGTTGTCAAGCTCTCACCAACTCCCCGTCCTCTCTCTGTATTCCTCGCAACCCTCGACACTCTTAATATTTTTTTTTATCTCTCGCTGTCCTGCTGGTGATCCAGGTCGAACAAGACATTGGTCGATAGCTTGCCATCATGACGAGACCCCAGATGATCAGAGCCGGTGAGACACTGAGCGGTTGATTGCATTACCTGCGCTGTACTTGTGAAGGTCTAGTTGCTGACGAACAACCCTTGTTATAGATACAATTGACCTTCAGAACCGCCAGTCGCCTTCTACCCAGGACCATGCTAGAAAACCAGGCGGCGCTTCTGCCGTTGACGGACGGAATGGTGCGCACCAGGACCAGTCTCTCCGCAAGGTGGAACAGGAAGCCCAGGATGAGATGTCAAAGGGTCCCCTAGGATCGGATGGAAACTCGCAGGTATACTCTCACCGGGACGGGCTTGAAGTGTACCGGGAGCACGACGAAGCAGACGGCAGCAAGCCCAATGGCGTAGCGAATGGTGACATGTCCCATGAGTCAAGGAATGGAAGCTCGACCGAGGAGGAAATGGAGGGTGATGAGGACGACCAGGACCTGGACGACGACATGATGGACAAAATATCAAGCTCGCCGTCCATCGACGATGGTGTGTACAGCATAATCACTCTCCACTAAGCGTGCCATTAAGACTAACCTATCCTACAGAGGATATTGATTTCGAATTTGTTTATGCTTTGCATACCTTCATTGCCACCGTCGAAGGTCAGGCTAATGCAACAAAGGGCGACACCATGGTCCTCCTTGATGACAGCAACAGCTACTGGTGGCTGGTGCGCGTCGTCAAGGATGGGAGCATAGGTACTTCATTTATGCATCTCCCTTACGTCCTAACTGCCCCAATTCTGACTTTGGTATAGGCTACCTGCCGGCTGAACATATCGAAACCCCAACTGAAAGGCTGGCCCGTCTTAATAAACACCGCAACATTGACGTATGGAACATGTTCCTATACCCGATTCTACTACTACCTGTCTTTTCTTCTTGCTAATTCATACTTCTACAGTTATCCGCCACCATGCTAGGAGACAATGCCGAAAAGTCAAAGAACCCTCTAAGAATTGCCATGCGCAGAAGACATGGCAAGACTGTCACTTTCAACGAACCGCTCTGCTTCGAAGCCGAAGAGGCTCCAATTGACTACTCGACAGGCTCAGAGGAAGAAGAGCATTTCTTAGAAGATGATGAGGAAGACGAGGAAGAGGATGAGGAAGAAGAAGAGCACGAGGTACATGAGAAGTCTGCGCACACCAAGCAGCAACAACAGCAAGATGCCTCGAGGAAGGATGAAGACATGGGAATTGAGCCACTACGGCCCAAGCAACAGCAGAAGGAGACGGCTGCTTTGCAGGAACATCGGTCTGAGCACAAAGATAGTCTGGAGGAACATAATGACGACCTTGACAAGGGTGAGTTTAATTCTCTATTCTTCATTGGCAGGACCATATGCTAACAAACCACTAGACTTCCAACCCGGACGGTCCAGGAATGGGGTCGTTCGCAATACTGATTCATTCTTCAAGGACGATACCCTCGAGACAAAGAAAATCTCTCTTACTCCCAACCTTTTACGTGACGATTCCCTCACTTCACAGCAACCAGACAAGGATTCGAGAGTCCGCGGAAGCTTTGAATCATATGATAAAGTGTCACCTGGTGACAAAAACAAAGATGACAAGAAACGCAAGGACAAGAAGCCTGGAATGCTCAGTGGCCTATTTAAGAGAAGGGACCGCAAAACCAAGGCCACAGATGACGATGACGACCAAGAAAAGATCTCGGAGGAATCTATCCGATCAAGTACTCCAACCGGTACCATGGGTGACCACGGCAGAGATGGATCTAAACCAGCAGTCGCTTTGCAGAGAACTCCCAGCAAGCTTCAAAAAACGCCTCCTGGAGAGCAACAGGGCTCTGGTGCGAGGCATGAAAATGGACGATCCACCTCACGACAAGAAGTTGCAGCTCCTCAATCGCCGCCAGCAACTAAACAAACGTTTCAATCGCATGGCCAACAGCAACAGCAGCAACCGCACCAGCCCCAACAGCAACTCCAGCAACATCAACAACATCATCAGCAACGACCCCAGCCACGATCTTCCTCGGCGCAGGGTACACGGGTACGATCTCCAGAGGTGCTCAGGCCACTCACCAACAAGCAAGATAGATCAATGCAGGAGAGACCTGAACCAAACCTCTCCCTTGTCAAAGAACCCCGCGATTCATCAGAATCCGCACCAGACGCTTCCACCCACCTACCAGCAAACCAAGCCCAGCACCAATACTCATCCTCCCAAACCTCAACATACTCCACCCACTCGAACAAGAAACCAGTCAGCGTCTCTCACGCTGCTGACCCAGTGCAGCAGGACCCTGAACTTAACAATCACTACGACGACAACTTCGAGGATCAACACTCATTGTCCCATGACAAAGACCAGTATTCATCGAAACAAACTGGCTCACCTTCCCCAACAGCCTCCCCTGCATTCTCCCAAGACCCCACTCTCGAAGATGACAGAAGCCAGGAGCAATCCGTATCACCATCGACAAGTATCATCCCTGCCTGGAACGACAGCGGGCTGCGCGCATATATGGACGATGGTAGTGATATCCGCGATCTCCTAACCATCGTACACGACAAATCCAATGTCCCTGCTGCCGGGCCAGACCACCCTCTCATCGGAAGCCTCTTCCGGGAGGAAAGCAAGGCACTGAACGATATGTCCAGCCGCCTAGATGATATGCTAAATTCATGGCTGAGCAAGAGCTCACTCTCTCCCTAGAGTTCATTCCTCGCTATTTCTTACATCTATCCCTCCTTCATTATTTTAAGCCAAACGATAACTACACCCCATGATTTAACGACCGCACATACAATTACCCTTCTTCACATACAACTCAAAGCAATACAATGCAATGCATCGAGGCCTGCCTTGGATATTGACTATCCTTCCCGTCCAAATCGGACGTCACATCAAACACTACTTGGACTGTCTTTTATTGCTTGAAAATTTCTCTGGTCAGATTAGCCTTGTACTTATTTGCTCGCTCGCTTCACCATTTAAAAAACACACGATACCTACGGCGTATTTGTTCTTTCTGCTGTTCTCGTTATTTGAACTTGTCACCTCCTTCATTCGTTTGCTTGTTTCCTTACCTTTTTTTTTTTTTTTTTTTTTTTTCTGCGTTTGCTTTGATGATTTATTACACTTATGAAGCGGGGATTCAGCCTAGCTGGATGCGGGTTTTTCAATATTCTTTTCTCTGGGAGCTATTTCCCATTTATCGCGGCTGCACATTTGTTCAATGTTCAAATGCACCATCTTTTCCATCTTTTCGTGGTTTTATAGCCTTTGTATTTCATGTCCTAGCATTTCTTGTTGGACATTCTCTGGAGTTTTAGGTATGGCGTTGTTCTTTCTGGACGGACTGGTGCCATAGCCTTATCAATACTACTTTTTACCCTTCTATATTACTCAATGCCACACTGGGGCATTGAGTTTCTTGCAACGCGGGTGATGGCTTGGATATAATCACTATCAGCCAATTCATCAATTTGTGAAGCACAAATAACAACATCTTGTCGTCAAATCTACATCTACCGCAAATATCAAGTCCAGTTAAATGACAAAAGCTATCGCAGAAGACTCTAGCCCGTATTTAGAGCTCTATTCTTGAATGCTACTATTCTCCAATGGAGGTAATCCATAAACCCAGGTATCAAAGTCATACTTGTTAACTTCAATAATTTCTTGAGCATTGGTTTGTAGTGGGGGGTACTTCTGCAGCTCCCATTTGTACCGTGGAGTTTCTATTTCCTTATTAGCCTCTCGTCCAAAGACACGCCTTGCATGGAATTGGGGAAGGAGAAGGGGGATTTCGTTTATCAAGCTTCGACTCACCTTCAGCATCATTACTCTCTTCCACATTGACAAGGTGCTTCCTTCTCACCTTCTCGGCTAGCTCCTTATCAACAAGCACAAGTGCAACGGTTTGCCATCCAGCAGATGCGACACTGAGGACGAAATATGCACCTAGACCATCTGTATTCTCGGGTTTGATATCTGGGAAGTTGTCCCAATGTTCTCCCGCTCTTTCGATACAAGTACTGTATTTCTCCAGGAGCCCATGGTCATTCTCTTTAAGCGGTGTCAACCAGTCCAAGCTATCCTCCTCAGATTCAGCTTCACGTGCCAAGTACTTGAGCCACTCCCGTTTCTCAGGTTCAAACCAGACATTGTGCCGTTTTTCTTCCGCAAATTCAAAATAGTACACGTCTTCATCAAAGTACTCGGACTCAGGCCCCGTGAGGCCACGAAGGGGGGTACCTCCTAAGGCACTCCCAAGTCCAAGCGAGCCGCAACCCCCAGGTTCTCTTCCATAGCTAGAAACTTTTCCGTTGGCATGGAGAGCGGTGTAATGGTAATCCCCGAACGAGACTGATATCACCTCGCTATGTTGTAATCCAGCTGGAAATTTTGGAGACAAGACACGGTCAGGATCATCGGCAAAGTCAAATGCTGTTTGGATATGTTCGGCGTTCCCTATCATGACCTCGCCTGTTTCGGTAAACACTGCGAAGTTGCGGAAAGCACCCTGAATATCCTTCAAGATTCTTTCGGGTGCAGCAAACTTGGCGAGTTCGACTGTACGCTGGCCATCTCCCTCCGTTGCAAATACCTTGTTCAGGTCTGTAATGAAAACTATACACCTTTCAAGAACAATATAGCTAATAACCTCACCCAATCCGGCTTCATCCTCTGCTCGCCCTCTCTCGGAATTTGTCCTCTGGAAACCGGTACCTGGCACAATTTTACCTGGAACGATTAGCAGCACAGACTCATCATTATTCAGGGGAGGATCGTTAATCTTCCAATAAACTATCCCAGTGCCGGCGACAAATGCTGAGTTTGTATCCCAACCAGAAACGACTTTTGTCACGGTGCCTGGGGTGTGGGGATCCCTTGAATTAAGAACCGTTCTAGCACAAGAAAACTCAACAAGTTTGGCACTGTGGTCTCTATGGGACCAACTCCATATTATTCCTTCATCAGATAATCCAAGGATATGTCGTCTACCAGAAGAGAACTGCTTGATGGCTGTTGATTTGTTGTAGGAGTCGACGGAGGTTGCAGGGTATTCAGTGTCAAACTTGAGACGTTGGTACCCGCTTGCAGTGGAATAATCATAAAATACTCCATCTATGCGTCCGGTGAGGTATAATTCACCATCCGAAGTTAGACATGAGGAAGACCAGCCTCTTAGTAGATATCAGCATGTTGTATACAGTGAAGACAGTGACAGAAGGGGAGTTGATTGAGAACAGACCCGCATTGTAAATCAACTATATTCCGTATTCCAGCCACAGCCGAAGACTCATATGGCCAGGTTTTGTTCACTAAAGGTTCGGATGGACGCCCCTCTCCCCCCCATTGATACACCCTCGTCTGTGTCCGAAGGTTTTTATACAGCCAGTACCAACGCGGTCCATTAGCACGTAGAAGCGGTTGAACAGGAACTCGAAAGGTTTTTGTGGTAACTTCCCGCCAGAATTCTGGGTTTGTTAGAAACACTTCGTGGAAATACTTGTTCACTGTACATAGCGCGAGGAAATCTGGGACATCCAGTAAAGGAAATATAAGGACTAGGATGTCCTCGGGGAGATCTTCTAGTTTGGCCAGAGTCATTTTTCGTGGCTATGAAGTCGCAAATAAATTGTATTCCTTGGGGACCAGCTTGATTTTGAAGATGCGGTCCTTTTTACATAGTTAAATGTGATAACAAACGTCCACTAAAAACGAAGTACGGAGTAAATTGGATCCAATATTTGGAGCATCAAAGGAGAGGATGATGTCATCATTGATTACTAATATACTTTCCCGGGACGTATCATAATTAATCCGCGGTCTCAGTGCCAAGACCCGCTGCTCCTTCCTAATTTGGTATGCGTATTCACACTCCAACTACGATTGGAAATCATTGAAGAGCCTCCATGAGAAGAACTACCAAGTGACTGCCCAGATAACATAACCTCACACAATGAGTGAGCATCAGAAGACACGAAAAGTTGATTCATTCCGTATACCCCATCCAGCTGTGGAGATTCATTCAGAAAGATTCAAATCAAAGAGTGAAAACCCCCAACCCTTCAGATATATATTTCGTTGAAATGGCGAGATATTTCGACATAACGGCCAGCTAATGTATGTCAGTGTTGAGGTGGATGTGACCATAGTCCTACTAGCACTTACATAAATTATGCGCAGACTGACCCATGCTCGTTACAGTGTCCGCTGCAGCACCACCAATGGGTGAGGCAGTGATCACCAGACTCTATCATAAGTTAGCATAGAATTAATTATGCCAGATGTATTTTGGACTTACTGCCACCACATTGGGATGAACGAGTTCCCATTGTACCAGCTGCTACCGTCGTAGCAAGGAGTGCCGAAATGGCGAAGACAACGACTTTAAACTGCATTATTTAGAGTTGATTGGATGAGCTAATCAAAGAGGATATTTCTCAATTGGGCTGATCAAATATTTATGAGTTTTATGGGCTAAGTTGAGTACTCAGGGGAAAGTACTCAGGGGAAATAAACACTCCTTTATACCTTGGGTCAGAGACATAGGCGCCCGACTTCAATATTTATGTTCTAAGTGTGGCATACAACGAGCATATGATGGATCGTTGCAATCGCACTATATGCCTGCCATAGTTAAGCCATGTCGCGAATAAATTCATATAATGGGTAATGATCTGACGCGAAGAGAAAATTCATCCCTGTGCGAACCCAATATGGCGGATAATATGCTCAAGTCAACACCTATCCAACTCAAATGCATATGGGTAAGCTCTTACCAACATCCAGTTATGAAATAACCATTTGCGGGGCATTGTTGCCATCCCCCAGGCAACATTTAGATCGACAGGGGGTTGACGTAAATGGCTTTTTTTTTTTTGCGGCATTGGCGTGTAATAAAGGGAAAAATATGCCAGGAGAGTGACAGGGACTAGTGAGTTGTACTCCAGAACAGCCAAGGGAGTAACTTGACTTTCTTCTCACCAGTCGCGCCCGTATCACAGGATTTATATTTGTTGTCCTTCTGCACGCTTGTTGTTTCAAAATATGTTACTCTGTTCTTTGAAGGCCTGGACCTATCGGTGTCTCAACGACGGCTTGACAAACGACAGGTAAGGGGCCGGAATATGGCTTTGCTTTATTTATCTGGGAAATGAAGGTGGCATTGGGGCAAGAATACTCGCTGTTCGACAGCCATTTACAGGTGGAACAGATCGTTGGCTAACGGTCAACGGCCCGCGGCGGTTCCATAACTCTGTAGAGTAACTAAGCGATAAATAATCCTTGGACCGTGGCTCAAGTACCATGGGTGGGCATCTTGAACACAGACGTAAGCCCAACATGAGTTACAAGCTGGGCATAAGGCTTGGTTTTGCTACGTATGAAGTGTGCAACTCCCTGAGATCGACGGGGGGCAGCCCATTGCGGGCAGGAGCTTCAATGTTGGCTATATTCATTGTTGGACATAGTTACTAGCCGTGTCTTTGTCACCAAGCACTTCATCCCATCAATAATGTAAAAGATCGGCAAATGGCTGCCGGACTAATCCTCCATTCATATCCCCCGGAGTTGGCAGGTTCCTCGGTAGACATCACTACTCGGTACGTACCCAACTGGTATGTATGTTGCCTCCTGGCAGAGGTTAGGACTGAAAGAGTCACGGGATGATGTACCTTACACGTGACCACCGGTAGATTCGCGGCCTTATCTTATATAAGGTTCCTTACATAAGGTTATTTGCGTTAAGGTTTTTGGGGTTTCCCTTTCCGCCTGACTCTTTCCTTCTTTGGGTCGGCATGACGGATTTTTGGGAAGGAGCGTGACCTCGTCATGGCGCATTCTCGCTATCTCATCCTCTCTTCGTCTCGCCGTCTCTCAGCCTCTCGTTCGCCTATCGTCTTGCCCGTCGTCGCCTACACTTCAACTCTCTCCTACACCCACTCACCCGAGGTCTCGTTTTCCCGGCGGTTCGAAGTGCCCACTGCACCCTTGCCCATTTTAGTTCTATCTTCTCCGCATACGGAGTAAAGCGACACGTGTGACTCTTCAGCTCCGCTTATATATACTGCCTCCACTCAATAACGCGCCTCAACAACGCAACCAACTTTGGGGTAGAAGGAGTGCGGTCAGATCTGTTTCCTCCAACACACTTCTTGCACTCTAACTATCTATCACGTTCGAGTCGGCTGAGGTTTCAGAGCCTTTTCGGTTTGTGTCACCTCAGTGAAATCAGCCACAGAGTGCATTTATACCTGTCAAGCCGCCCATCTCTGCTCCTCGCCACGGAAGTTTTACCACACCCTCATCTGCCCAGCTTCGTCGTCTATCCCCCTATCTACGTTGGGAATGGGAGCAACCGGGCTGCTATAGCCAACAGACAACAGAATCATGCCCTCAGCAGCATGGAACTCCGCACATCGTTCGCTTCCGGAGCATTGTGAACCGGTGTCTCCGTTCTTGCAACTGATCTCATCTACTCTGCAAATATGCCTACCGACCCCTCTCGCCCTAATTTCGTCCACACTTGGGGTGCTAAGTATTATCTCCTGGCTCTTTGCCCAGCTCCCGCAGATATACAAGAACTACAAGATAAAGTCAACGGCAGGCTTGTCAATAGTCTTTATCGTGGAATGGCTCCTGGCTGACACAGCAAATTGCATCGGTGCCATTCTCACCAACCAGGCTGGCTGGCAGATCACGATTGCCGCTTATTATGTGACCGTCGACCTTATCATGACATATCAACACTTCTGGTACACGCACATGAAGCAGCGGCAATCCAACCGTCTTAGATATGCCAACATCGGCGATAGTGAAGACAGCGACACGGATTTCCCACCGTCAGACTGCGACTCGTTCCAGCAGCTACAAGATTCCCAACGTTCGTCCTCTGCTCGCCCAGTAGATAAGTTGAAGACGGGAAGAAACCAATCACCTGACGAAAAGGCTCAATCTCAAGCCTCCAACGGGAAGCGATACGTCCAATCAACTGGCCTTGGAAGTTCGTTGACTTCTCCTAAAGCTGTGTTGTTTGTTTCCATGCTCTGTGCAGTCATAGCCAACGCCTCGTCAATCCCGGCATCTGGTCTTTCAAGGCCACACCCAGTCATACCACCACCATCAAACACAAAAGAGTTTGTAGGCCGGATATTTTCTTGGATTTCAACCATCCTTTATCTTGGATCCCGGCTACCACAGCTGTACAAAAACTACACGCGTAAGAGTACTGCTGGCCTGTCGCCGCTGCTCTTCATTGCTGCATTTTGTGGAAATATGTTTTACTCTTCTTCCTTGCTCACCAACCCGAATGGCTGGCACAACTTCCCACCTTACGGTGGAGGCGGATGGGCCGGTCCAGATGGGAACAATCGAATGAGTTGGATAATGCTTGCAATCCCATTCTGGCTTGGGGCTACTGGTGTCCTCTTGCTAGACGTGTGTGTGGGAATTCAGTTCATGAAATATGGTGAACAACGGAAACAAATAGTTACCCGGGTAGGGAGAGGCCGCCATAAATGGATAAAGGTCACCGGTTTCATGAAGGGCTGGATCCCTTCACTATCTCCCGAGAGAAATGCAGCAAATAATGAAACGCAAGCACTTATTTCCCACGAGGGCGATAGATATGGTAGTGTTTGATTTTGATCATCTACTTTCCCTAATCATGATCTTCCCCTTCTTTCATACATATTTTTTGGCCTTTGTTCAGTTATTAGACGGTTTTGGAACCATGGTTTTTGTTATCTCTTTAGCAATGCTGGTGTTTCATTCGATTCACATTTCAGCAGGCGGATACCCATCTTTCGTTTCTATCAAGATCTACTTACGTTGTTTTTCGATATCCTATTACCTTTGCGTCTCGATAAGAGGGCGCTTAGCCCTTTTATACGCACATACACACACATATATATGGATCGAATACTGGGTCCTTCGCTTTTCCCATTCACGGCAAGGAGTCCAAGGATAAGCCCACGATATTTCCCATATGAACCTTTGCTCTACGTTGTTCATATTTCCCTTCTGCTGTATTTACTACGTGTCAGCATGTTTCACGGATATATTATTGGGGGGGGATTTATGATGCACTATAAACATAGATGCGAGGACATGACTATCTTTCGGGTTATTTTTTCATTTATGTTTCTTTCTAAATACCACTACAGATCAATTTCATGGTTCATTACCAAGCTCAGACTCCACACATTAATTTTCAATAACCTCTTTGGTTAATGAGGTGATGAACCTTTTTGATATGGACGAGGAAGCTGGTATTATATAGGATTGTGTCAATTTTAAGTGTTGGAGGTTAACCCATAACCCCTCTTCTATGGAAGTGCTTTTGCCCATTTCCAACTTCATTCAAAAACTCCGGGGTTTCAAGGGGGGTCCATATTGAAAGTATCCTTGGGATATATACCCTACGCCATTCTTCCTTTCTAACCTGTCAATCCATTCTTCAGTTGATACCCCGTTGAACGAGAAAAGAATGTTACCCGCTGATGAGCGAGGAAGGAGTGAACCTTAGCGCCGTCTACAGTTGCGACATGGTCCCCAAGGCACAGGGATTTTGGTAACTCGTGTGCATGGGAAGGATGGGTGCTTTCGACGCCCACAAGAATGGAAACCACCGACTTCTCTATGCCCGCAAGAGCACTGATGGATAACTTGGTGGCACATCGTGTCCTCGTTCCTGGGGCTTTTCAGGCAAGAACATGAAGGGTAACGATAGCGGTCTAGATTCTATACGCGTGAGCAGTCTACCCCTGATAACTTGAGCAACAGCTGTTCTCACCTTGCGCACTCCTGTTCTGTAGGAGATACAACGTATCCAGAATGTCAAAGACTGCTATGGTAGTCAGAGACGTGTTGTTGAAGGGGTTTTGATGTGGATGGCGAGATGCTCCTTCGAGGAGCCAGATATTTATATCCTTTGTTTAATGCTGACTGTCGAACGACATTTGACTGGATGTGGTGACCAGTGTACTTTCATCAATTAAATAGATTTCAATTGAAGCAAATGCTCGGATGACTGTTGGTTATCACCGATTCGAATCACTCTCTGACAATCCGAAACCTCTCCTTCATTAAATGCATCCGTTTTACAGATGAGACAGTGAGAAAGCTGGGAGAGATAAATAGTAGTTAGTTTATAATTCTAGTGTAGGGGTTGCATATATAAGTAAACGTTACCTCGTGGCTCGTGGCTGTTAAGGGAAATGAGCATAAGTAGTGAGTATATATAGAGGCCAAACACTCATTGTAGGAGCTGCTGACAGTCCCTTCTGTCTTCATTAATAACACGGTGAAGGCCAAATGACCGATTTTTTTTGATTCACATATATGGAGATAAGCAGTAAGGCAAAAGTAGTAGATATCCTCGTTGTCTAGAAATAGGCAGTGGATATCTGGTACCTAACAGTGATACTCGATATTAACAGCTACGAAAGGGTTCAGTAGCATAACTCCCGAGTGCCTAGATTGCATGCACCCACGATGTACTAGTGTGTGAAGAAAAGCACACTGACAACAAAGCTTGCCATGTCATGCATGTGTAATACTTGCAACATGCAGACACCCAAGTCTGAATAGACCAGAATCGTAGACAACTGGACTGGCTAACTGACGGTGCCCTTGCCCTCCCTATGTATCTTGCCATTGGTGGCTGAAGGGAAGCTGTCAGAGCATTTCTGTACCCGAATCCCTCCGGGGATGGTTTCCGGGCCATGCATGAAGATCTGTGCAGGCGATAAAAGGGAGGCGGATATGGTTGGCCTGGGACGTATGACAGCTCGTGAAATGATCTGCAGTGTCAGGACGGGATGCTTGTTCATAGACTTCCTCGCAGTTGATGCCAACCGGGCTGTGTGACATTGGAACGGTGAGGAATTGTCTTTGGTTTGGTTATCAATGGAATTGTTTGTCTGCCGGATGCGGATGATAATTGGGCTAGGTATATTGGCCATACACTCGGTTGTGTAAATACCACATCCTGCATAGAGCACTGAATATAATGGTAAATTCTGAAGTTATTTGTAGCATGTCGGGTATAGGTTTGAAGAACTAAGAAGGCATCGACCGTGGCTTTGATAACCAAGGGGCATTCTCACAAACCATGAGATGAGGCAGCAGCATGGAAATGAATTTGGTCCATCCACCAGAAGCATTTCTCTGATGAATATTAAACAAGATATCTGAAGAAGGTAGGCTTTTTTGTAACACAAAACAACTACTGAAGCAGGTTGTAAAACTAGTTAGTCAATGTCAACTGAGAAAGCAGTTCCACGATGCAGGGTCCGAAGGAGACACATATCGATTCTCCAGCATGCGCAGTATTTGCTGCTGGCTTCATAACAAAGCTAGTTATACTCACCTTACCCCGTACAAGGCATTTATTTCGAGTTGCTAGAGATTTAATTATCGAAAGTTGATACTTCACATTTCCGCAGCGAAAAGTGCTGCTGATGGTGGTGGCTGGTCCATGAAAAAATACAGAGAAAAAGTGTCCACTCCGTTCTGCTATGACCAAAGACTTGGAATTGGCTGATCGTTTGCTCAGGCCGGTTGGCTTGCATGATGCGGTTTCTACCTGGATCGACGGGAGAGACAAGGGCATGGTTGGTGCACTGGTGCCTCGAGTGCCAATTGCAATGCGGTGTTCCGGGTGAGATGGAAGTACTTTGCCCGTCAAGATGATGACGAATTGCGGATGGATGCATATAGGCATTATAGTCGCTCTTCGTGATATAGATATTTGGTAAGATAGTTACCTCACAATGGGTACAGTAATGAGACAGGATGGGGGGGAGGGGGGGGGGGGGGGGGGGGGTTAGTCATTAAAATATAGGTCTATTAATATTAATGTATGCTGTCACCATGCACCCACACGCCCACTCAACTCATAGACACATTCCAAGCAATTATATCAAATCACACATTATACATAGAAAACCCTTTGCATACCACATAGGGCTGGTTTGCCACAACCAGAACAAGCAGGACCAGGCTAGGTTGATAGACAGACATGGTATGCCTCGTCTTTGCATCTCCCTCCTCTATATTATTTTGCTTTTCTTGGATATTCACAAGGCGTAGATGCTAAAGGAAAGCAAGTAGATAAGGGGTTGAATGTACACAGAGAACGCGTATTTAAAAGGGTCAGTTTTGTATGCACATTAAGAGTGACAAGCCATCCTGGGAGAAACCAGGGATGGGGGAAATAGTAACTGTCTCCAGGTTAAAGAAAGAGGGTAAAGAAAAAAGAACCAGGAGGCCAAGCTGTAGTGCAAGCTATACCAACCAAAGCAAATGCAGCCAACGCCATCAGAAAAAAAGGAGCTGGATATCTGTACACGCAATGCGATGCAATGCAGGGGATTCCACCTTAACACGACTGCTACTCTGAGCAGTGGCGAAGTAGAGACCACAGCATCTATCGTAATGGACGCTTGGTATCCTGGACACCTCTAGCGATGACATCTTCGTACCTCCACCGTGGAGGAGTGGGTTCCTTGGAAGAGGCTGCTTGCTGACGGTACCATTCGGCTTCCATTTCTGGAGTCATGCCGTCAGGAGGTGGAAGGGCGCCCCCAGCAACGCCGCTGGAGAACTTAAGCTGCAGAATGTTCCCGATCTCATCACATGCGGCGAGCAGTCGGTCGAGATCATCCTTGGTGTGGGCGGCGGAGACACAGAATCTGGCACGGGAAGAGACAAGTGGCGTAGCAGGATACCCAACAATGACAACCGAGATCTTGCGCTTTAACATCTCGTGTGAGAACGCGGGCATTTTGGCGGGATTGAAGAGCAGAAGCGGAATTACAGGGGAATCATCATTTCCGTAGACGATGAAACCGAGCCGTTTCAACCCCAGGCGGAGATAACGCGAGTTGAAAGCCAATCGCTGAAGTCGTTCTTCACCTTGACCAGGGATAAGCTCTCCAGTGATGATTCTCAGAGAGGAAGAGATCTGAGCAAGGACTGGCGGCGTTGGGGCCTCACCATAGAAGACAGCAGGGTTAGTAGCTCGAAGCTTGTCGATGATGACCTTGTCGGCGGCTATGTATCCTCCATTTGCACCGAATGATTTGGTCAGGGTTCCCATGAGGATATCGACGTGCTTGGTATCAATGCCGAAGAAATCACAAATTCCGCGTCCCCGGGGACCAATAGCACCAATGGAGTGGGCTTCATCGATGAAGAGATTGAACTTGTATTTCTTCTTCAGGGCAAGTATCCCGGGAAGGTTGCACAAGGAGCCTTCCATCGAGTAGAGACCCTCGACTACCACAAGGATTTTCTTCCATGGTCGGTGTGTTCGGGGCTGACCTTGAGAGATTGCCTCCCGCAGTCGCTTCTCGAGGGCTCTGACGTCGTTGTGCTTGAAGGTTGTGATAGAAGCGCCAGACAATCTAGTACCGAATCGGATCGAGGCATGGTTCAACTCATCCGAAATGATCAAGCAGCCCTTTGATACAAGTGCAGAAAAAATGCTTGCATTGGTTCCGAATCCCATAGAGAAAACCATCGTAGCCTCCTTGCCAACGAACTTAGCAACGAGATCTTCAACTTCAAGGTGAAGGTCCTGGGTGCCAACTTCGCTTCTGGTGCTGACAGAACTAATTCCGTATTTTCTGATGGTTTCTTCGACCGCGTCCGCACAAGGGCCTTCAGATTGCGCAAAGCCAAGATAGTTGTACGAACTCATGTTCAGAGTATCAGTATAGGTGCCGGTGAAGCGAAAATGGCGGTTCTGGTCATCACTGACACGGTCAATCAGAGTGATAAACCTTCCAGGCACGCCAGTGACAGGTCGTTCAAAGCAATCGTTGATTCTCAACTTCAAACGGCGCACATAGAAATTGTCAAAATCGCTATTCAGGGCCGCATAGCCGTTTTGTGGTTTCAGGTGACGGTAATTCTCGCTCTGGAACCGCTTTCCGAAGAAATCACGCACATGTCCAAATGCTATTAAGATTAGGTAACTGATGTAAGTTGTGAGGAGGTAGTAGTATGGAGGTTCGTCCATGACTGGTTCAGGGAATTGGCCTCCATAATGCTTGGAGACATATCTATGAGAAGGGTGGCCGAGAGGACCGAATTGGGCATGCTGCCTGGCTATACGGCGAGCATCCTCGGTGGAAGGGGGCTGAAAGATCGTCTTAGGAGCGGAATCCATGGTGTTACCGTCCGCGGTAGCACCGGATACAGAGATCATAGGTAAGGACTGTGATATAGGTTGCTCGGTCGAGGCAGTCTTTGGGGGCCTAGGAGAGGTAGAAAAGAGCTGACTGAATCTGCTTGGTTTCGAGGCCGTAGGTCGTGTAGGAATGGGGCCGTCTCTCCCGGCAGTGGGAGGAAACGGAGGTAGATCGGATAGGTTTGCTGAAGGAAGGTCTGTAGGTTGACGCGGCATCTCAAAGTGGCGTACGATGTAGGCTAGGTGAGCTTAAGGTTCCTAGGTCGAGATGATGGAATATTTGCTGGGACGAGGAAAAGAGTAGCCGGACAACGAGGTGTACTTTTATTTGGATTCTCTTCCCGCTAGCCTCTTTGTCTTTTCAACGGAGGTTTTATCACTCTGTGCAACCCAGCCTTGGGTATGGGCAACGGCGATGGACAGTATGACACTGAGTACTCCGTAGGCCTGGAAAGAGCGTTCAAAGAATCAGCAACAGTCGGGCGGCAAAAAGGGACGAAAGAAATCTAGTCCAAAGGGACTTGCAGGTAGAATTGTTTGCTGGGCTCTCCAGGGTTTCGACTGATAATAAATATAATAAGGCCAGGACTCACCCGACGTTCAGGAGGCTCCGAGCGGGCCGGGATTAACTAACTACCTAGCTCGCCAGACGACCCAGGGAAGCAGTTTCAGCTGTGGCCCGTGAGACCCTCTCAATGCCTTCAAAACCAGCTACACGCGAGCTGCAAAAGCGCCCTCGCAGCCAGCAGTGCCTGAATACAAGCAGGGCGAGCTGAAGAGTCGTGGTGCGTGTGGTGTTGCTCGGGCTGAAGTCGACGGTCGTTGTTTTATAAACTGGGAGTTCCCCAAAAGGGGGCAAAGCGAAGGATGGGAAAAGTACGGGCGAGCGTAAAAGAAGGTTTCGTAATTTTAATTTTGCCTTTGCTGCCTGCCAAAGGGTGCGTATAATTTGTATTTTTTCCCGTTCCGTGGCGTATTAGATTATTGAAATTTTGCGCGTTTATCTTATCGTTACTTTTACGAAAGTTACACCCTTTTTTGGGCGGCCTGATACAGAGCGTGACAGCAGCTGTAAGTCAAAGAGCATGCCTATCCAATAGAAACCCGAGAAAAGCGACAGAGATCAGCGAGTGTCTCGTAACTTCCGTACCGCTCTTGTAAGAACCCTAATGACATAAGCCAATAAAACGGTACCTGGCCCGATGCGGAAGTTTGCTTGGTTTGCCTCCCGCTGTCATTCCCCTTTTGGGCCGCTTTCATTGGCGCTTTTAGGTCCGCGGCTGCTTAGCTAAGCTGGGTGCGCGGGCGGCCGTCAGGGCGGCCAGGGATTTTCACTTTCCCTGCGTCGGATATTTTAAAGCAGGCAAGGAAAACTTATTTGCGAGACCCTGGAAAGTGTTGGGAACGCCGTGCAAGGGAGGCTTGTACCCGGCATATGAAGCACGGAGAATACACTTGAAGGGCATATATATATAAAAGGTATGGACATCTCGCTCATGTCTCTGGTTCTGAGCCGAAGCTGACGTTTGTTCTAGCTGATTAGCAAACAAGTTAGATACCGGGCCCCCGGCTTATCGTTGTTATCTTCCACCCCCTTGTTATCGTGATGCCGTTCATGGATCAACCAGAGACCAACGGCAATGGCCATTTGATGGAACCGAAGGAGCTCTGGCGTCCGTCAATTCCTGAATCTACGCAGGTCTATCAATTCAAGAACCGCATAATTCAGAGACACGGTCTCTCGCTGCAGAACTATGATGATTTGCGCGAATGGAGTATCCGCAGCCCGGCCCTTTTCTGGGAGGAAATATGGCATTACACCGGGGTCAAGGCGCACAAGACTTACGACACCGTAAGTATCTGCTCCCTGAGAACTTGCAGGATGAGAACCAATTGCTCTGTTTACAATTTTTTTTTTCCTGCGGTTGAGCGGACATTCATAATGTCGGCGCATTCTACCCCGCTATGCTGGGGGGAAAAAAGAAAGAAAAGAAAGAAAAGCAAGATGAAGGGAGAGAAGAAAAGCTGACATTGACTGCTAGGTATTCGATGAAAACGCGCCGTTGTTCCCTCGGCCGTCGTTCTTCCAGGGCTCGTTGCTCAACTTCGCAGAGAACTTGCTCTTCCCGGCTTGCAACCCCAACGAAGATGATATTGCCATCATCTCTGCAACAGAAACTACCCGTGAAAGCATCTCGTGGAAGGACCTCCGCGAGAGAGTACGTGTCTGTGCACTTGCTTTAGAGGCTGTCGGTGTCTTAGAGGGAGACCGCGTTGCCGGATTTGTAGGCAATCATGCCAACACCCTGGTCGCCATGCTGGCAGCCACCTCACTCGGCGCATTGTGGAGTGGCGTGTCGACAGATACTGGCGTCCATGCTGTCTTAGAGAGGTTGAGACAGATCGAGCCCAAAGTGCTCTTTGTGGATAATGGAGCTGCCTACAACGGCAAAGTACACCCGACTCAGTCAAAGGTTACAGAGGTGACAACCAATTTGGAGTGTTTGGACATGGTTGTTGTCATCGACGCCGTCAAGGACTATCCGTTTGAGATCCCGGCTGCCAGTCCTCCCAAGGGAAAGAGTGTGGCTTTGCAGGACTTCCTCTCCTCTGCAGAAGCTATATCAAAGCCATTGACTTTCAAGTACCTTCCCCCCGACCACCCTGTCTATATTCTCTACTCCTCTGGCACGACCGGTGCACCAAAACCTATTGTTCATGGAGCAATTGGGACCTTGATACAACATAAGAAAGAACATGTCCTTCACTGCGACATGCGGCCCGGTGACCGCCTGTTCTATTTCACAACCACCACATGGATGATGTGGCATTGGCTTGTTTCTGGCCTCGCTAGCGGCACTAGTATAGTTCTTTACGATGGATCTCCCTTCCGCCCACTTGACCCCGAAAACGGCAAAGGTGACATGGCCATGCCTCGTCTGATCGATGAACTCCAGATCACCCATTTTGGAACTTCTGCGAAGTACCTCTCTGTTCTAGAACAAAACTCCCTTAACCCCAGAGAGCATCCCTTCCGGCCTGTAACACTTAAGAGCTTGCGAGCTATTTTCAGCACTGGATCTTCCCTCGCTCCGTCCACATTTGACTTCGTTTATTCTTCAATCCACCCGGACATAATGCTTGGCTCCATAACTGGAGGAACAGACATTATCTCCCTCTTTGGTGCCTGCTGCCCCATCCTCCCCGTCACACGGGGTGAAATCCAGTGCCGTGGCCTTGGAATGGCAGTCTCTGTCTTCGACTACGCCGGAAACGACATTGGTGTATCTGGTGAGGCCGGAGATCTCGTTTGTCTTAAACCCTTCCCATCTCAGCCAGTCATGTTCTGGCCTCCGGGTCCAGTTGGCGCTGAGAAGTACCGAGCAAGCTATTTTGACACCTTTGGCCCTAAAATATGGCATCATGGTGACTTTGTCCGTATAAACCCCAAGACTGGTGGATTGGCGATGCTGGGGCGGAGCGACGGGGTGTTAAAGCCTGCTGGTGTCCGTTTCGGAAGCGCAGAGATCTACAATGTCATACTCAAGCATTTCGCAGATGAGATTGAAGACTCCCTCTGCATCGGTCGGAGACGCGAAGGTATCGAAACAGATGAAACCGTCGTATTATTCGTGAAATTAATGGGTACAACGCCGGCGGCCTCCGGCACCTCAACGCCTGTTATTGTTGAAGAGCCAAAAGCCATTTCACAGGATCTTATTACGCGCATACAAGCCGCGATCCGCAAGGAGCTGAGTGCCAGACATGTTCCAGCCATAGTCGACTCATGCCCTGAGATCCCGGTCACATCTAACGGCAAGAAAGTTGAGAATGCAGTCAAGCAGATTCTCTGTGGGTTGAACATCAAGACTGGTGCCAGTGTTGCCAATGCCGCTTGCCTGGACTGGTACCGCAAATGGTCTAATGAACATTAGATTTTCCTTTTAGTTTGTCCTAGATTAGACGGGTATATAAATACCGCTTCCGGTTCTATTAATATCAAAATTATGATGTGTTTATGTCTCCCGAGTTCATCATGATAACTTTAAGAGAGTGACGCTAGCTGGCGGTTAAGCCGATGCCAAGCCCTCAGTTTTTATCTGATCCAGCAACATCCAAAAAAAAAACAGTTGTCGATCGTCTCCTACATCCCCGGGACCACTACCCAACAACATACAGACAGAGGAAAAGCAGCTCGCCTTTCGCTATGCATCGACTGGCTCTCAGAGCAGGCAGGTCCAGGAAGCCTTCCATACCCCGTCTTGCCCCTAGAAGTTTTGCAACTGTTCGACAACCAGAGAACAAGGTATCCATCGCTAAATATTATAACCTGAAGGAACACATCTTTTTTAACACATGGGTATACTATAGGATCCTGTTGAACTGGACCAGATAACCACTCTCAGCAACGGTCTACGTGTTGCTACCGAATCTCTTCCGGGGCCTTTTGCCGGTGTTGGTGTCTACATTGACGCCGGATCGAGATACGAAAACAATGAGCTCCGTGGTGTGAGCCATATTGTCGACAGGCTCGCGTTCAAATCAACATCGAAACGCAATGCAGACCAAATGCTTGAATCTCTAGAGAGCCTTGGGGGAAACATACAATGTGCCTCGTCACGAGAATCCCTTATGTACCAATCCGCCAGCTTCAATTCGACTGTCCCTACAACCCTTGGCTTATTAGCGGAAACAATCCGAGACCCTCTAATCACAGAAGATGAGGTTTCCCAGCAATTAGCAGTTGCAGAATACGAAATCACAGAGCTTTGGGCAAAGCCGGAGATGATATTGCCTGAATTGGTGAATATGGCTGCTTATAAGGATAATACTCTGGGAAACCCCTTGCTTTGCCCACGGGAGAGGCTAGGGCAGATCACCAAGGTGACCGTGGATAAGTACAGGACAGCTTTTTTTAACCCGAATAAAATGGTTGTTGCCTTCGCTGGCGTCTCTCACACAGATGCTGTGAGGATGACAGAGCAGTATTTCGGCGACATGAAGAACCAGAAGTCTCCTCTTCTAGCCCAATTCGGATCAGAGACATCATCTACCCACGGTGAAGAGGAGGTACCGACATTTCCAGCCTTCTCGCCTTCGTCCACCACCCCTACCGAGTCCCCAGATTCCTCAGCACCACATTCGCCTTCATTGACGCCTCCTTCCTCTCCTTCTTCCCCAGGTATCCTATCCAGAGTTCCATTCTTCAAAAACCTATCTACCTCGGCGCCAAACCATGCAACAGTGTCCCCACTTAACCCGTCTCTTCTCCAAACAGACTTGATCGATGTCAGCAGGCCTTCATACTACACCGGAGGCTTCATGTCTCTCCCACGCATTCCTCCTCCAGCAAACCCGGCTATGCCTCGACTCAGCCATATTCATCTGGCATTCGAAGCCCTCCCCATATCTTCTCCAGATATATACGCTCTAGCAACTCTTCAAACCCTTCTTGGCGGTGGTGGATCATTCTCAGCTGGTGGCCCCGGTAAAGGAATGTATTCGCGGCTTTATACCAATGTGCTGAACCAACACGGTTGGGTAGAAAGCTGCATGGCCTTCAATCTCAGCTATACTGATAGCGGCCTATTCGGAATATCAGCCTCATGCGTGCCTAATAGCATAGCTAACATGCTCGAAGTTATGTGCCGAGAACTTCAGGCTCTCACACTTGACTCTGGTTACTCTGGCCTCCAGATACAAGAAGTTAATCGTGCTAAGAATCAGCTTCGCTCATCATTACTGATGAACTTGGAATCACGTATGGTGGAACTTGAAGACCTGGGACGACAAGTCCAAGTTCACGGCCGCAAGATTGGGGTCCAAGAGATGTGCAAGAAAATCGAAGCCCTCACAGTCGACGACCTACGACGCGTTGCTAAGCAGGTATTCGGTGGCTTAGTACAAAACCGCGGCCAAGGTACCGGTCGGCCTACCGTTGTCATCCAGGAAGGTGAAATGGAAGGCACCAAACTTGCACCATTACAGTGGACTGAGATTCAACAAAGAATAGCCAAATGGGGTTTAGGCCGAGCATGATCACGACTGAAGTATATTTGAAAGCGATGCTCAAATGGATACCAGATCAGTCGCTTCTACGTTTTGGAATTAGAGAACTGTGTATTATTAAGATAGGTCGGATGGTGTAATACTAGCATTATGAATAAATATCTATATACTCAAGGCTTGACATAAACGCTTTAAAACTTTATCAATGTACGCTAGCTAGCTACTGCACCATTCTCATTACACTCATAAATCTGGAGCGCAGGTATTAATCCTACTGCCCTGACTCTGGGATATCAACTCTTGTACTCAAGAAAATAGCCATATCTTCTAGCTCCATCGGAGCGAACCAGTGTTCAAGCTCATCATAAAGCATCCATGTTACATCCCAACCAAGCTTTTCGAGCGTTTGCGCGGCAGCCTCTCCTAGATTTGGCGTGACGGTCCTGTCCATATTGCCATGAGCCAGCCAGATTGGAGTAGATAGAGCAGCTGTAGCTGCTTCTGCCGTAATAGGAGGTAAATCTAAAACCGACTGGCAAACAAAATTCATGGCTTGCAAGGCTCCTGCACGCCTTGATTCTTCATTCCTTACTTCTTGTTCCTCTTGGTCTTTTGGGATGAAGTCGGCGATTTGTTCTTTGAACGGTAGCCATCCACTCATACCCACCAGTCCACCCAAGGGAAGATGCTCGTCGTTTGCATAACTGAGTAGAACATGAAGTGCCTGTGCACAGCCTTGGCTCAGACCTCCGATAATGACGTTTTTTGCACCAACGAGTTCCGCTTCGGAGTTAATTATTGTTCGCAGGTACCTTGTCGATTCTCTTAGTCCTCCGTAAAGCAAATCATTGTGCTCCTTGGCTGGAGAACCAATTGGACCGCGGTCAAACCATTGAGGAAGATATAGGTCCCACTGGGCTGAATGAGTCGTCTTTGCAGACGGGAATATAAATTTAAGGCCCGGGAAGCGCTTGGGCAGGGTATTATCGGAGCTTGGAGCAGATAATACTGTTGTGATTATTTCTGCCCCGAACACACGGCCAACCCCGCCCCGACCGTGAAGAAGTATGAGGGTATGGGTATGCTTGCTTCGAGGAGGTATTACAGTCGGCTCTGGGAAAGGGATGGTATGCTCTGTCGATTCAGATTCTGTTGTTTGTGTGGCCATAATTTCTTGTCTTTTTGGAGGTGTTCGTGGAGAAGAGTAGTTATATGGACTCCGTGATAATCAGAGAGGACAGCAGTTTAGTCCAATAAAAGTGACAACTTCAGCTTTAGGCAAAAGCAGACGGGAACAAGAACAGGACTCTAACTTATCCCAATAATTCCAAGATGAAGCTCGATTCATGTTTAATAAATGCTTCTTCTCGTGAGGTGCAGTGAAGCCCGCCCGAGCTTATCTTGAAGCTGATTAAAATATTGATTACATAATTGGCTCCAACGAGAAAAGTTTGGACGAACTTCGCTCTCGACATTCATGAAAAAGAATCAAAGACCAGCCATAAAAGCCTTCTACCAAACCAACAGTACACCTTGCTCCTTGGAACAAATCCCAAAGCTGAGATTTATTTTATACATCTTCGTTTACTTCATATTTACCCTCCGCTTCAACCCGTCACAATGGTCAAGCTCACCGAAGTCGAAGATGAACATTTCAAGGAAAAACCTACATCAACCAAGTCTGATGCCTTGTTATTGAGTGACGACGAGGATGAGGATTACACCGATACTGGTATGTTCTTATCTCCTTTCATCCCTTTATTAATCGTCATGATCTCTATGGTGCCGACATTTAATGCATTGCGAGGATACACCGCAACGCTCAATTTGCCTTCGGGGAAAATACATCCGCTGAATATAAAACAACATTTACTAATTTTGGACTATTTCACACTAGAATCTGAGATCTCTACAGATTCATTTGATGACAATCTCGACAACGAAACGCTATATGAAAGAATTTGCGCTTTACAAGACATTATCCCAGCCCAGTCCAGATACAAGATCAGCAATGCTTTCTCTTCCTTCTCTTCCTTTGCAAAATCAACAATTTCCTTCGGCGGATCCGCTTTGTGGATTGTGAGCACGAGTGCATTCTTGCTCGGTGTTCCATGGGCTCTTGCATTAGCTGAAGAGCAACAATACGTTCAGATGGAAAGGGAGCAAGGAATGATCAAAGGAGCCAATGAGGTACGCGTTTGCTCCCTTGACTTAGCCCTGAATCATTATGCAATGGCTAATCTGATTTTTCTCTCTATAGATGTTGACTCCTGGTGCTACAAGCGCTCTTACTGCCCCTGATTCGATCGCTGTGGAGGGAAAACCTGCCTTATAATCCACACGAATATTCGAGATGAGCTACGCAGGCTAGTGCGAATAACAACACGGTACAGTTCTGGCGTGTCTAGTGGACAAAAATCACTATTGACTTGCCTTTGTATCAATTAGGGCGTCAATATTGTACACATGAATCATGCAATATTGATATCTACCAGGGGACTGCAACTACTGAAAATGTGACATGGGCTGGGTTCATGGTACTGGGTGGCTACAAATGCATGTGAGGAAGTGATCCAAAAAAAACTTACCTGGTTTTTGGAATTTTTATTTTCGCGGTCAAGGATTGAACACCGTCCATGTCTTCCCATTTGTCTTGTTACTTTTGACGACACCTTTTGCTGATTTTCTCTTCTCCTTTAATATTTACACATGTACTTTACAATTGGTATCTAGTATCCATTTTCCTTTCTGTCGTGTATTTTATAACCATGAGAATTATGTATCAACTGTGATTGTATTTTCATTTCGTTAACCATGAAAATGGAGACATTTTGGTTATATTTTATTTTATTCCCTGTGGCTGTAGGGGGAACCTTGAAAGATAAAACGTCATTTCATCATTAGTTGAGCTATCCATGAGCAGCATCTATGAAAGGCTCATTCATGGATCCGAGATGCAAACCAATTATCTCGCTGCAAGTGTCAGCATCCGTACCTGAGCAAATCCAGGCGACGGAAAATTCGATTCTGCTCCCACACCTGGACTAAGTAAACAGCTAATATCGAGATGATGTCTATACAGGAGTCAGCGTGTTCAAGAACGCGGAAAAGCAAGGGAAAGGGGAGTAGCCTACAGTTGAAGCTCGTGCAGTCTTTAAGTTGAGGTTGAAGTCTCTCCAGAGCCGGTCGACCTCTCCTGCCTGAACCATAGCATCGACAACCTCATTGGCATATTTTGTCCGCTTTTTCTGACTCCAATGCTCCCTGTTTAGGATTTCACCGTTCTCAAGAATACCAATTCTCTCCAAGTAGCCAACCACCCATTCATTGAGGTGGTAGCGCCAATGGATTAGAGTATGAGCCATGGATGCTTTTGATTTACAGTGCCTATCAAAGCATGAGAAATTAAAAATGCTGATAGCAGTCAATATACGGGGCATCTTTGGCTCACCTTCCAAGATAAAAATGTGTGTTCTCATTGGGTATCACGTTTCCCTCGCAGTCGACGTTTTCACGCTCCATACTATCAGAGGCCTGGTCTTCACTGCTATCATCTCCAACAATAGACTCCAGTGTCTCCTGAATGTATGGAGGCCCATCAAATCGGATATCATAGGATGCCGGATGTTTTGATCTATTGCATGCATCACATGGATGACCCTCTGTAATTGGATAAGGGAGGACCACGATCCGCGGCCTTGCTTTGAGAGAGCCTATAAACCCCTTATTCCAGACTGACGATACAAACTGAGAGCCTGCCAAACCCGTCACTTCATCCTTCACTTTTCTAAATGCCATTTCATAAACGGCATCATCTCGACGAAAGGCAGGATTAATTTTGTTGTGAACCATCCATTCAACAACGTCCCTAAAATGATCCTTCAGTCTTTTGTATCGATGCCTAGTAAATTCAAATGGAACCTCAATCTCGTCAGCTGGGACACCCAATTCACCTTCGTCATCCTCCAAAACAAAATCAGCATCGTATTGATCGAGATCCTCAGGAAGGGCGGGTTCAACGTCACTATCAACGTCCATTTGTGAATCTTCCGATGAGGTAGTGTCTTCGGAATCCTCATTATCTTCCGATTCGTCTGGGCTATGGGGATTGTTATCGTTGTAACCTTTTTCGTTTCTCTCTGTCATTTTTGATTTGTCTCCAGCACGCCGACGTTTAAGAAGTTCTAGTTGCCGTTGGCGTTCTGCTTTGGCTGTTGAAATACTAGGCGTGCCCCTTGTTCGGCTCTCAATTACGTCTAAGGGATCATTAGAATGTGCCAGCAAACGTAAATGAGCACTTAGCATATTTGCAGAAGGAACTGAACCAGAAAAAAAATCCACTTGCGCATATCCCTGACATATACTTCTTAACAGGGGGGTTTTCTTACTAGAAGGGCGAAGTATTTCAAGGTCTTCCTCCAGATCAATTTCATTCTGTTGCAGTTTACCGCTCTTTTGTACAAATCCATCAGGCACTGGGTCCTTTTCATCAAGGCCTCTGCCTCTTTTGGCACGGGCCTTTAAGGCAACCCTCCGTTGCCTGAGTGGGGGGGAGTGAATTATATCAGAGTCTGATTCAGAATAGTGTTTTATTTTGACCTGGTCACGGGCGACCGGTGCTTGAGGAATAACAACCTGTACACTTGTCCTTCTACGCTTGGTAGGGGACACAATCTCATCACTTTCCCCAGAGCTAGATTTATTCATGCCCGGGTTTGTTCGCTTCCTTGTCTTTGGCTTAATGCTAGAGGGAGGGCGAATAGGATCTTCGTCAGATGAGACGAAGATAGATTGTTCTTCTGGTATTGTCGGGGGCGTAGTAGCAGCATTCTCCCCCTTTGGTGATGACTTCTCCGAGCGAAGATTCTGAGATCGTACACGACTTGACTCCCCAGTCGGAGGTAACGAGCTGACAGGAGCAAACGATAGGGTTGTTTGCCGTTTCCGAGACGGCCTGGCCCTGCCGGTCCTGCCCATTGTGAGAGCAGTGCGGCAAATATGATGTCGGATATCTGGTAACCAGGGTATCGTGATTGTCACCTGTAGCGAGAAGCTCCTCGCTACGCGCGCGTCTCATCCCACGAAAGCACGTGAGCCTTTGCTTTCCTTGACTGGCGCATGAGATACCGCTTACCTAATCTCCTGCCGATCAATTACATAATACCGTACGGAGAACAGAGCGCTATTATTAGGTACTATTATCATTATGTAAGCGTCGCCGTCTTCTTTCTACTTCAGATTCTCGATGAGCCTTGAGCCTTCAACGGCAGCTTTCATCGCATCGTCAGTTTGCTCGGAAAATTCAGGAATCTCCTTGAAAAATAAGTGGTATTAAAGCTCCCGGAAGCTCCTTATTCGGCTGTCAGGAGTGAGCGAACCTTACATGGCGCCATGACGTAACCCCAGCAGCTTCCAGCACCAAGGCTTGCAACGCCATCATAGTGGAGAAGTATCGACAGCTTGCAACAAAACAATATATGCAGACGGGGGGGAAAACAAGTTCCACAAGGATAATCCCCAGCGCCATTGGCGATTATTGGCCACCCAAACAGGATTGTTGATGTTGATCTGTCCGTGAAACGTTACCTCCGTGGCTAGATGGCAATCCGAAGGCGAAAACATAGCTGAAATTACGGCCAGGATGGAACGGCAAAGTCATGACGTCAAGGGAGGACCGAGATCAGGGATATATCCACCTCCCGTGCATTCCTTCTCCTCGATAATCTCTTCGTATCGACAACGTATCGGGAATAGTGGATTTAGCTTGCCCCCTAAGGTGCGCAGTCAATTGATAAGTTCATCCCTGGTGTAATTCTTTTCCCTTTGACCGTCTTTAAAAGACGTCTTTTCCGGACTTGGGTGCCTCGATTGGATTTTAACCACAGTTTTTCATTCTTGTTGCCTAATACATAATATATTAGTGCTACAGAGAATTCTACTATTCCTCGTCTAACAATTCTCGCTAGATGCACTGTTACTAGCCTCTCGCCATGCCTAGTAACAAAGCAGTAGTGAACACTCCGGTGAAACCGGAGGTAAGAGACAGGGTACGTCGAAAGATCGCTTTGCGACACTTGATAAAGGAGAATCTAATATGTCTTTATAGGAAATCAACGAAAAGCTTCAGTATTATGGAATCTATTCAGGTTTGCCTCCTCGCAATATCGATCGAGGGTATATACCTGAATGAAGCAACAGTTTGCTAACATAGACACCGACTCGATTAGCTTTTGCCAATGGCAAAGTTCCTTCGGTATGGCCCTAAATTCAACTCCTTTTCAAGCATTACTCTTTATGGTTCCGTGTTGCTAATCACTTTCAATATAGAACAAGCAAATCGATGTTGCTTTAAACAGCCTTCTTGCTACGAAGTCCTTGGCCAATCCATCATCTGAACTTTCAACTGAAACTCGACAGATTATTGAAGATTTACGCCATGTAATAATCAGCGCGAGAAATCTTGTCCTCGTCAAGAACGATGGCAATATGATCCAAGAGTTCATCTGGGATGCAACAAACTTCAAAGGCCCGGGAGATATTCAAGGCCCTGATACTTCTGGTGAAAAAGCTGCCGCGAAACAAAATGCTCAGCAAACCGCAGCTGGCCTCAAGACTCTCGGGACTTTGCTCATCACCAACGGCCAATTCAGGAAGCTTTGTAAGTTCGAAAATCGATCCAAGATGTTTGCAGTCGCTAACATGGTCGCCTGATGTAGTGAAAGATGCAACCATCTTGATACGGGACATGGCTAGTGATTCTGCCCAGAAAGCTGCCGGGGCCTTGAAGCCATCAGAGGAGGACTTAGCCCAGATTGACAGGCCTGCCGACGAAAACATGTGGCATGAGTCCCCCAACCTATCAAAGGATGCCCTTAAATCACGGTTCAAGAAATCAGAAAAGACTCAAGGAAATGTTGATACAGTCAATGGCTCTCATGCCACCAATGGGGCTAATGGAGTCAACGGGGTCAATGGAGTTGATGGTGTTACTACCAGTCAGCAAACTGGCACTTCCGGCACCGCTGATACCGCAGAGCTCAAAGATCAGGCTACTACGACGGCCAAGCAACGTTCAAAGGAAGCAGCCGAGCGGACCAAAAAATTCCTTGCGGAAAAAATGCCTCGAGAGCGGAGAGAGCAGACAATTTGGCGCATTAAGAAGATGATTGTTGAAATTCAAGGACACGCTGACTGTAAGTTTCAAGGTTAACTCGATCTTTGGGTTGCCCACAGCCATCTAACTTACTATATAGATCAAGAAGCTATCGAGACACTCTTGTCGATCGCCGAGGGATACGCCCGACGCTCTAAGAGCCTATCCAAACAGGGGGCAGGAACGCTGAAAGGTGCAAGAGATCAATCGGATACTCGGAAATTAGAGTCTAACCTGAAAGTATGTTAATAGGATATCTCACCGAACATAAAGATTCACTGACGCGGCTCAAGACTGTAATCGAACGATTTGCAAACTCTACCTCGACTGATGACCTGTTTGATGCCATCAAGAAATTCTACAAAAATGCGGAAAGTGATCCTCGACTAAGAGACTGGTTCCGAAATGTGGATACATTCATCAGGTATATATCTCTTAAAGGCTCCCTTGGGGATTCACTATGAAGAAATATGAGTTAACATGACTATAGGAAATGTCTCAAAGAGCAGGGCTTCGTGTTGCGTGACGAATCTACTGCAGAGTGGAACAGGTTGTATGATGAGGGACGCTTTTTACTCACCAAACGCTACAAGAATGACACCGATGAAGTCGTAGAGGAAGGGAAATTCCTAGCAAACCAGTTCGATGAAGATCCATTGAACAAGGAGTTCGGCCAGTCCATGAAGAAATTCTTCGATCATCTCGGCCATGATGCCAGTGGAAATATTGTTTTCCAGAAGAATCTGTTGAAAGACTTTGTCAATACAGTCCTTCCAGGAACCTTGGCGAATCTTTCTTATATTCCTCTTCCTCGAATTGAAGTATCCGATCCAATGATTGATGTGGTATGTATACTTGAATCCGATAGTACTGATGAGGTTCTTTAATAACGTTTACTAACCTGGTTCAACAGGTTATTGAAAACTTAGCTGTTCAATGCGATAACCTGATGCCCAATATCATGGAATTCAGCAGCGACAATTATTGGAGATGGGGTAGAAAGAAGATTGGCAATCACAATGACAATAAGGCAAGTATTGTTATAGTCGTTCATTTGATATTTTCCTAGCTTCTAACCTTGGGTAATTATAGGCCATGATTTCTGCCACTGGAATCCAGACCGATTGGAGAGGTAAATAATCCATTTATGCTTTTGTAGAGCTAGCTCACTAACAGCTTTTGTTTAGATGTAAGCTACTACATCAAAAAGAAGAAGGGCTTCCCACACGTCTCAGATACAGGTGTGATGGATATCTTCTTGGGCGGCGACGGATTCAGCTTTAAGATCATGGGCTCTTCAGCGCAGAGCAAGGATAAACAACATTTCATCAAGGCTGATAAGGTCGTTGTCAACATCAAGAATCTGGACATCAGGCTGAAGAAATCTAAGCACAAGGTCCTCTTTACCTTGTTCAAACCCTTGCTTTTGTCAGTGGTTCGACCTGCCATCCAAAAGGTCCTGGAGCTGCAAATTCGACAATACTTCAGCAAGGCAGATAAGTTCGCTTATCAGGTCCACCAGGAAGCTCAGCGTACCATGGAGTTGTCACGGAACGATCCCGACGAGAAGAGCAATGCATACACTCACTACAGCAACGCGCTCAAGTCGCAGATGAAGGCCCGCAAACAAGAGGCCGAGGCCAAGAAGAAGCAAAAGCCTCCCAGAGACACTAAGGTTAACGTTTGCATCAGTCAATACGATTCTATATTCAAAGACGTCGTTCTCCCCAGTGGCATATCTGCCAAGGCAACAGAATATAGGGACCTTGCTGCAAGGGGTGAAAGATGGGAATCTCCTGTGTTTGGTATTGGCTCGGCTGCTCCCTCGACCGGACTTCCGCGACTTGATGATGTCAAACGGAAATACAGAAACCGTGGTATAAGTGGAATGCAGCGACAGAACTTGCCTGTCGCTCAGTCCATGGGACCATCAACGTCCATGGCGGAGCCTACTCATGTCATGCCCTCCAAGATGACTGGCCTTGCCGACGGTTTGATGACCATTCCTGGAACCAACGCTCCAGTTTAAACAACTAAAACACTCCTATCAAAGACGTGGCGCGTGATATATCGATTACCCGTCACCATTACTAATATCATCTACTCTCCTATGTTTTCCTATGTTTTTCCTATGTTTTTCCTCTTGATTTGAGTTTTTATGTTCTGTTGATTTTGTTTCGAATGATACCAATGTGAATTTCGGTTCCAACCAGGCTTTAGGGGAGGAGGTTTCAAGTGCCTGGAGGTCTTATTTTCAGGTACCTGGATCGAACTTTGAGGCAGCTTTGGTGAGAGACATTGAAAGCCTGCGATTGGTAATTATTTAGTAGTAATTCGGGCTATCCCCGCTTTGTTAATATGTAATTCACTTTTCTTAATTTGGCCTGTCTGCCTGACCTTGTTTATCCTGACATCCCCATCTTTAGGCAACTCGAAAAAGAGCCACAGGAGTAGTAGCTCGTGCAAGTAAGAAGCAGTGGTCCAGATATTTCCAAGGTTATGTTCCGCTTGACCCAAACAAAAACTATGCGGTCTTTAATAGTGTTAGGTTAATTTGAAATTATGCAGATCCCCCTAATATAATAAAACAATATAATGCTTCAAAAATCGACCCTCATATCAATTACGTGTCAACGTTGCTACGGAAGACAAAATATAAACCTGCTGAGAACTACTTCCCAGCACAGGGAATGAACACACGATACAATTGTCATAACAATATATATAGAACATCGAAAGTTCAATTGTCCTATGTAATACATCTTTGTTTTTAAAAGTTCGCAAATATGTATATGAAAGGAAGAGCAAGAAACAGGTGAAGGAGACAGAAAACCAGCTGTCTCGCTAAACCAACCGAGAATGAGAAGATTGGACAAGAATAGGGATATTTCCCTCAAGAAACTTGGAAAGTGGTAATTTGCCGGCTGGCAGTTACGTTTAACACCTGAGGGTAATAGCTATTGAGTCAAAATTAGTCTAGAGAACAAGACATCTCGAAGGGCGCTAAAGAGGAGGCTTACCGTTGGCGAAGAGAGCGTAGTTGTCGGCATTTCCCATGGCTCTCTGGTGAGAGAGTGCAGTTGCACGATTGTAACCATACCCATGGTCCTTGCAGTGCGGTGTGACAGCATTTGGATTATGGGCTCCTTCGTGGATTACGGTCCCGATACGATCCTGACGATGGCACTCATTGGTGCGGTGGGGCAGTTGCCAAAAGAGGGAGCAGGGGTGAACCTCATTCCTAGCTGGAAAGGTGTAGGCAATGATTCTGGGACTGCATCGGCGAGGACCATCGGAGCAGAACCACGTAACAGAGCCACCGTCCATAGTGGCCACACCGGAAATTGAGGCAAGGCGCTTGGAAACCTCCTTCCTGGTTCCAGGATCTCTGGCGCGGAAAAACTCAAAGACTTTCTCTGTGTTGTTTTGAGCAGCGGCTGCAGCTTCCGTGGCAACCTTTTGAGCGTCTTGAAGGGCGGCCCTGAGGGCCTTCTCCTTCATCGGATTACAAATATCGAGGGGACGTCGCTTGTCGAGGCCCTTGGAAAAGTAGTCGTCAAACGCTCTGGGGACCATGGCAGCCTTGCGGGCGTCGATATCCATCTCAAGCGCGTTGGATTCGTAGTAAACGTGGTCTATGATATCTGTTCCCCCATCCTCTGCAACAGGAATGGCGCCACGAGCAGTGAGTGTGTACTTGCCGTCCCACTTCAAGTCGTGGACTGTGGCAATGTCGAAGAGGTGTTCCACACTATCTTTGGGGGCCAGACGAGTAAAGAGATCCTCAGTCAGATCGCTCAAGTCGTAACGGGGCAGCATGCCAAGGAACTCGACCTCACCACCTATGAGTAGTCAGTATAACACAGCCTAGCCTGTATAAGATCCAACGCCTATCTTACCATCCTCGTGGGATACATCAACCTTGCTGGTTGGGTTCTCATCCATAATGGTGTTGAAACTCAGTAGGTGCAAAGGACGCTCTCCATTGTTGGTGACAATAGCCCTGACCATGGTGTGGCCAGCGCGAACGAGCCTGACGCTAAGAGTTTGGTTGTGTGATGCCTCAGATGCCGGGGTTGGGAGAGCGACGGCTGGCGCCAGGAGGGCACCAACCGCAGCGAGTGCCGTAAAGAATTTCATTGTTGCAAGTTTGTAAAAAGAATGACTTCGATCAAAGAATGAGTTAGATCAAAAAGGGTTGGGTCAAAAAAAACGAGAGTAAGAAAGAAAAAATATGTATGTTTGAAAAAGGAAAGACAAAAGAGTGTACTAGTTCTCTAGGAACTATGAGTTTGGACTGTTTTGTTTGAAATAATAAAAGCCTGCTCTTGAGGTAGAAAAGAGTTCACCAGCTTCGTTCCATGATGATCTTATATATTGCCTCTCGAGCGGTCCCTCCTTAGGAGATGAACAATATCAAAGTCATCATCCTTTGGCGCGAGCAATGTTTATGGAGCCATAATCGCTAGCTCTGCCGCGAGGAGCATCTTAAGGCCTGAGTCCTGTGCTTGGCTGGATATAGTGGATTAAGGGGTTCATGGAACCCAAGCAGGAGCCATCGAATCATAGAAGGACACTCCATCTGAAGGCTATGGAGAGACCCCTTAAGCTCCACGGAGAATTCTATCTGGCCAATCTTATTAAGTAGGATTTGGCGTATAATAATAACATGCAGGAAGCAAGCCAAAGAAGACAAGCCTCTCAGCGTGTCTATTATTAAGGTATACCTTAGACGGATAAATCCACCTAGAGCCAAATGCAAAGATACAAAATAGGCTCGCCAAGTCTCGTTGTCCGGGTATTGAGAAAATCGGGGTCCGATGGAGAGATCTCAGTCGGAGGTGTCGATGTAAATATCCGCAGCGAATGAAAAGCTCAATTGGGGGTGCATCATAAGGCGGATTCGATACTGATCTCCATAGATGCCAAACACAATAATAGAGACTGACCTGACCGTTTAAGGAGACGCTGGCACCACACGTCCAGAGTCATCAAGTGTGGCACTTGTCGAGGGTTCAAGAGGCAACTTGCCTACCTGATGGTATAGACGTCAAAACTCAAGCGGCAGGCAAACATGGCCCCCCTCTTTAGGCATAAGCTTGACTTCACACTCTAACATCCTGCATTTTCCATGAAGGACAACTGCTCCATACGGAGAACTCCGTACGCTCGTTATTTTCCCTCTAGAAATTTTTTTCTTGCGTACCCCTTCAGTTTGTCCGGCCAACCCTGGAACAGGAACTGTAATATGTATGAAGCACCGATGATCTCTTTGATGCGGACGGAGCTCGTACCCAATCCCCAATGGTCAGTCCTATGACTGACTAATGAGCATCCCCCGTCGTAGACGCCAAAGAGGAAGCAACCAAAATTAAATATGCAGAGAGGAAGCTTGCCTCTTCTTGACCACCGCGCAAGATCCGGTTGCTTGAGACGCTAGCGTTTCTCTTCCTCGCTGTTTTCCCTGACGGTGCAGTGAGGTGGAGGAGGCATAATGTCGGGTGAAAGGAGGATTTTAATGATGACAGTTCACCCTGACTTTCTTCTTAGTGCGGCTCTATTTCCCTCGCGCCAAATCGTCCAAGTCTGCATTCAAGTTAATTAGGTCACCGGTAGCGCAAAATACCATCTTTGCGGAAATCCAATAATGTAGTGTAGACTTGTTACGTCTTAGCGGTTCAATGTTGCCAAAGGGTAACTATTAGCACGCTTGACATTATTATGCCGCCCACAAAAATGGGTGAACTGTTGTTGCCTAGTCCGCATTTCATTTCCTCAGGCAAGCCATGCAAAATTGATCCACTAAGTGAGAATGACCTGACGCTTGTTTGAGCTTCCGCAAGGCTTGCATTTTGCTCCTGAGGGAGTGCAATCGAGCGCTGCGAGAAACCCATGGCAGGCACACTTATAGCTAAGCTCTTCACCAAGACGGGTAGATCAAACAACTATACAACAGCTGTCATGGAGAGTTCCATCAACGGCATCAACCGAGTGAATTGGTTGAAGATCATGTTGAGCATATTTTCACTCTGCACATCTCTCTTGGGCGGGAGATCTTCACAAGAAAACTTTCCACTACCTGAAGAGCAGGAACGGTAGCAGGTATGACACGTATATCAGCCCACTCTAGCCGGTGAAACAAAATGAAATTGCCTCTGCTGCAAGGTTCGTTGACGTAAGTACTTTAGCCCTTCTCCATGTCATGCCTGCCGTGCTTTGCATATATCCTTATGCACGGAGAAGAGAAATCTCCGAACAGGAATACTGCTTTTTTTTATGTCCGAGGGGCAACTTGCTTCTCTCTACCCCAAAGCCATCATGGTGGTATCCGTATTTAGGCGCTTCTGAGGGCCAAAATAGCGCCATCCGAGGAGACGCCGCCAATGAACTATATGGGGTATTCGTTTATAGCTCACAGACTCCGTCATGACCGTGGCTGGTCCTCCGCCACCGCTCTGCACAGCCTCTCATCCGCGTCAACTCGCCATTTCGCAAGTAATAATGGCAGAGCGGGCAGCGAAAAAAAGGCGGAAGATGGAGTATCCGGATATAAAATTAATCCTGCCCAGGGGCTGGAGTAAGGCGTTGTCGACTTGTTTCACCCTCTGATACGCGGCCCACACGTACTTAAGCCCGGAAGCTCTCTGCCCTTTCTTCGAATCAGAGGAAGAAAAGTCAAGGCAGGGTCAAGCCGGTGAAGTGGTTTGCGGTCCACACTGGGACCACCGAGCAGTCTGTTATGTGGCTTATCATTTGACCGGATTGCTGTCGTTGAATCAACCACCCCCTTGTTGCAGGGCTCCGTTCGGGCTTGCATGGCTCAGAGAGATGGGATGTCCTGGGAGAGTTTTCGGTCATGCTGGGATGTCTGCCACCTCGATGCCTGCCGTCCTTAGCGAACTAACTGCTAGTGTGGCTGGCTTCTCTCGGCTGTCTGTTTGTTGTCAGTGTCATGACGGAGCATCGTTGCAGTCTTCCCCTGTAGTTTAACTAGTTAGCGGTTTGACATCATCGTGGAGTCGAAACATCAACGTCAGCGTCAACGACCTCCGGGTAGTTCGCTCAACCTCGTAACTTCATCATCAGCACCAACAACTGGAAGAAAAAGAAGAATAAGAACAAACGCTCGTGGTTTTCATGCCCACTGTCGGAAACCTCGTTCACCGGGCAAGCATATTTGGCATCTTTGCCTTTGCCCTGATCGTCTATCTCACCACCCGCTCGCCGTGGACGCCCTTCACCGAGAACTGCTCCGACTGCTCATCGCCCGCCATGGACGACCAGCTCTCCTTCATCCAGATCTCCATCTGTCCCGGCCGTGAAACCGTGGCAAAGGACGAGGAGCTCAAGCTCAAGGTGACCGTCACCAACACCGCCGACTCCCAGGCAACGCTCCTCACCTGGAACACCGTCTTCGACACGCTCGCACCCTCGCTCGGTGTCTTCACGATCCGCGACCTCACTGACGACACGGACGTGGAACAGAACATCATGATGGTCCGTCGTCAGATGCCGGCTCGCGAGCGCGACCTTGTCGAGCTGGGCCCCAAGCAGTCGACCGAGACCAGCGTCGTCTTCAGCAACCTCGAGCTCACCTCCGGCCACAAGTACTCGGTCCAGGCCAGCGGCTTCTGGCAAACCGTCTGGACCAAGCCCAAGTCAGAGGTCGTCTCGCACCATCTCGACCTCTCCGGCGGGATGAACGGGGACTTCTCCTCCAACGTCGTCGAGTTCTCCAAGGTAAGTCCTCCCAAGGGGAGTCGTCTCTTGATATGCGAAATACATAGCTGGACTCGCACTGACTTGCCGTAGGAGTGATCTGGACTACGCCCGGCCCATCCGTCGACAGCCTGTTCTCCAGCCAGCGTACACGGGTTTGATGCTCTTTCTTCATATCTTCTTGTCTATATATGTTAGTACTGGTATATAGTTACCACTATTCCATACACCACGATAGCCACAGAATGTCAGCCAAACTGCTAAAGCCTGGCGGCTCCGTCTTTAGTGCCTTGGCCGTGTAGTTAAAGCAGCTTGCAGCAAAAGAGGACGAAGCAGCTCATGCAGACAAGGACAGAGCCGAGAGCAGAGTGGCTGAGGCCTGCAGTTCCTGGAGCTGACTCGACCTGTTTTCCGGCTTGCTGCTTATTATTATTAGTGACTCTGTCCTACTGGCTAGCCTGCGCCTTGCTCCGCCCGCTAGCTAGTTAGTTAATTAGTTAGTTAGTGTTAGTGTTAGTTGACTGACTGGTTAACTTCTCCCCCTGCGCTGCCTCGTCTTTCTCCATCACCAACAGTCACCACCACCACCAGAACAACAACAACCCGCCCATCGAGTCTCCGGCCATCTCGTCGTCTTTGGCACTCGCAGCTCGTTCACTTTTCTCTTTATCGTCGGCTTCAGTCATGGGTGTAAGTCCCCTTCCAGCCCCCGAGAGCTGTGTGTTTGCGCCACTTGAATGCCCCGCCATATATAACTATGCGACCCCTCCAAGGCTCCAGCGTTCAGCAGCATCACAACAGCCCATTATTTCATCCATATTGACCCGGTCTCTTGCGATTCTTTACTGACCCGACGGCCTGCTTGCCTCTCTTGCCTTGTAGCTCGCCTCGAAAATGGCTGCTGCCAACCAGGGCGCACCCTCCTCCTATCCCGGCGGCCCCCCTCCTCCAGGCGGCGGCGGCGGCCCAGCATACGTATGTCCATGCACCATCTTCTTTAGTTATATCCGGAGGAAGGATGAGAATACAGAAGCGAATTCTGGGCCTCTTTCTCTCTCCCCGGTGCTTGACGAGAAAACCGCCGGCTGACTTCTCTTCTGTTTACTAGCCCGGACAGCAACAGTACCAGGCCTACCCCGGCCCTGGCGGCCCCGGCGGCCCTCCGCCACCCCAAGTAAGCGACCCCGTTTGACACACAGCTCCTCCTCCTCCTCTTCCTGCTTTCTTCAGGCAACATTGCATTGAACAACCTCTGTCCGCCGTTATTTCACCCGCTATCTGCACCTGTTTTCTGTTGTCGTTGTCGTTTTTTGCTTCTTTTGGTTCCTGTTCCGCTGTTTGCTTGTGACGTCATAACTATGGCTTGTTTCTCGGACCAAGTAACAAATCTCTATAACTATGCTTTTGATCGCGAGCCAACTGCAAAAGAAAAGGCCTTTGCTGGCCTGGCTCATGACCATAGCAATCAATCCGAACTCCCATAACCGTGCCTAACGCGAAGATGCTCTCAGGCCAGTCCTCAGCCTCAAGCTCCTCCTTGGAGTGCCTCGCCTCCGCCGCAGAGCGGAACTCCAAATCCTTACTATAGGAATCAGCAGCAATCTCCCCAGCCCCATCAACAACATAATGCCTATGGCCAGCAGCCTGTCTATGGCCAGCCGCAGCCTTATGGCCAGCAGCCCGGATATGGACAGCAACAGCCACCATATGGACAACAGCAGCAGCCTTATGGACAACAACAACAACACCAACCCTATGGAGCACCGCCGCAGCAACCAGCCTACGGGCAGCAATACCCTCCCAACCAGGCTCAATACGTTCGTTTCTTTTCTCTTCTAAAGTGTTTTTCCTTTGTTCAGTCTCGTTTTCTAGAGTCCTCGCTTCCCTTGCTCTCTTCCTTATCTTCTGGTTTATTTCAATGTGTTCATTACCTTAACCATAGTTCTTCTTTTTGTAGGGACAAGGACCACCCGGCCAGTTCCGTCAAAGTCAGCCCGGGTACCCTCAGGGAGGCCCCGGTTACCCTCCCCAAGGCGGTGCACCTGGTTATCCTCCAGGGCCACAAGGAGGCCAGCAGTTCAATGCTCCCCCAACTCCACAGCAGCAGGCAGCCTACAAGCAAGTCCTTCAGAGCTGTATCAACGAGAAGAATCTCCAAGGAATGTACCCGCCAAACTCTCCTATTCTCGACCAGATAGTGAGCAAAATCAGCGGCCAGGTGGATCAGCTCTGTGCCACCTGGCGAGTTCCCCGCGAGGTTGGCCAAGATGTTGTCAAGCTTGCGCTCTTCGATGTTATCCTCTACATCGACGACAGCGGCTCTATGCAGTTTGAGGAGAACGGTGAACGTATAAAGGACCTCAAGCTTATTCTTTCTCGCGTCACATACGCCGCCTCTTTGTTCGACGACGATGGTATCCAGGTTCGCTTCATGAACTCCAATGAACAGGGCAACAACATCCATAACGAAGGACAAGTCGAGGCCCTTATGCAGCGCATGCAGTTCAAGGGTCTTACCCCCATGGGAACCAGCTTGAAGAACAAGGTTCTAGAGCCCCTCGTCATGGCTCCTGCCAGAGCTGGTCAGCTCAAAAAGCCAGTCTTGGTCATCACGATCACAGACGGTCAGCCTGCTGGTGAAGCCCAGGGAGCTGTGTTCGATGCCATCCGCAGTGCAACCCAGGAGCTCCAGTCTAACCCAAGATATGGTCGTGGGGCTGTCTCCTTCCAGTTTGCTCAAGTCGGCAATGACCTGAAAGCCAGAGAGTTCTTGTCTAAGCTCGACGAAGAGCCTGGTATTGGTGAACTTGTCGACTGTACTTCCAGTATGTCCTTGATTCCCTATCGGTAATAATCTCCCTTTTCGAAGGCCTATACTAATAATTTCTTTAAGACTTTGAGGTTGAACAGGACGAGATGTCTCGCGCCAACCCACCAGTTGACTTGACCCCTGAGCTCTGGGTAGGTTATACCCAACTGCGTCATGCGAGTGCTTTCAAAAGAATGCTAACTTTTATCCTTAAAAATAGCTTGCGAAGATGTTGCTTGGTGCCATTGACTCATCCTACGACACCAAGGATGAGAAAACCCAGCGGGCCCCTGGAGGAGCACCACCGCCGGGCCAATACAACGCACCACCGCAGGGACAGTACGGCGGATATGGCCAGCAGCCTCCACCGCAGGGTGGATATCCCGGCGGCGGCTACAACCAGCCACCACCACCAGGCGGTTATGGGCAACCACCACAGCAAGGCGGCTACGGTCGTCCTCCGCCAGGCCCTCCCCAGGGCGGGCCGGGCTACCCTCCACAGGGCGGATACGGCGCACCTCCACCCGGTGGCCGTTACTAGACAAACCCGGACCGTGTGTCAACTTCTCTTCAGATGAAGGTCTTTTTTAGTCGCCTATTGTATTTCTTAATACGGCCTGTGGCCCTTTTCATGTACTTTGCACCTGGAACCATTTTTCTTATCTACTTTCACGAGCGCGGAAAGAAATCGTTCGGTCTGCGCGCCAAGGGCGGAAAAAGGGAAATCTGCTACTAGAAGACCAGAAATGCAAAACAGAATGCTCTTTTATCCTTTTGCTGTCCCAGGGAGGAGACCCCCCCTCTCTCACCCACCGTAGAATTAGAACAAAGAGACGGCCCGCATCTGGCGCTAAACTCCGCGCTTCACGCGCTACTTATGCGCCGAGAGCCGTTCCTGTCCCGCCATTGGCTGTGCTAGCGGAAGCCCCCGCTTTCACCCCCCTGGGGGCCCGCAGTCACGTGTATGTCATGTGCAGCCTCTGTGGACGCCCAGCCGAGGCCGCGGGCGGCGCATCCTGCCAGTTACGTCAGTCGGTTTGCTTTTTTCTTCCCTTCTCATCCTCCCGCCGTCCACTGTCTTGTTTCACACGACGCAGAGCGCAAGAAGACGAGCGACGGTGACGCTGACGACGACGAGGAGCACCGGCTGCGATCGACGACTGGAGGGTTCAGACCGTTGCAGCTTGCAGCAGCGCTACTTGGAGGCATGCAGGCGGCCGCGGTAGCCCTCCGCTGCGCTGACTCTCGATTCGCGACTGCTTGCGGTAGTTAGAAATAGAAAACGCCTCCCGCCAAATGGAGCGGCGTCCTACCATATCATAGGACGAGCCCACCACATAGCGTTTTACCAAGTGATTCGACAGTCCGGTGCTCTTTTTTAAAAATTTTATTTTTATTTTTATTTTATTTCTCACTCACGCCCTTGACACCCTTCGTCGGGGGTGACAATCTGTCTCTTCTTCTTCTTTTCTTGACCTGTCTGGCCTGTCTGACCTGTCTGGGAAGCGCTGGCTCGCTTCTACTTCTGGACTTCTTCGATCGTTTTCCCCGAATAGCGAGTTCCAGGGTTGTCGATATAGAAATCGGGCGTCGGATTCCGTAAAAATCTGCCCGTTCTTCATAAGACATACGCAACGAGGGGCGTGGCCATTCATCCTCTTTAACTCATACAGGTCTTGCTGAAGACGGAGCGCCCATATATACATAAGCCTGGGGATAGGGGGTGGAGCAGCAGCCTTGGGTCGAGAACAGCTTCCACGTCCCTTTATACGTCATACAGGACGGTCTCCGCTACGATAGTCGAATATGGGCGAAGGGCAAGAGTCAAGCGGGCGGGGAAATCAGAATACAGTGGCATATGAAAGTATAGCTCTGCAGCCTACTAGTGGACAGCAGCAGCAGGAGCAGGAGAGCCCTCAAAATATACATGATGTTGACCAGCGAAGACAATCCCTGAATCGAGTACGGTTTTCGTCTGATATCGACCGCGTCGCCGAACAAACGGGATCGATTTCGAGAGAGTCAGACTCTGATGAGACCTCTCCAGCGACGACGCCCGTTTCGGCTTCACTAGGGGTGCTTCCTACTGGACGCAACCGAGGCTACTCCCTTCGTCGAGCCCTCTTCAACCGGAATCTCGTAACGCAACAACAGCCGGAAGAGCCAGACCTAGAACGAAATGAAGCTTCTACTAGTGGACAGACCGACAAAAAGACCATTGACACTGTTACATCTCAGAAGGTCGCTACGGAAAAGGAAGACTATTCCTTTCTACCACAACATTCAGACTTTCTGAAATCTACGACCTCCTTCCTGACAGCAAAGCCACGACAGACGTTTTCCATTACCCATACGATAAACAGCTGGCTCGCACTTCTACTCTCCCTATTCAAAACACACGTCCTGCGTATCAAGGACATCCCTCCGAGTGCTGACGGTCGATATGTTGACCTTGATGCCTATAACAGTAAACCCCGGATCGATGAGCGAACCGGCAAGCATTATGTATCAAATACAATTCGCTCGAGCAGATACAGCCTGTGGAGTTTTCTCCCTCGTCAGTTAATCGCGCAGTTCTCAAAACTCGCAAACTTTTATTTTCTATGTGTTTCCATTCTGCAAATGATACCCGGGTTGAGTACCACCGGTACTTTCACCACTTTAGCGCCGTTACTTATCTTTGTGGGGATCTCCATTAGCAAAGAAGGATACGATGACATCCGTCGATACAGGCTTGACAAGGAGGAGAATAATCGAATTACATCTGTACTGCGTCCGTCTCAGGAGGTGCAAGATGGATCGTATGAATCATTACCAATGACAGCTGGCGATATGAGCTCAAAGGCCACAGATCACCCGCAACCGTGGACGAATGTCAAATGGGTCGACATAAAAGTTGGTGATATCATAAAACTTGAACGCGACCAGGCCGTGCCAGCGGATATTGTCCTGCTACACGCCGATGATCCCAACGGGATAGCGTATATCGAAACCATGGCATTGGATGGCGAGACAAATCTCAAGAGCAAAAAGCCATGTCCTCTAGTTGCCAAAACGTTCAACTCAACTGATGATATCATCAATGACAGATCAACACACTTTGTTCTGGAGGATCCAAACATGGACCTCTACAAATTTGAGGGTAATGTCACCGTCGGAGGCGAAACCGCACCCTTGACGAACAACGAGGTAGTTTACCGCGGCAGCATCCTCCGAAATACCCATGAAGCAATCGGAATGGTAATATATACTGGAGAAGAGTGCAAAATTCGTATGAATGCTACCAAGAACCCTCGCATCAAGGCCCCAGCAATTCAGGGCGTTGTCAACCGAGTCGTGGTACTTATTGTCATTCTGGTTCTTTCTCTTGCTGGTGCATGCACAATTGCATATAAATACTGGTCACGCAGCACGGAACGCATGTCTTGGTATCTTGAGCAAGCAAATGTTTCTTTCGGCCCGATATTTTCCTCTTTTTTGATCATGCTGAACACAATGATTCCAATCTCGCTGTATGTGACTTTGGAAATCGTCAAAGTCGCCCAGATGTTCCTACTAAATGATGTCGACATGTATGACAAGACATCAAACACTCCAATGGAGGCCAGGACTTCGGCTATCAATGAGGAACTTGGGCAGATCAGGTATGTCTATCTTTTCTTATTTTACCTCGCTTCTTGTAGTATAGAGGTGCTAACTGGTGCAGTTATGTATTTTCGGACAAGACCGGCACCCTTACCGACAATTCGATGCGATTCCGTAGCATGAGCGTTGCCGGAACTGCCTGGCTTCATGACCCTGATCTGGTCCAAGAAGCTGCTAACGAGACTACAAAGCAAATACTCCTCCGCAGGCAAAGCAAGGGCAAGAAACCTACTCGTGCCAAGTCATTTGGTGATTCAAGCCAAGGTCGACCATCGGCAGTATCTAGACGGTCTGGGGTATCTCAGGCGACTGCCCGTGAATCTGGGACATGGAAACCCGGCAAAAAGTCCCGTTTTTACAGTGGCGGTAAGACTACAGAAATGCTGCAATACGTCAAGCAAAAGCCTCACACGCTATTTGCAGTGAGGGTGAGATTTTTCATCATCGCTATGGCCCTGTGCCACACTTGTCTACCGGAGTGCGGACAAGATGGCGAGTATACATTCCAAGCTGCATCGCCGGATGAGGTTGCCCTCGTCACTGCTGCAAAGGAATTGGGATATCTAGTCTGTGACAGACAACCAAACAGCATCACAATTCGGCGGTCGGAAGGCAATAACAAGAGTAATGACACGATCGAAGAGACATACGAAGTACTGGATATCATTGAATTCACCAGCTCACGGAAGCGCATGTCAGTCGTTGTGCGCCTACCAGATGGCAGGATTTGTGTCTTTACTAAGGGTGCAGATTCGACTATCACAAAACTCCTGAAGCAGTCTTCCCTGGCCATTGAAAAGATACATCAAATCGAGCATCGCTCCAATGAACGCAAGGCAATGGAAAGCATGGAAATCATCCGCCGGAACAGTGAGCATATGTCTCGTGGCGGCAAAAAGAGCCTTAGCATCCGTCGACCCAGCTTTGTAGGCCGGCGATCAAGCGTTTCTGGCAAACCGGGCCCGTCTATCCGCCAGAGTATCGATGTATGGCTACGTGACCGCGAGACGGACGGTGGCTTAGATATCAAGGATGACGAGCATGAGATGCAAAACTACAACCCGCGCCCGTCTGTCCAACTTGGCAATGGAGGAAGTCCCCGGGTTTCGTTCCAAACCGATGATGGAATGGTGGAGGAAGACCTGGTCGATGAATCCCTGGTGACTAATGAAGCACTAGTATTTGAACGCTGTTTCCAGCATATAAGCGATTTCGCGACGGAAGGGTTGCGTACCCTGCTGTATGCCTACCGATTTATTGGGGAATCGGAGTATAAGGAGTGGAAACAGGTGTACAAGGAAGCAACGGTCAGCCTTGTTAATCGGCAAGAGAAAATAGACGAGGCGGGTGCACAGCTTGAGACACAGCTAGAGTTAATCGGTGCCACAGCGATCGAAGACAAGCTTCAGAAGGGCGTTCCGGAGGCAATTGATAAATTGCGACGGGCAAATATCAAACTTTGGATGTTGACGGGAGATAAGCGCGAAACGGCAATTAATATCGGTCACTCGTGCCGACTGGTCAAGGATTACTCGGCAGTCTTCATCCTTGACTATGAGACAGGGACTGTGAAGCAGACGATGGAATCTACAATCTCAAGTCTCCGCGCCGGCGGGGTGGTGCATTCTGTCATTGTGGTGGATGGCCAAACGCTATCGGTGATTGAAGGGGATGATGGACTCCGGGAACTCTTCTTCGAGCTGGCGATCCGTGCAGACTCGGTGATATGCTGCCGGGCGAGCCCCAAGCAAAAAGCATTCCTTGTCCGGTCGATTCGCAAGCGGGTCAACGGTGCCATCACCCTTGCGATCGGTGATGGAGCGAACGACATTGCAATGATCCAGGAAGCACATGTTGGAATCGGCATAACAGGCAAGGAGGGACTGCAGGCAGCCAGAATATCTGATTACTCTATTGCGCAGTTCCGGTTCCTGCTGAAGCTGCTGCTCGTCCATGGACGATGGAACTACGTGCGGGTGTGCAAGTATACCCTAGGCACCTTCTGGAAGGAGACGCTGTTCTACCTAACTCAGACAATGTTCCAGCGTTCTAATGGGTTCACTGGTACCAGTTTGTATGAACCCTGGAGTCTGAGCATGTTCAATACGCTGTTTACTTCGTTGGCGGTGATATTCCTGGGCGTGTTTGAAAAGGATCTTGCCGCGAGCACGCTGTTAGCAGTGCCGGAGCTGTACACCAAGGGCCAGCGCAACGAAGGCTTCAACATCCCTGTCTATCTCGGCTGGGCGACGGTGGCGGCATGCGAGTCAATGATGGTGTACTTTGTGATGATTCGACTATTTGGCGATGCTATCTTCACGGTAGACAACGGCATCTACGCCATGGGCCTGCTTACTTATTCGGCCTGTGTGATCATCATCAATGTCAAGCTGCAATTTCTTGAAATCCACAACCACACAGTGTTAACGTTGATCCCACTGGTGGGATCGATAGGCATCTGGTGGCTCTGGAACATCATCTTGTCAAAACAGTACAAGTACCACGCCATCTATAATGTGCGGGATAACCTTATCCACTTCACTGGGAAAAATGCTCTCTGGTGGACAACATTGATTGTGATTGTGGCCATCGTAATCTTGTTCGAGATTACCATGGTCACAGTGCGCAAGACGCTGTGGCCTACGGACGTGGATCTGTTCCAGGGGTATGAGAAAGATGGAGATGTTAAGAGGCGTTTTGAAGAGGCGGCTGCTTCGGAGCTGGCGCAGGGATGGGAAAGGCCCGGAAAGTATGGGGGCAACGATGACGACGGTGCCAGCGAAGAGGATCACGAGCATGAGCTACAGCTCCAGGATCTCATTGAACGGAGGACCAAGGAGGAGCATCAACAGCCATAGCGGCATCATTTGCCATGAGGGAGCAGAAGAAGGGTGTCATGGGCCAAGGCTTGACGATCCTTTTGAACACGCAGGAGCTCTTCTCAAAACGGGCTTTTGGCTCGATATGCCGCGTCCAGGCAGGACATCAAGTGACCACGCAGGATTTTTCTCTTCTTTTCTTTTCTTTGGGTTGTTTCCCTTTCATTCAAAACAATTCGACACGCGATGTTTACAATGTCAATCTTGTTTCTTGGGTAGGGTACTGGGGGGGGCGGCGTCTTTTAGGGAATGTTTCGGCGTTGGGCGCTGCATTTTAAGGTTTGTCAGTGCTACCTTGGTTGATACCTGGTTAGATATAGCAGGGGCTGGATAGTATCCATCCATGACCCTTCAGCTGTGCTTCCGTTCGCCTGTCCTTGTACTCTTTTTTTTTTTTTTCGCCATTCTTCTACTTGTCCATGTTCCTGTTGTCCTTCTGATGTGTGCGATGTTCTTTTTGATGGCTCCATACGGAGTAGTATTTGGTGTATAATACCTTGCTTCCAGCACATACATAGACTTGAGTTATAGACACTAGCATGAGCCCACATATGTATTCCTTCATGAAGGAATAAATGTTCTTCCTCGATCCATGCCAGCGGCCTCTCCGCCACGTAAGTAGGTAGGTACTTGCTGTCAAGTACTTCGTACTCTTGTGCAGGTGAGAGTTGAGGCGAACTCGGCCTGCACAGGGATGTCGATGGACTGACTGATCAGGTGCGTTCGTGCAGAAACAAGCCGACACCCGCGCTGCAGGGCCGGAAATCCAGAACCTGACTCCGGATGACCTCCATAAGAGCGAGCTCGAAGCTATAATTAAATTAGATGTCTTATATGTACGTCCGGTTAAGCAGCGGCGGATCTCTGGCGCTAGCACCAGAAGGCTGCTCCCCCTTGCACTAGCCCAGGTACGAGACCTTGGCTAGCTGGCTGATCGGGGTAACTACTAGGTAAGCATGTTAGATAGAGAGGAGTCGAGCTGGAGACGAGATGAGATCGGATGAGATCACGATGACCTCGCCTACAGCTTAGCTTTCGAGGCTTTCCGCCCGCGCATTTTTTATTTTTTATTTTTTTTCTTTGTGCCCTAAAAAGTATAAGCAGTAGTTGTGGAGGAAGAAGGAGTAGGTTAAAACCCCCTTCGGTGGTATCAAGTAGCTATCCGGTATCAGGTATCAGGTATCAGGTATCAACCAAGCACTGGGTGGTGTGGTTCCGTAGACGAAGCGCCCCCGTACCAAGCGTCTAAACCAGCAGGTCAAACGTCCCCGACCTGAACTCGACGCAACACACAGCGACGGGGCTGCGGCTGCTCTTGTCCTTTGAGTGTCTGTTGGCTCTGGCATGGTGGGGGACGGAGAGGGGGGGGGGGGGATACCTGGTGCCTGGTGCCTGGTGCCTGGTGCCTGGCCGACGATGACTGGCTGGAGACAACACTGGCGATGGTGCCTGGGATACGCCTTTATGCAGTGTCACTGGGGACATCCTGGCGCCGCTGGAGGAAGAGGACAAGGGCGACGGGTCAGGAGCAGAGTCTGAAACAGACCCCTCCCCATGCCTGGCATTTCCCGAGCAGGCCAACTCTGGTCGAGTCGCTCGTCTGGCTGCCTCTTGCCTCTGGTCCTCTTGTTTCTCGTCTGTTTGGTGTCCCGGCGCCCGTCCTCTGCTGGCCTGACGGGGTGACCGGGTCTGCTCTCTGCTCTCTGCTGTGCCCTCTGTCTAGGGGGGGTTCCAGAGGCAGCCACCCCATCCTCGAGCCGAGTCCTGCGGTGGCCCTCTCGACCACATCCCCGTCTGTTGTCTTCGCTGTCTTCACTGTCTTCGCTGTTGTCTTCTCTCTGCCGTCTTGCTCTCTTGTCCTCGTCGTCGTCTACATCGTCGTCTACATCGTCCTCCTCGTCCTTCTCTTCTTCCTTTTCTCCCTTCCTGCCTCCCCTGCTTACTCATCTTCTCACGTGATGTCTACTTAGCGCTACCTCGCCCGCCCTACAAACTGCTATGCGAGCCGAGGTATCTTTTTGTCGCGCCGGCTGAAACGCTCCAACCTTTTTTTCGCTTCTGCTGCCTTTTTCCGCCGACGCTCACCAAAAACGCCTCCTGCGACTCTCGACCTCGACTTCGACTTCGACGCTTCTCTTCTTCTTCGTCTTCTTCTTCTTCTTCTCGTTGTTCTTCTTCTTCTTGTTGTTGTTGTTGTTCTTCTTCACGCCGTCCGCTCCTTTACACGGCTTGTCTTTCGTTTTCTTCTTCTGCCTGCCTGCCCGTCCGGTCCCCAGAGGCTCGACGGTCGCCCACGGCTCAACCACCGCTCCTTTTCAGCCTGCTGCTGCCTTGGTCCAGCACTTTTGCTCGCTCTCTTTTCTCTTCACCACTTCTTTCGCTTCTTTCTTTCCTTCTTGACTCTTCTTCGACCAGATCAACCAGCTTGAGCTACATTCATTCTCTGCCTTTCCCTTGCCGCCGTCGTCCTGCTCGCCCTGTCGTCTCGACTCGAAGCCGTCTGAGACACCAAAAAAGTCCATCCGCCATAACGCCCTTCCTCCAGCCAATCCACAACCACCACAAGCACAGAAATATACACCCGCTCCTTTTACATACACCACGCTCCTTACACCTCTCGTCGATGTCTGGATACTTCACCTAGAGAAGAGGTCTACACTCTACTGCGCGCGCCAGCCGGTACTCTTGGTGCTGCTTTTCGCTCATTATTTTTTTTTTTTTCCCTTTATTTATTTACCTCGAACTTGACGTTTCGGGTTTTTCTACGACTTTCACGATCATCGCTTCAACCATCACCAACTGCCTGTCGACTGGCTCGCGACGATCCTTCGCATAAGAGACGAAAGACGTCCTTGCTTGCTTCTACTTCTCATACCCGGCCTTTTTTTATCTGACTCCGGTTCTTTTTCCTTTTCATCCCTATCCGCCGAGTGACGCATGATTTGACGGCATGGAAACATCTTCCACTGCTACTGCTACTGCTGCTGCTACTACTACTACTCCCAGTAGCATATCAATCATGTCCGATGCTCCCCTTGCTACGCCTGCTGGCGTCTCTACTCCCACAGATACCATGTCGTTAGCCACGCCTCCTCCAACAGCCACCTCCCAGGCGTCTTCTACCACAACCACCACATCGTCCGCTACAGCCGCCACATCCACAAGCACGGCCGCTACTTCAGCCTCTATGGCCAGTGCGAACGCCACTTCAAGTGATAGTCCTGCTGCTCGCCCCGCCTCCCGCCGTCCTCCTCGCAAGAGCACCTTGACTCAGCAGCAAAAGAACCACAAGCGCCAGCGCGCCACCCAGGACCAACTCGTCACCCTCGAGATGGAATTCAAGAAGAATCCCACTCCCACCGCCGCCGTCAGAGAGCAGATCGCGGAAGATATCAACATGACCGAGCGTTCGGTGCAGATCTGGTTCCAGAACAGGTACGCTAAACTTAATATCGCTTCTATTGGCTCAGTGTCTTCAGGCACCAAAGTATACTAAAATTTTTTATCGTTGCTTGTCTATAGGCGCGCTAAGATCAAAATGATTGCTAAACGCGGTATCGAGACCGGAGAAGACTGTGATGCCGTCCCGGAGTCGATGCGAAGATACCTTGCACTCCAGCTAGATCCTGCCGGTTCGAATGCGCGAAACATGCTAGGCCGTGCGGGGGCCTATCCTTCGAACGAGCCCATGATGCAATCCGCCACCTCGTCCAAAGTTGGTACGTAAATTTACTCGGCGTCTTTTTTTTTTTTTTTTAACCACCTTTCAACTAACAAAATTGCAGTGATCCAGCATTTTGCATGCCGCTCTCTTCGCATTGGCACCTGGCGGCGTGTTGGCCAAAACACAATGGACCTGGTCATCTTCTACTCCCCAGACCAGGCATGCATGACTTACTACATAAACAACGACTCCGCTGGTTACAAGATCGAGTACCCCTTTTCAAGCATTAAGAATATCATCCTCGAGCCCGGTGACCCTGTTCCGCCAATGGACGGCGCCATTCCCCGATCAGGCGGCTTAGTCATCGAACTAAACCGTCCGCCAAACTTCTATATGGATTCTTCCAACTCGGGCGGATTCTACCAGTGCGGCGATTTCACGGAGGAACAGCAGGCCACCAAGTCGCTGATCCATCATCTTGGAGGCCATCCCAAGGTCTTGAGTGTCCAGCTAGCCAAGCTTGTCTCACTCGAAACCTTCCAGAACCGCCATGTTCCAGCGTACCCCTTCACGCCAAACACCCCCTTTATTGATGGCTCTCCACAGTTTGTGCATCTCCATCGCCCTGCCTCGCAGCCTAACCACCTCTCGCGAGCCCAGAACCGGCTCTCTGTGGACAACCATTTGTCTGTAGGCCTACACCCCAACAGAGGTCACAAACGCCAGCGCAGCAGATCCGTTCCTGGGCCTGTCGACTTCGCTGCCCTGCATGCCATGCCGGCTTTCCACTTCCAGTCCGCCAATCCTTTCCAGCCAAGCACTCCACAGCACCAGGAGCATCAGCATCCGGACATCTTCGCTCCTGTTCCCCTTGCACACTCACAATTTCAACTCCCCCTGAACATGAGTGAACCTGATCTCCACATAGATACATCTGCAACCCAGCCACCGCCATCATTCAGCATGTATCCTGCCTCTGCAACCTCTGCGGCTGCCACGTCTACTCCCGTAACGGACTTTGTATCAACCCCGCTCTTTAGCAGCGCACCAGACCAGCCTCAATCCCTGGGAACACCGTTCAGCTTACCTTTCCTCTCCCCTTCACCAGCAGTTGACATCGACATCGACTCTGACCCCCACAGCATGGCCCACCAGCATCAAGCACAAGCAGCTTCTTCTAACGGCCACTCACCTCCCTTAACAGCTACCCAACGCTCCTCTCCAACCAACATGTTCGCCTCAACCGTCACAACCACTGGTGTCGATGACGGAATCATCCTCAGCGATCTATATGCTAAGCAGAATCTCGGATGTAGCAGCTCCATTGCCTCTCCAGGCATGGAAATGGAGGAGTCATTTGCAATGACTTTCCAGGGTATGAGAGGACATGGTCACGGTATGATGGGTATGGGATTTGACAGCGGTACGGTCGATCCAAGCACCCTTGCTGCTGAATCTTGAGAGAAGCCAAGGAGCGCTCTACTCGGTGTACAGGCCTAGAGCAGGATGTGCGCATAGGTTTTTATGCAATGGGTAAAACCGTTTGGTTTAAACCGATCCCTCCTCTCCAGGCAGTCTTGATTCCCCTACCCTCTTTGGGTATTCACTTACCTACTTCTTGGTTGAGTTGGTTTTGTTCATTTTATATTCCTATCCAACTCAGTTCAGCCATTTACTTGTTCTATATTTGGCATTATCTGCCATATTTTTTCTCGACTTATATTCACTTCTTGAGACTACGGCCGGGCCTGTAGATGACCCCGTTTTATCTCAGCTTATTTATTCCTTACGTTGCGGTGCAGTCACCTATTTGCAGTGCAATCTTTTTTCGAATTCCCTTCTTAAACCCCTTTTTACTTTTTTTTTTCTTCCTTTTCTTTTCTACTTCCTTTCTTGTGTGTTTTACTCCTTATTGACTTTTATGAGCCCCCCTGCGCCTTTCCGCCTACAACCCGTTATATATAACCTCCTTCCACGGCAACATTCTCCGCTTCCTTTTTTCACCTTGCCCTTCTCCCCTTTCTTCCTTTCCCTTCTTTGCATTTTTCTTTCTATGGGAATTAATGATGCCCAATCGATGTTGTCTCTTATTTATTTCACCCAACTACCCTTACCTTCTTAACTTTTGCTTTCTAATTACCATGAGCACGGGCAAGGAACCGTTTGCCAATTGGTACTGGGAGGAAGCCAGAATGAACAAAAACAAAGAAAAAAGCTATCTCGTTTACTCCCCTTGCGCCTATCGTTACCATCTTTGGAGCTTGTTACGTACCCGTCTCATGACCGATCCCGACTTCACTTAGCCCTTGCTTTGTATCTATGCGTGTGCTCAAGATGCCATGGATATACTTAGCTAGGAACACCTACACCGCTTTTCCTTGTATTTCTCGGACTCTCTCAGAAGTGTTTTCAATGTGATATTATAGCTTCTTATTATTACATTATCCATCCCATTACCATCTGTCTTAACGGTCCAATAATCCCCACAAAACAAAAAACCCCCCGTAAAACGCCAGGCCCCAGACCATCAAGGCCCTGCTACCTCTTCTATTCAATTATTCAGAATTAAATCACCACACACCCCTAAAGATGTTGCCATGACTTCGGCAGAGTAGCTACGACTCCGCTCCGCTGCAGCTTTCTCACCAGATACCTCTCCACGCCCGCCAGGGTACCACGGTAGTTCTTCCCCTCTCTCCCCTTCATATCCTGCGTCACCCCATCTCTCGTCCAAACGCTCCATGACCCCATCAATGAAGCCATAAGGACGTCCGTTCCCACCCGGTCACCAACCACAGCAATCTCATCCGCCCTATCCACCACCCCATTCCCCTTCAGGTACTCCAAAACCGCCGCATACGATAACGGCTTCTTCACCGCCGACGCCCCAGCAGGAGACCTAAACACCTTGATATTCAACTTTCTCAAATACTCTTCTAACTTCCGCGCATCCTCCTCATACCGCTTACTCCGAGGATTAGAGCCAGCGGTGTTGGAAACGATCAGGATACCGTCCGGGTTAGTATGCATATTGAAAGGCGAGGACTCGCTGGTCCGTAATTGTTTCAGTTTCTCATAGTATTCTGTCGGGAAAGTGGTCTTATGAGGTGGTGTTAAAGTGTTATCTTTGTCAATCACCAGGGCCCGAATGGTCGGCGGCCTGGCCCCGGCTGCCTCTGGGGCAACGGAGTCAATTAAATGATAGGATAGATCCTCCGGTAGCTGCAAAAAGGTCGGAATGGTGAGATGCGGTATCAGAAGCGACGGATTGCGCATGAGTGTTGACACTGTCAGGCTGAAACCGGCGAAGTTGGTGTTGAACAGTGGCATTGTTCTTCCGCTGTAGTTCTAACTTGCAATCTAGTTCTTGTAATGTCTTGTCGACGTGAATTGAAAGAGACGGTATCAAATGGGTATTGGATCTTGCTGCCGTAATTGTCGCCCTCCAGCTGGTGGTTGTTATGGCTGCTTTCTCCGTAATAATGAGAGCTTGTGAAGTCATAACTTCCCATTGTGGCCCGTGCGTGGAGCTCAAACCAAGCAAACTTTCTCTTTTTTCCTTTCGATATCAAAATCACCAAAAAGACCAGCCAGGAAGACTGGGTGACCGAGGAAAAAACCACCTTTGACGCGCGCGCTCTTTGGCCCGGATATACGATCCCGCTTGACGTTACTGCCATTGCTCGATTGAATTTTATACTCCGCGGGATTTACTTTTCTCTTCCTTTTTTACTCACGCCTTCGTAACATCAACCACCATGGGCAAATTGACCAGTACCATCGGCATTCCTATCAAGCTTCTTAATGAAGCACAGGTCGGTTTTCCCTCCAAGAGGGCGCGATAAGGGCTTTTTTGCGATCAGCCCTGTCTTTTATATCTGCGCTTACTTGCCAGTGGGGGTTCAAATGGCTAACAATCGTCTAATTGCAGGGTCACGTTGTCACCCTCGAGATCACATCCGGCCATGTCTACAGAGGGAAACTTCTTGAAGGTGCGCGCAGACCTTTTTTTTTAACGCGACTCGGCCTATATCCTCCTTATATTATAGATATTCACCCAATACTGCTCGAATTTCTCGCTGACAGTCTTGCGATAGCCGAGGACAATATGAACGTACAGCTCAAGGATATCACCGTTACGGCGCGAGATGGTCGTGTATCGCATCTAGACCAGGTGTATATCCGCGGAAGCCATGTCAAATTCTTTATTGTACCCGATATGTTAAGGTATGCGCGTTATTGACTACTCCACGCGAGTTCTCTCGACTCTCATTATAACTAACCTATCTTTGCCTCTCCACAGAAATGCTCCAATGTTCCGATCCAGAGGCCAGCGAGGACGAGGTGTTGGTTTGGCTAGAGGCAGGGCAACTGTCAACAGAGCAAGAGGGCAGCGAAGAGGTTAAGGATCCAACGATAGAAATGAAGTTCCTGGGCTGGCGTTTTATTACATTCGATCATTCTCTTTCCTGTTTGTTTGCGAACACTATTGCTGAACAAAATATACTTGATGTAACGGCTCTTTTATTCTTATCTAGTCATGTAGGTCTGTCAGGCTGGGCAATTTCCAGCCACGTCAAGGAAACAAATAGAGGTTTTAATCAGGAAGTTCAGAATAGCATATATATTCATCTGATAGCCCTAGTATCAATGTCATGACAAAAAGTCTATTATGCGGCTGTTTTTACGCCGGACTGGCCTGTTTCATCATATCAAGTCGTGAGGTTTTGAATATATCCATATATATATGCTTTCTCAATCGCAAAATCAACAACTCCAGGCATATATAAGATACCGATACAATCCACTATGTCTTTGCCCCTGGAATGGCCAGAGGAGGAGGCAAGGAGCAAGGTCAAGCACATTTTGAACCCTCGCCGGCTCCTGATTCTTGCTCCAAGTACGGAATCTCACGCTGTTATCCCACCATTTCTCACTCGCTTGACAGGCCAGCTCCCTGTCCTCCCCTCACGGCAATCAGACACGAAACAAGCCGGTAAGCAGCCTCATACTGACAACTACCCGGTTTGAAGCCCGAGAATCCATTCTAAACTATATACTAGACAGTGATGCGACAACCGACATCTCAGACGTCGCATCTACATCTACTACCCCACCTCCGGCATCATTTGCAGGATACACCGCGCACACACCGTTACAACTAAATACAAAATATTATAGCGCGGAAATACCACTATGGGTCGACGAAGTTCCATCACTTTCTTTAATACCTTCACCAGATCTTGCCTTGCCATCCGCGGAGGAGGACGATGCGGGCTCCCCGGAAGCTTGGAGAAAGGAATTCGCCAGCGAAGAAGCGCGAGAGGTCAGGGATGCTATAGGCGCAATAATACTGTGTATGCAGAGACCGAAACCTCCTGACCCAGCTTTAGTAAAGGATAACGTGCTGGACGGGAATGAAAACGCCAGTGGTGTTGTTTTCCAACGCGCGGTAGGCAGGATTAAAGACCTTGCCCGTGCAGTCATAGAAGTCAAAGCGCAGGCTGAGGAAGAGAGAGGCGAAATAGGCGATATTCCCGGGTTGATTGTGTTAGTGGGGGACGAATGTGAAAATGGATCCCTTGCTGCAGGCAATGCTTCATCAGAGTATGGGGCATTATGGTGGGACGAACAGTTGGGTGACCTAGGAGCTGGCTCTGGACTTGAAGTAGTCTTTTGGGATCATAAAGCAGCTAGCCCGGAACCTTCAGCGAGAAATGAATTTGGAGGTAACATCTCAATTCTCTTAGGTATTCAACTACGACTAGCTGACTTTGCCATCTAGAACTCATGGGCATTGCAAGGGTGCAGGAAGTGTTAGAAGCCCATCAATGGTCATCTTCAACCTCAGACGAAGTTGAGCAAGATTTGGAGCCTCTTAGCTTACGTGGAGATCAGGAAACTACTGGAGGGTTTACACTAGAAGCTAATGAGCTCGAGAGGGAGATGGCTGGCCTTCGGCTTGCAATTAACAGCAATATGGATAATGACGACATTGGCGAAGAGTTTAAGGAGATGGGGGATGACAGCCTTCAAGTCGAACAACTCGAAGGACTAATATTGAGAGTCCAGGCCATAAAGGAGATGGGAGCAGATTTACCTGACCAAGAAAGGAAGAGGTTTGCTGCAAAGGCCATCAAGGACCTAATGAAGGATATATGATATTACTATTAATTATATTAAGGTAATTCCATTTTGTAGAAATCTCGTCTATGTGGCTTGTTTTTTAAAGCCACTGCCATGCTAAAGCCAATTCTCAGTTGGCTTTCTTTTTGCCTTCAGCTTTCATAACTTTCCTCCTCTGCGCCATCATATGGGTAAACAATATATAAGACCCTAGATTATCAAATTAGCAAGACATTAGAGGTTCAGATGTCAAGGGGTTATGAACAAATTAGCCATACCGGGAATATAAACGAGTAGAATGGCAATGAGTGCAAAGCGGAAGATGGAGAGGAGACCGCTGGCATTAACCACAGTAAGATAAATCAGGAAGCATTCACTTGATATTCCAACAGGGTATAAGATAAAAAAGGTGTTATATCTGAAATGAAAATTATTAATGCTGCCGTCATGGAGGAAATAGGGTTAGGACAATGCGAACCTCAACCATAGTATAGCTTTAGGAATACCCTGTCCCAGTATCTGGAAGACAAAAAAGCCATATCTAATACATTCCGTAACACCCCAAGCAAACAGACATCCGATAAACCCCCAATCACTTAGTTGGGCAGATCTCATCCCATGCCCGAGAAGAAAATATTTATTCGCACCCGTACCGTCAAATTCGAAGATGGGTAGAGTGGGACTGAATGGTGAAAAGATATACATGACTCCCCAGACCAACAATAGCCTGCTAGCTACCTGCATGGTGGTAGTCACAGCCGAAGCTCGAACAAGTCCGAACAAGGAATGAAGGATCTCCAGAGCAGCAAGAGATTGAGTCGTCCGAAGCAGGGGAAAGAGATAAACAAAAAGCCCAGCAACTCCTTCGCCTTCGCTGCTATAACTGCCATGGCTGTCACTGTATATCTGGAAGAGAGAAAATAGTAGACGAAAAGTGAGGGTACTCCAGAGTCCCAGGGATACTAAGTTGTACAGGAATAAGTAGGCTTGCGTGGGAGATGAAGCTGGCGTTGAAGATCTAGAGGATGCCATCTTGAAGTTTCTCCTTGCCTCGCTTTGTGCAATGGCTGTGGTATAAACTGGTGAATATTCAAAGCAAACGATGATATATTGAAGTTGTCTAAATTCCCTTTTAAGGAAAGTTTTCTTAAACTCTATAGCTTCACGCCCGTTGCTTACATAACTAACTAACAAAGCACTGGGCAATTAATGCATCACGTGAAATATAATTCCCCAAGTACTCCGTGGCGGGTTTGACTGCTATAAAGGTATTCATATGTTAAAAACGGTATATAATTTTCTAGGAGGAACAGTTTCTATTGAAGTGTTGGCAAAGATAAGATATCGTAAAAGGCAGAAGCAGGTAAACAGGATCAACTACTTTTTTCCTTTTCCCTTTTTCTTCCTTGCGCCTCCCATGCTCCCAATTACCTGGCTAGTGCTTTTCACAGGTGTAGGCGAGCTATGGCCATCATCTGCCTTCTCATTGACCACACCACCCTGTGTTCGATCAGCTGCCCTTTGTTTGCCCTTTTTCCCTTTAGGCCGATAGCTTGATCTGTCTCTCAGGGGAAGCCATCTCTCGGGGTCAACTTTCTCGTTAGGATCCATATTCTTGGGTTTTCGAATTCTTTTATTTTTCTTCAACGCATCCGATGAACGCCGTTTCTGGCCTTTTTTTAATGCAGAGGTAGCTGTGCTCGCAGGTAGTTGAACGCCAGCGGCTTCCAGATGGGACACATCTACACCAGCAATCAACTCTTGAACTGGCAAAAGAGATTTAAGGGAGGACTCAACGACGGCCGGTGAGGAAATAGCGTGAGAGGCTACAAAGCCTGCAGTTGCGATACGATCACTGCCATCTCTTGAGTGGAGATGGGCAAATATTTCAGTAGCAGTAGATATATCTGCCGAGTCATGAGAGTTGAAGAGAGATATTGCAGCTGCGCGGAGTAGTGATATTGGTTGGCTAGAAGGATCCTTCCCCTGCCAATACTTGGCAGCCTTCGATAGTTCAGAATTTATGTGATGCTTGCGACCCTGACTTCTGTACAGAGTGACAAGGATGTTGACCAACCCAGGGCTAAACCGAACCATCATATCGGAGTCATCGCCGGTTTCTTCCAGTTTCATAGAGAAATTCTCTAACGTGGATATTGCGGCATTGATGTTTCCATCTGCCACCTGTAGTTGAGCAAGAACTAAGGTGAGGCCGAGATCACGAGGACGCATAGCAGAAAGAGATGATATTTTCTTGATCGCATTTCTGCTATCTGCCCCGTGAGTGTGAGCAGTAGCATCGAATGCGGCGAGCGAATTTACATCTGATGAAAGGGTAGCAGAAGAGTGTTGCGAAAGAGTTTTAGAGATCGACCTCGAAACTTCATCAAACTTCTGGACCATAAGATTGATGACAAGAGCATTTCTGCTTAAGATGTCATTCTGATAGGAGAAGAATTTATCATTGCCAGCGGGCCTTGGGGTTCGGCTAAAGTTCTTGTGTTTGATGTAGGGGTTTATCTTTTGCTCGGTTGTAAGAATAGCGAGGTTTTCGGCAATGAGCTTAGTGGAAAGATCGGTAATCCTGTGTATACATGTCAGCTATATTAATCTGATAGAAGTTAGAAGCGAGGGGCGGAATGTACATACTCGGCAAAATCTATGCCTCTAATAAGCGCTTCTCCTTCTTCAATTTTCCCTTGCTGCAAATAGACATGTATCTCTTGGATTTTGATGGGCAACAATTCTACCTTCTTATCCTCGAGAGAGAGTTCATCAGACGCTTCGCATAATTCTATTCTTTGATGTTAGAACGAACTTGTAAACAGCAACTGGTGGTGGTAGTCTATTCGTACCTTTTGATATTTTCAAAAGTTCCAGAGCTCTCTCATAATAACCCCTGGCTATTTGTTCACATGCCATGTTATACGCAGCTTCAAAAACATCTAAAGCATCTCGCTTTGATACCAGGTCCTTTGAAAGAGTACTTTGGCCTGCCCAAAGACTTTGTGCCTCAGCTGCCGTTATGTTTATTTGCAAATCAGTGAGTTCACCCGTGGAAGCTCTCACATCACTGATCAAATCCTGGTAGATCTTGAGAGTTCGATCAAAGTCTTCAGCTCTATAGGACTATACAAGTTTAACAAATTAGCAAGTGTTCTAAAGAAAATCAATACAAAGGAGCAAAGGAGCATATTTATTTCAGGTCATATGCCTTGACTAGTTGATAGGACACGAACCGCTTGTGCTTCAACATGCTTTGCGCCTCTTTGAGAACCAACGGATGCCGCAAATGATATTGCCTCATCCAATCTCCCAATTTTATATAGGGCATAAGACCATTCAAGCGGCAATCGTTTCTTCAACACATCACCTCCTTCTTCAATTACACGAATTGCATCCTCAAATCTGTCTAATTTTATAAGCGCAATGGTTTTGATATGCTGTGCATCCAAATCCGTTCGGGACTTTTTTAGGATCGAGTTGCAGGCTTTGATAAGCTCCTCATGGTCATTTATAGAAGACCTTTGCATAAGAGCGCTAAGGCTCTGCAAAGTTGTTCCCATGGAAGCGGACGTTGGCGATAGCGATTTATCAGCGCCAATAGCGGGGGATCAGTGAGAGCGGGCAAAAACCTGCGATGCGTTCGATTTCGGCGTTGATCAGTTGCCGGTAGAGCTTGGGAAGTAAATGGCAGTGGCCCAGCTCCCACAATTCGAAGTATCACAGCTATTCTGTCATTCACTTGTTCTATCATCCATTCTTCAATCTGCCCGTCATTAACATGATGTCAGGTTACATCACGTGAGTATGAAAGCCCTGTACCCTACTAAGCATGTGTAAGCATAATTATGTAATAATTTGTATATTTGCGCTAGTTCTAAAACGGAGAATCTGATATAAAACTCTAATCTAACTTCGCGACTTCGTCGCTTTGCAAAAGAAACCAACCACTTCACCTCTCGATCGAGCGACAAACGCAAGCTTTGCAGCCAGCACGGCTGGTTTTTACACCATATCTTATGGCCCGGGATACCAAACGCACTGGGCATGCAAGTGGCAGGAGTGACCTCTGCCGCCAAGGCCCCTGCGCCCCTTAAGCCCTCGGCTTTACAAAGCATCGCGATCTATTTATTGGAAACGCGTCGCTCATAGACTAGATATACTGGCAGATGTGGAGCGGTATGTGCTCGGATCGCTGTGGCTATTTCGATATCCTCTGAAAGTCCAGAATCCATGATTCTCTTCTCAGCACATGTTACGAAATATCCGCAGTTAAATACGGAGAACTAGCACATCTGGGTCGCTGGTCGTCGAATGAGGGTCCTCTGTATCAGGGATTCGAATGCCCAGATTAGGAGGCTTACAGAGACGCCACCGAACCATGGCTGATCCGATTGTAGATCCCACCACTCATCGCAATTACCAAATCTCTTTCTTATATACGGATGCATCGGTGCGGATGGACTCGTGATCGAGAGACTTTAGGGGCTGGTAGGCCCGCGAACCAGGCAAACACATTAAAAATATACGATCGACGCGAGACGACTTATTAGCCACTGACCCTACCTTACCAACTTAACGGAAAGTTTGGTGAGACAATAAAATGACTGATTTCCAACGTAATTCTACTTAACTTTGGCCTGAACTGTACGGAGCACTCCTTAGGTTTTTCTCTATTGGGGATATGGTATCGGGTGAACATTTTCACCTGAGTATTGGGGAACCGAACCCCTGCATCAAGTTCCATGCAAACTGCATAGATCGGCTAACGGCCGATGTTGAGCTGTCAAGGCTGACGTTCATGTTTACAAGCGATCCTCAATGTGTGGCGAGCGGTGGCTAGGATTCAGACGCCTCTAATTACTCCGCCCGTCAATTTGCTAGAATACAAGGCAATTCGAAGCACAGTTTAAGCCACATGTGTGCGAATTTAATCTTTTCTCCAGAGTACATGATACCAGAAAATAAAGTCGGTTAGAACCATATGAGAGGTTCGGAATACTGTCTGAAGTTTTCACCGAAATACTGTTCGCGTTATTGTACACTCATAGGAAGGGACACTGCCAGGGAATGGGCAACCTCGGTATGCATTAGAGATTACATGGGCTAAGACGGGTTAAGAAAAGCGTTGAGTCTGAAGGAGAAAAAAAGAAAAACAATAAGGAAAGTAATTAAGGAAGGCTTGAGTGTTTTTCGGATGGGGTCCGCAAATAATCCGAGTCATCGTCACTGTGACGGGGGCTGCTATTCCTCCGGCTACTGCTGCTGTCGCTTTCCGAGTTATTGCGGGCTTTAACCTGGCTACGCAAAGATGCCACCTGCCTCCTCCGGGCATTTATGAACCAGTTGCTGATCTGAAAATAGGAATATGTCAGTCCGTGTTGAAGGGTGCCGTGTCAATAGAATATAGATGAAGGCTTACCTGACTAATAGTCAATCCGGTCCGGCTCATAAATATTTGTTTATCCTCTTCAGTTGGGTATGGATGATCAAGATGCTCCCATAGCCAAGCTCGGAGCATGTCAGTGACCGGCTTTGGTAGGTTTCCTCTTCGCTTTTTCTCCCTCATATCTCCAAGCTCACATTCTGACAAGCAATAGCCTGACGCTGGTCTGAAATGGCCAAATGCTGATTGAGAATAAGTCCTGTCGCAAGCGTGAGGCTGCTCATATGATGAGGGATACGACAGTTGATCACGACAATCACAGGAAGAGACCATGTTGACTGGAGAGGATGAATGTGAAAAATTCGACGAATCGAAAGAAAATTGACTTCTGGGAGATGATATCGAGTAGTTTGATAATTCTCCCTCATTTCTTCCTCGACTGTTCAAGGGTGCGTATATGGCGTTGCTGTTGGCGTTCGGCGAAACCTTAACGAAATATTCTCTTGATGGGGATGGAATAGGTGGGGGTAACGATCGGTTGATCTCGTTAAGGGTAAGCTTAGGGCGCGAATGCGAGTGCGAAGCAGACATCGAGGATTTTGATTCCACTACATGGGGTTGCTGGAGATTTGACGACTTGGCGCTGTTTCCCATGAACCTGTCTGGCCGCAAGGATACATCATCAAACCGGCTATCTCTGGCAAACAGTCTGGATGGAAGCCTATCAGCGCGCTGGGTGGGTGGTGGCATGGTATCCTGGAGCGAACCACGCCTCCAGTTCTGATTAGACTGAGTATAAAACACTCCACCCTCTATTTCATCATGAAGATGATCGGGCAGAAGCTAAACAGTGTTAGAAAACAATGCTTCACACATGGGTATGGGATCCAATCTCATAAATCTTACCTCTCTAAAAGAGGGGAGCTTCTCCGAGTGGTGATCGGATAGTACCGTTGAGTAGGCGACTGTCATGCTTCCTGATTACTTCCCAGTTCTACAAAGAGACTTAAAAGTTGGGTGTTGGGAGTGTGGTATCGTAGGAAGCCGGCTTTCAAGCTATACGTTCACAGCACCGGTATCGTTCGATAAGGGTAGAAGGACAGTGCGGTTATGGGATATGGCAATATATATATATATCTTTCGTACTGCCCGAAGACGTTGGGCCGGGTTCAAGCCAGTAAACCGGTTCAGTGATTAAGCGTGAGTTAGGTATCAAACGCCGATAAAGTTCGAGCTTCAGTTCAGGCTGACAAGAGAGGTGTATGGTATATAGGCTGATGTAGGCCAAACTGAGAAAACGTCACTGAAGATGGTATTCCGTTTGCAAAGGATGCTTCTAGCTGATATTGGGGGCAGAGACAGGCGAGTATTATATGCATCAAAAGGCACACCCGCGTCTGATATCGAACACCGTCCAGCGGCCACCACCGTCTTGAACCCATGGCGATCAGTTTCTGTGGATCCAAGAAATCCCACCCACCTTCACAGCGTAAAATGGTAAGAAAAAGAAGAATGACAGGGGCAAGACGCTTGAAAGGGCCTATCCTGATCTGGTCCAATTGTGGAGGGCTTGGAGGAGGGTATGGCAAAAAAGCAAATTCTGGTCGGACAGAAAAGCTCCCCATAAGACTGATTGCCTGGCCTGAAGAAAAAAAGCAAGTGTGTCCTGCTGCTTGTTCCCAGACTCAGCATCTTTCGAGCGCCCACTTGCTTGTTCAATGATACGATGCTCGGCCCTTTCACTAGGGGCCAATAGCTAGAGGTCAGGGGTTCAAGCTAACGAGGTCGTTGCTCTGCCGTCAAATATCATGCTCTGCCGCAGGGCTTAACTTAACGATCCAGCCAGCCAGAAAGTAGCGTCAGACCCCCCAAAATACTCTCTGACATGTCCCAAAGAGCACTGACAATGGAGGCTGGTGGATCCTAAAAGCTGCATCTCGAGCTTTATGGAGTGAGATCTCCGAGGGTGAGGCGTTTTAGCATTCCCAGATGCCCGCCACAGATTGGGTTGCCTCAGAAGCAGGATGAATTAACGCCCATTCTTAGGCATAACGCCAAATCCTAGTATCTCGAGTTGGTCTGATGGAATACTGCATGGCATTATCTCATCTTGAGACGTGATTGTGGTTCTCCCTTTTCTTTTTATCCTGACTATTTTTTTCTTCTGCTCGGTGACAGGCTTGAGGGCTTCGCGGAGCCTAGAGGGAGCAGAGGAGAAGATAGAAGAAGAAAAGAGCCATATTACTCCTTCTCCATGGCCCTCCGTATCCACATGGCAAAGAAACTACATTTGCATCCACCAGACGCGGGGTGGAAGATAGCAATAAACATACCTTGGGACATGTCAATATAGGTACGGGAGTCAAAGTACTTGCGTTATGGTTGACGGTTGCTAATCGTCCTGAAATCCAAAGACCGAGCGACCGATTATCGTCAGGAACAGTTGACCAAGTACAGATTTGTGGAGTGTCGACTCTGTGATTGCAAGGCAAGAAACCTTGATCTGGCATCGAATCTTCGTTTACTCTCAAGCCACTATCGACTTGCAAATTCAGGTTTTTGCCTTGATAAAATTGCAATGGGAGTAAAAAAAAAAAAAAAAAAAAAAGGAAGGAAAGGAAAGGAGCAAAAAAGAAAGGAAAACGATATCCATGCGTTCGGGCTTTGAGGCACTCAGAAGGCTATTCTGCAAATCGATCCTTACGAGGAAGAGAGATGAGATGCCAGGTTGAAGGACATGACAAGCGCGAACCGAAAAATCATTCACGCAAATGCCAAAGGCTTTCCAATAATCCGGTCTCCTCGTACCGTGTACGGAGCATCTCTGCGCTAAGCAGCCGGTTCCTTGGACCCCGAGCTCTGTGGTGGCCTTTTTAAGGTTGAAAAACGTATATCAACTGGCTCTACCAAATATCTGCTGTAACACAACATCCGAGAAGAAACGATGGTCGAACTTGTTGCAGTAAATAAATAGATTTTTATTTTTCTGGCACGATTCAACCCATCACCGGCCACCACCAAATCCCTAGTACATTGCCATCTACTAGGTAAAGTTTCACTTAAGTCGAAACATGGCTGGCTTACGATCGAACGATCGGCCAACCACACGACTCGAAACTTGGATTTGTGGGAATATTGACTTCGATTTGCTCGATATATAACCTGGTTCCTTTCAATCACAACTGAATCTGACAGCAACGGGCATATCCTTTAGGGCCCTGATCTGCCGAAATACTGGGATAGTCTCTACCAAACCCCCATACAAGAGAGGACACCACACCGTACAGACGTGTTTCTTCACTCCTCAGAGTTTCTTATGACCCCCACCCCCCGCGCGCAGGCAGGGATATGTTGGCCCTAGCCTAGTTGTCTATGAAATCGATCGTTGCCACGTCGCGGCGGTTGTCAGATCTGCTAGTCGCTCTCAAAAGTCAGGTATCTGAGAGGTGGGAAAGCCATATCATTCTCGCAAATCGCCGTATCAAGGGCGACGACAAAGTCCATAGCTAGGTAAAATGGTTAATACCGGATTTATCTACTCTGGACCTGCTTGCCTGTTGCGGACAGACGGAGAAGCGTGTAACATGGGTCTAGATGACGCTTTTTCGCCATAAAGCCAATATAATGGCGGGTTTGAAGCAAACACTCCGACCACCCCAAATAATTGACAGCTCATCTAATTTTGGAGAAGGGATAAAAAAGCAAACTAAGAAAACGAGAAAATGAATGAATAAACTTGCCTTTCCCTCGTTCAATATTCGGCATCCTATCCTTACTCTATGCCATGCCCCCAAGCCGTGGTAAACGTTACTGGCTAACATGATGGCCTCCCGCAGATGCTCAATGGCTTACAGCGTATGCTGTGGTGCAATGCATATAATCTCGATGGTTTCAGGCTGCGCATAACATGCTCTTAATATGGAGCACTCTGTACATGCAGTGCCATAAATGACAGGTGACCCTTATCTGTTACCAATAATATAGTTCCGTCCGCCACTGCTGTTCATGCTTCTTACGTCGTGGTGCGTTTAAGATGTGTGGACAGACTCCTGACTGCCAGACAGAACCCTGGAAAACAGCATCCTATAGAGATAATAACCAGCAACAGTTACTTTCTCCAGGAAACAGAAAAAAAAAAAAAAAAAAAAAAAAGATGAAAATGAAAATACAATGCCGATAACTCTATCCAATATGGTTGATGGTTGGAACTCTGCCCATGAACCCCTGAAGTGCGGAGTATTGTTGCCGAACTTCATTCTCCTGAACAGGCCCGTTCGCTTGCCGGGTGCCAGCCCGAATTAGTCTTATGCATTTTTCCACCTGAGGTCGACATGATGGTGGTACAGTAGGTCAACCTACTGTCTTTGCGCCTCGTCTCCAGGAAATCCTTTTCGCCGACAAACCAGGAAACGTTGCTCTTGTGTCACAAACCGGTTACTCTCACAGACCTTCAGTTACGTTTGACTAGCAACAGGAGCGAGCAACAAATATCGTTGATGTACGGAGTATACATATGCAGATGGAAAAGGTGGACAATATCAAGAAAGGGGAGCCAGCAGACCTAGATTCGTGGACTTCACGACGTAAAGTGACGAATCATAAACCAGCCTTGAAAAAGCAAATACATCCCTGATTTGATCCCTTGGTCTCCCTCTTCCTGGCGCACGGAGTCTATCTCAACATACCGAGACAGAAAAGCTCCTCTCGGGATTCTAAGGGGCGCCGCCACAGGTCCCGATGGCCGATGCGTGTATGCGCGGTTGTCACACATAGCAGTTGCCCCCTCCCTCCCCACGCCCTTGTAAAGGTGTGTTTTGTCATCTTCCACCAGCTGTTTGTGCAAGGCCGATGCGCTGTACGAAATGTTATTGCACGATCCTGGGGTGATGACTCGACATGCTAAAAGTGTCACTCCACATCCCTGCCACCGCTGGGTGTAGGACTCGAGCGCAATGCATAGATATATTCCTGCGTGGGATGCCCGAAAACGTCTGTTGAGAGTATCTGTGTCGTATATGCATGCGCCTTTCCGTCATGCGACCTCGATCGAGCTTTTGCTGTCCATGGCAAACAAATCAGCCGAAACATGCTGCGTGCACATCGTGTATGAATAGTGCTCGATACACTATGTTAACCAAACTTCATTCCCCATCCGGCCACAATTTACCTGTCGTTCAAGCTTCTGTATGGGCTAGCCCAGAAAGCCTCTTCCCCATAGACGGGCCGCACGTAAGACAGACACAGATCGGATGCCTGATCGACGGGGATTTAATCAATGCTACGTTGTCAAAGTTTGCCGTCGACACTGACCCTGGGAAGTCGCTTGACTCTTGACAGAATCTGAAAAAATCGCTTGTCTTCCTCGGCATCTGGCCGTCTACAGTGCCAGCCATACGTAACTCAATAATGCCTGACTGGCAAACAGAAGCTCTCGGAAATAGCCCGCATGGTGGTATAATTTATTCAGGGGCGCCTGCCAACGAACGCTCTTTTTGACGGTAATTATGCTGAAGCTCTCCAAATTCTATCTCATATTATCATACGACAACTTGTTAGCAGTATTTTCGATTGGCAACCGGCTTCTTTGTTGTCCAACTTCTTCGCAGGGCCTTTATGCACGGCGTACAGTGTCTTCAGGTCGAGACCGAAGGCTGCGATCGTCTCTCGATGTCATAACATTTTCCTGGTTTGATTACTCAGAAATGATGGCAGAGATCGTTTTCTCGTTTTCTCTTTCCTGATTTCGTCGCCGATGGCTTTTGATACCCAGGTTCCTCCTTAGCCCACTGTTAAACCGAGAAGGAGGGGGGGACGGGCAACATACTTGTCACTATGTGATGGACGTGACTTGTTGAAGGCTCCTCTCCTTCTACATTATCAGGAGCTAGACTAGGTCTTTACAGAGACAGAGGAGCTCTGTACAACCCCGCTGTAGATCATTCTGTGGCGTCTACAGGCGCAGCATATTCCAT